GGTTTTCTCAGCTAAAGGCATAAGAAAATTGTGTGAACATTGTTTTCGAGGTTGGAGTCATTGAATCAGCTACCAGAATTCTGAGCTATAGGCGTGGGGTTCGGGGCCCGCTTAAGGGACCCGAACATTTTTGGATTCTAAATGCTCTGTGGTGCTATCTGAGGCAATTTCTGACCACTTTAACCAATATTTTCTAAGCAAAAGATACATTGTAGTACATAATAGGACCCATGGCGTCATGTAGATCAATGATATTTTTTTTAGAAACTCAAAATCTCAGTGGGGGGGGGGGGGGGGGGGGGGGGGGGGCGCGACTGGGGGGGGGGCGACAAGGTTTCATGGGGGGGGGTCGCCCCCCCCCACGCCCCCCCGGTGGCTACGCCACTGTGCAGATCCCATGTAACATGGCACGTGATGTGTCCCTTTACCGTTTCAATAATATGGCTATATACATGATTATTTTTATTGATTTCATATTGGTCATATTTATATCATTTTCACATTTCATTTGCTTACATTTCACATAGGCCTTTGTGTATATAAGAACAAACACATTAATTATCAATAAGGCATACATGGATTAATTAATGAATCAAAGTTGTATCATGATTTGTAAAGGCCTGTAAATTTTATTTAAATTGAATGCAGAAAATGCGAATTTAAATTGTAACAAATGAAAAAGAATGTTCAATTCAGCCTGTGTCACAATAGACAATCGATTTCTGCGAATTGGATTGCACATTCGTAATAATCGGCAACGCATACGTCAAACCGAAAACCTAATCACGTATTTGTAATCCCTTAAATGAAACGCTATGCACATTCATTCATTTGATTGATGCAAAATGAAATTGAATGCTAGTTATTGCGAAAATGAAACCAGGATGAACGTCGTTCTCAAACTCGGCGCCAAATTGAATTTATGTTTTACAAATTCAAACGCACATTTTACGAAATTGTCCGGGAAAACCTATATTATTTTTTTATTATTCTTCTAGACACATTCTTCTCCGGAACTGTTTGTCAAAATGAAAACATATATGAACTTCAATTGTCAATACATGAATGCACAACCAACTGAAGATGTGCTTTTTTGCAATTACGTCATCATGACGTCATCATGGGTCACGTGACATCACTTCAAAAAATAATAAATTTAATCTTTGAAATTCAATATAAAATCAACCGTCAGAGACCGCAACTTGAATTTTGCGGGAATCATACATGATAATGTATGATCTTCATTTTATCTTGTGCGCGTAAAATCACGTGACCCTTCCTTCCGGTCGAAACCGGAAGTGCCTAATAATTTGAAAGTGGAAAAAGATATGAACTTGCTTTCAACGGTGTTGATGTCTGCCTGGATTGACCTTTCAAAAAAAATAATTGGTAACGTCATGAAGAGTTGGAGCGCCCTCTAGCGGCAGGTTAAAAAACGTGAAAAGCGCATTTTCACTTGATGTCTTTGGCGAAGTTTGTGATAATCGCTTCAAAATGAATGTGGCTAACTATAGCACAGTTAAAATAGCCCTTGAACTTTCTGGTAATGACGTCACAATGACGTCATCAAGTATCATATTACAAGCAATCAAAGATTTCTAGATTTAATCTTTGAAAATCAATATAAAATCAACTGCTACAGATTTGATTTTGTTTTTATAGCAATCGATACAATATTGCAGGGTCTTCATTTTTGGTATTAAGTGCAAAATCACTTGACCCTTCCTTCCGGTCGAAACCGGAAGTGCCTTATTATTTGAAATTGGCAGAAGATGCGAACTTGCTTTCAAAGATGTGAGTGTCTGTCTAGGCAGTACTGTACAAAACTTTTACAGGTGACGTCATCAAATGTTAGAGCGCCCTCTGGCGGCATGTTGAAAAATTCAAACATGGATTTAAACATGCATATTTTGAGTTGATGTGTGTGGCAAAGTCTGCGGTAATCCATGGCCCAACACCGTGTGGTTGTCTAGTTTGGCTTGTGTTTTCCATGACAAGCTATTGCTTCTTTACAAAAAAACCCAGGTAGCTTAAGAAATTCAGCCTGGAGTGTTGTCTGATGTCTCCATGTTAATAATGCAAGGAGAAAAGCAATGGACCTTGAAACGGTGGAAATTAAGAAATTTAGCCTGGAGTGTTGTCTGATGTCTCTATGTTAATAATGCAAGGAGAAAAGCAATGGACCTTGAAACGGTGGAAATTTTTGTGTTTTTTGAGTGTTTTTTTTTCAAGAAAAAAAAAAATGTTTCCTATTACATTGGAAAAAAAGGGAGGAGTTGGCAATTTTTTTTTTTGAGGGGAGGGGTTTTGTATAGCCAGAAAAAATAGGGCGGGATGATGGTTGATTAATTTTGGTTGTGTTTGTTTTTTATTTGGGTGGGGGCTTGTCTGATACATGTAATTTTGATGAATGATGCTCAAACCACGTAATGACATTACACTTGTGTGCACAATATGCACTAAGATTTGCTTTCGGAATATTTTGTTAATTTGAAGACATTTATGTAACATTGTATGGCTTTGAGGGGTATAGTAGAATATAGTGCACAATATTGCTGCACTCGTTGAAGACAAGTGCAATACAGCGAGTGCAATATATTCGTGTGTCCCTTGAAAAAAAAACCCATCCAATTTATTCATTATTACTAATATGAGGCTTACTTACGCTAATTACTCGCCGCGAGGCGCGGCGAGTAATTTGCGTAAGCCTCATATTAATAATAATGATTAAATTGGATGGATGGATGGATGGATGGATTGGATGTGGCTGTTGATCACACTGTGTGTACCCTGTATCAGGGTGTGATGGTTATGTGCGCTATGCTCTGTTGACTGCTTGACAAATATGAGTTTCTATGCCCTCGAGTGTTAAAATTTGTTAAAATGCCCGAGTGAGGACAATATCCAAAATAATGTTGTCCCCATCCGGATAATCTGGGTACTTCTTTTACGAAAACATAAAATATGCTGATTTATTTTTACCACTGGAAGCCTGATGTGAACAATAATCAACGATATTGTTGTAAATGGTATCTGCTGTACCATCATGTCCCTAGTGTTGATTTAGGGATTTTATCATGAGAGGATGTGAATAAATATTTGAAACAGCAAACTTTTGAACAGAAGCGCTGGCAACGAAATCCACACACAACCAATAGGGCTCGCTCAACGACGGCCATCTCTGTAGGAGAACTGCAACTGCATTTTTACGCAATCAACCACGCATTGCGCTTTGTTGAAAATATTCCAAACACGCGTGCTTGTTGCTCGAAACGTGTTCGAAATACGACGCAGCCGATGCATGTTAAAATGCAAGTTGATGCTCAAAATGCTGATGCACGTGGATGGCCTGTAGGAAATGACGTCATTTGAATGAGACCTAGGGGTACCGGCTTGGGCGTCGCCAGGATTTTTTTCTAGAGAGGGGCAACAATTTGTTTTTGCCAAAAAATGCTTGTATTTCTCAACACAATCTCGATTCATCAGTTTTAGAGAGGGGCAGGGACATTTTGCCCCCCCCCCCCCAACTCATTAAATTTACACCACTTTGTCTTCGCGCCTCTTTTTCTTTTCTTTTTTTTCTTTTCTTTTCTTCCTTTTTGTGTGTGTGTGTGTGTGTGTGGCTTTTCCAGGGGGGGGGGGGACAAGTGCCCCCCCTTGCCCCCCCCCTCACGACCCCCATGGGTACCGGTATTCACACTGCCAACATGGTACTGGATAGCTTAGTTGGTAGAGCACCAGAACGGCAATCCAGAGGTCGCACGTACTAGGGCTGATTATCAGAATCAGGTACCCGAGTAACCGACCGTCAGTGTCGGGAACCGGTTCCAGATTATGGATTCGAGTAGCCGTAACCATCTTTAGAAATTACTCGGTAACTTCTCAGAGAATGAATAAGAACAGCTTCGAATGTCATTGATACTAAATTTTCAAAATGAAAAACAGACTACATGGAAAACAAAACCAATTCCACGTTTACGATGCTCGTGATACTAGCTGCAGTTTATACCATAAAGCTTAAGAGCTCACCTTATGCATTATACAAATATAACATGGTTTGAGGGTGGACAGTCGATATTCGCTCCCCGAGGTATTGGAAGTTGACAAACTAGTTCCCGAGGCGAAGCCGAGGGAACTAGTTTGTCAACTTCCAATACCTCGGGGAGCTAATATCGACTGTCCACCCGAAATAAACCATGTTATATTTGTTTTACTATACCTCATACATATTCAGTTGCCGAATTTTGTTTTATTATGATGCACCTAAAACAAATTCGGGGAAACTTGTACAGCTCACCAAAAGAATATTGTTGCTCAACTTCAATTACTAGTTCGGTTCATTTGCAATATAATACAGTTACTACAGTTGTAAATACAGTTGTTTGCAATGTGCACAACTTTCTTTTGTACAGGAGACATCTTTACACGGTCCATACATTTTCTCCAGTACGGCATCATTTAGCTCTGGAAATTAACATTTACGCGAACCGTGCAACCATGCATATCTCCTGGGCGATGTTCGCGCGTGCGTACTGCACCCGTGCGACAGTTCCTCGATTGCTCTGTAAAGCGCATGTGTAGTAGACTGTCGCACGGGCAACCCATGCGACAGTCTACTACGCATGCGTATTTACAATGTGCGTGAATCCTCGCGCGCGCGTTTGGTAAACAGCAAGAATAACATCTGGCACGTGATGGTGAAGTGACCAGTGAAAGTTCGGCTCTCGATCATGAATATGTATGAGGTATAGTAATTGTAACTTGCGTACTGGCGCACCGATATGGGGTAGTATTAACATGCAGACCTTCATGAACAATCTGAGCCGCAACATTCGGGATTGACATTTTTGGGGCTGCGTTCTTTAATTGGTACCCGGATACCCATATTTTATTTTAATAGGGTACCCGGTTCCTGTAATACCGTAGATGCGCACCCCTACAAACTCCGCTCCAGATAATTTCTTTGTTCAACTTTAGAATTATAATTTGTGTGTGTGTAGGCTCACTACTTGGTGCAACTCATCTGCTACCCTAATGGAGTCCCGCCGATATCGGACGGCAGTTATGAGAGCGAGCAGAAGCAGGCTATTACTAGAATACTCAGGGTGAGTAGATGTTGGCGATTTTGAGAAGGCAAAGCCGCAAGTCCATGACAAGTCAAACACAAGTCAGTCACAAGTGATAGGGGACGATCAATGAATGCATTTTTAAGCTCTGGCAACAGAGCTTCTATATGTCACAAGTCACTCGGTTGTTTGTCGGTTTGGTCGGTCGGTTCCCCCCCCCCCCAAAAAAAATAAAATTGACCAAAAACGAACCCCTCCTAACTCACCCATAGAACTGTAAGTACCAAATTGCAACTGTCAAAAGAAGCAAACAAAATATATTATTGACAAAAAAATGTTTGTAACAATTCTTGAATTTGTTTATGAAAATGTTGCATAAGATACATACAACATGCAACCACCCGAGTTGTTTTTTCCAACTTTCACTCGGGAGGTAACTTACTCAGTAAACAGTGTTTAAACGTCGGTGAAGGGCAAAACCTAATTTGAAAATGTTGTACTTGGAGGCAAGATAATGTGCAATAATGTTGACGTCACATGGTATTTTTGTGCGCTACAAACTTAGGAAGTTAGGGGGCTTCTACACACCTGTCACTATACATCACCCCTGCCTCTGGCCCTGTGTCAGTTTAATGGGTCTCCAGGGTGTACAACTATAGGCGAAGCCGAGTGAATGGAAAATTCCATCTGTCACCGAATGAAATTATTCTTTCCATTGCACGAATATGAAACATTCATTATTTGTTTAATGCAACACCTGACTAAATCCTTGTCGTCTGATTGGTCAGAGCCACCGATAGTGTGACTGTGCAATGAAACTTCGGTTATTTACCGTGGAATAGAACTTTTATTTTTGCGGTGCTGCTGGGCTGTGCGTTGGGACGAATAATTCAATGACACGTGAACAACGACCCACCAATCAGACGATTTATTCTGGCGTTGTATAGATAAGTGCGCAATATTAACTATTATTATTTTAAAGTACTTTTTCTGAAATCCTGATGTTGGGAGCTCTGAAAATAGTCAATTTGAAGACAAACTATCTTTACCTTTTATGCCCAAAAAAGTCTCCAGTTTCTGGTATGGAGCTTGCCCAAAACTGGTGAGCCGACGCAGGTTTTGGGTATTTTGCCTACTTTATTTTTTCTTCAAAGGTCGGCTAATGTTGCAGATGATGCTTTCATCCCCTTAGAACTCTCATAAATATTTTTCAGGGTGGAGCTTGAGGTGACCTCAGTAAGGTCATAAGGCTTGAGAAGTCTGCACCCACTTACAATCTCGACCAACACGAACATTCTTAGGGAAATTTGGATAGTCAAGACAAAAATTAGAGAAAACGGTAAAGTCAGACCATACAGCGACATCGTGCATGAGCTGCTAGCATGGCTAGGCTGGTAATTAGTCTGCTCCCTGACACATTGCGCTAATTAAAAAGCTTTTACAGGTTCCAGATACACGACCATCGCTCCCTCAGACTGGCTTCCAGATGCACAATTACAAAATTACAACACAAATGGTGCCCGACTAAATTTATAGTGCAAAATATATGGGAGTCCAAAGACGCCACATAAAGCTTATACTCGATCTTAACCCCATCTAAAAACACGTTAAAAGTGTGCAGCAGCAGAATTCCAGTCAAACCAGTGAGTTTGGCGGTTGTGAGACATCATCTTACCGGTACATTGAAACATTTTTTTTTTTTCGTTTTGCGACACGCATGGCTACGGCGATGCGGGCGATGACCAGAAACCAGAGACTTTGTTTTATGGCCTTAGGCCAAAAAAAAAGTCTCCGGTTTCTGGTATGCGCGCGCGTCGCCGTAGGCGGCAAAATGAAAAAGTTTTTTTTTCAATGAAAGATGATGTCTCAAAACCGCCAAACTCACTGGTTTGACTGGAATCCTGCTGCTGCACAATTTTAACGTGTTTTCAGATTGGGTTATGGTCGAGAATAAGCTTTATGTGGCCTCTCTGGACTCCCATATATTTTCACTAAGTTTAGTCGGGCACCATTTGCAGTCATCAGCCGACATTTGAAGCAAAAAAAATCAGGTAAAAAAAAAAAAAAGCCGCGTCGCCGCACCACTTTTTGGGCAAGCTCCATACCAGAAACCGGAGACTTTTTTTGTGTGGCCTTACCTGTATTTTTTTCGTTATTCTAGAGTCTTGACCAGTGGACACTGCGAGTCTCGTGGCTGGAGCTACAACTCATGCTGAAGCAGTGTGCCAACTCCGAGATGAACCCTCTCCTGGACAACATCGCCAAGGCAACCATCGAGGTATTCCAGCAACAGCAGGGCGACGAGGGCTCGGCAGCTTTGAAGAGCGCCCCCTTGAGTCAGAACGGACAAAGGAAACTGGTGCAACAAATCAAGTACGTAGTCAGTTACACTGTGGGTTTTGCCAGAATTATGGACTGATTCATTTCACATTCATCAAAATTCAGTACATGTATCTCTTATTATATGTTTTATTTTATGCATCCTTGTAAAATGCAGTCGTGTAAATGAATACACAGTTATTCATAGAATAACACACACAAATTACATGCATAAAAAAAAATAACAACAACAACTAGATTTACTTATGTTTGTGTACAACCATACAGCTGTTTTGGTAATTGTATTTGTTTGTCGTGTAAGACTGATTGGACATATGCGGTAGAGTGATCAGGACCAATACAGTTCTGTAGATATTGGCCTTCAAAATATACACTTTTAATATGCCGTCACATCATCTTGACGTCACTTGAATTTTCATCTATAACGCATCCCGGTCTAGGTACATACCAACTATCAACCCAATCGGATATGTTGTTCTGTAGATATAGACCTACAAAATATGTACTTTTAATGTGATGTCACATGTCATGTGATGACATCATCGTGACGTCACTTCAATTTTCATCTATAACACATCCCGGTTTAGGTCCATACCAAGTTTCAACCCAATTGGACCTGTCGTTCTGTAGATATATGCCTTCAAAATATGCATTTCTAATATGACGTCACGGGTCGTGTGATGACGTCATGATGATGTCAATGTTCGGCACACATCTTCAGATGCTGGTCTAAGTGTGTGCCAAGTATAAAGGCAATCGGATTGCAAATGCTATGTACAAATGCTATGGGCAAAATGACTGAAAAAGAAAAAAAAAAAAAAAAAAAAGAAAAAAAAAAAAATCTTAACGAAAACAAAGGCTGTTTCGGCAAAAGTGCCGAAACAGCCAAAAACATCTTGACAAAAACAAAGGCAGTTTTGGCTGGTTGCCGAAACAGCCAAAAATGCCACACATATAAGCATCAGTTGGCATCTGCAAACGGATACTGACTTTTTCCACTTACTAGTTTACCCTTCTAGTAAAAGCAAGAATAAGGAAAACAACAGCTTGTCTTTATTGTGTAACCAACTAATTGCACAGTTCCAGACTCCACGATTGCCAGATTTTACACCCCCTACCCCCAAAAAAGAAATCTTTCTTTTAATTAGAGTAGAGCCTCAAGGTATCAGGAGCAATCCAGGATCAATTCAAATAAAGTTTGGTTCCTAACTTTATTAAATTTCCATAAGTGTCAACAGCAAACACGTTTTGACGACTTGCACGAGTAATAACGCCTAACTATTTCAGATGGCAAACTTAACCCGTCAGCACCTGAACTCAGTGGCATAAATCAGTGCTGGGGGGATGACTAAAATCACAAAATTTTCCGGCCTTGGAAATTCGAAAAGGGGGAGGGGGGCTTGCTGGACACCACGTGACACTAGGGGGCGCTGCTCAGCATGATACAAATACATATTATGTACATCTCATGATACAAATGTACATCTTATGTATACTTACGCCCCTTAACCCCATGCGTACGGGAAGCGGTCATGGCCGCGGCCGCTAATCCTCATTGGAATGCAGGTGCCAGCTGTGGTATGCCCTGGCACACGGCTAGTGGGTAGTTCCACAGCTGCTGCTTTTGTGCAGTCCCGCTACAACACAAAGGCTGTGCAGTCATGCGGGCCACTTGCTCTATGTGTGGAGGAATGTCCCCATTATAACCCATCCTTAAGGGGTTAACATTGCATCAAAACGGCGCATTTAAAGCTTTTATACTTGGTTTCCCTTTTTCAGTACTATTGGATACACTATGCTTGCTTTGGGAAGTTCGCAAAATTCCTCAAAATACGCCTTTTTTGGGGTTTCTCAACACGAAAAAGTGGGGGGGGGGATGATCCAATGGCCCATCCCCCTGGTCAAAAAGTGGGGGGATATATACCCCCATCCCCCCAATCCCTGATGAATTGGTCAAACATGCAGTGCTTTGGCGGCTGAGGCGGTACAGTTTGGGGCAGTAAATGAGGTGATGGGTTAATTAAAATCTTAAGAGTAATTTTGGTAAAGTGCAACTCTTGGACGCCAATCTGAAATGTGTGTATTACCGGCCTAGTTCCTAATGTCCTTTTCTTTATTGACAGGTCAGAGCAGGAGCGTAGCGGTGTCTGGCTGGTAGCTCCCCTCATCTCCAAACTATCCAGCCAAGTCCAGGGACGTGTCCTGAGAGCTGCTGGCAATGTCCTGGAGAGCGTGGGACAGACCTGGTCCAAGTCCAGCAAGGACAAGGACAAGCATGGACAAAAAACGTCAGTTTATTGAATTTTATTTTTGTATGTCATTTCTTTCAAAATGTTTTGTTGCCCATACTTGATCTATATACTGACTTACAGACTAATTAGCCCTAACCCCCATTGGGTATTCTTAAGGTACCCTGCTAAATGCAACAATATCCAACACAACTAAAGTGAGTACACTACTAAATGCAACAAACTGCAAGAGTGGATTCCGTTGCATTGTGCAGTGAACCCAGTGCATACCAGCCTTGGCACCACGTAGTAACCCTGCTAAATGCAACCAAATGCAACAGTGGATCCTGTTGTATCACCTTGGCACTAAATAAAGAGCAGTTACCCTGCTAAATGCAACAAGATGCAACAAAGCACTGGAACCTACTTGAGGTGGCTGCTTAATGCAACAGTATGCAACCATATTTTACCAGTGTTGCTTTCTGTTGCACTTAGCATGGTTAGGGTTACAGAGTGTTCTTAAAGATCATTCAAATGGTTGAGAAAACCTCATTCCAAGTATTCATAAATTTTGGGTCAAAACGTTGGGTTGTATATTGGACCTGCGATCACTTACTGCAACAGGGCATTGTCACAACGAATCACTATCACCCACATACCATAACCACTGCACAAACAACATATTCAGAATCTTATCAAATCTTCTGGAAAATGGGGGAAACTAGTGCGCATGTGCTACTTCTGCAGACAAATATGGTCAATTTTCAGACTACATGTACATACGACAAAAGAGCTGTCATAAAGTTGCACAAAGGTCTGGTAGCATCTTGCATGCTCCTTTCTAAAATTTAGAGTTTGGTTCGGAGATAATTTACAAGGAGTGGAACGTGCGCATACATGAGGCAAAACAGGAGCACGCGCATGACACAACCTCCACCGAATTTCAAAGACGTGGTAGCGGTTCGTGGGTGGTAGTGGTTCGTGGGTGTTAGTGGTTCATTTTGATAGCTGGGTCATTCCACCGGGTTGGGGAACAATGTTCGACATATGACCATATTATGAAAAGCATGAATGCCTTGCTAGCAGTTGCTCTACATAATGTCTGTTGTTGGATGTTTCACTACTGCAGAAAGTTTGAAATCATTTCAAAGCATTTTGCCAAAAATATGAGCAAAAAATGTCATTTTGGATGTAACATTGACACCGTGTCAATGTTACGTCCAAATATGACATTTGTACCTTTTTTTTAAATTTCTGCGAAACATTATTCAAATTCACTTTGTGTACTTCTTACTATACATGCAACACAATAAGAAAAGCTTTTGTTATGGTAGTCAGGCATCAAATGGAGCAGAAATAATAGCTTGGCTGTGTGGACGTAACATTTACACGGTGTAAAACCAAATGTCACACTTCCTTTGAGTGATTTTTACACCATTACATCCACACTTGAGGTATTGTTTCTGCTATATTTGAACCCTGACTATACCAAAACAAAAGCTTGTCTTGGTGCTTAGGTGTCCAGTTGTAAATATGCAATGTCAGTTTGGGTAATATTTTACATACGTGTAAAAAATGGCAAAAAAAGAATATTTGGATGTAACATTGACACGGTGTCAATGTTGCGTCCAAATTAATACATTTTTGCTCATATTTTGTCAAAGTACTTTCAAATGATTTCAAACTTCCTCAAGTATTGAAACACCCTAAGACACATATTATGTTGAGCAATTGTTTAGAATGCATTGATACTTTTAATAATATAACCAAATATATGGATGTAACATGCACTGTTTCCCAACCCGGTGGAATGACCCATCTATCAAAGTCTTTTTGGTTGCGTATCCAATATACAACAACAACGTTTTGATCCAAGACTAAGTATCCATGTGCAGTTGTTGGTATTGTCCTGTAACAAAGAAAAAAGGGCTTGCGTTTTGATAGATGTGACCAGATCCGAAAAGGCATTGGCCACGGCTGTATTTCTTATTCTAAACATATGGCCTTATTGTTAAAACTACATGAAAGTGCGATTTTCACCAAAACCCTTCACACACAAAGTTGTATATGTGATGCGATCAAGCTAAATGAGTCGTTTGTCTGTATCTCTAAATTTTTATTTAGTGATACAGGCCAAAATAGGGCCACTACATCACATCACTTCATCACATCTCTTGGTGTTCCAACTTCCATAATTTTTGGTCTAAAGGTGGTACCAACATGCGGTTTTCACAGCAGTAATGCTGAGATTGTGCTCTCTTCAAATCTGTAATAAAAAAAATTTTGACCAGGGTCGACAAACGACTCATGTAGCTTGATCGCATCACATATTTATTCAATCAGTTCTATCTTGATAGTAAAAATCAAATTTGAAAAAAGTGAGATTTCAATGTGCAGTCTGCTTACCTTGCTATGGTGATTATGACTTAACAAATAATTTGGTACTGGGTACGACCAAGTCAATAAACCATGCTACATGCTACTATTTCTCTAATTCCTACAGTCAGATGTCCCTTGTGAGCCACCAGCCCCTCTTATCCTTGGTGTTGACCTGTCTCAAGGGTCAAGACGAGCAGCGTGAAGGCCTCCTGACATCCCTCCAGACACAACTCACTCAGTTCCTGCAGTCCCCTAAAGATGTGAGTACCTTAGTGCTTCAAAGGCATATCCAGCGAGAGCCATTTTCTACGGTGGTGCAGGGCTAGCGCGAGTCGCGCTCAGGTAGTACACATGCACTCCAGGCTCCTTCGACCAATAGGAATACCAAAATGCGCGTACGCCATGTCTTTTAAGCATTGTCCCTTCACCGACGTATAAACACTGTATACTCAGTGTGTTACCTCCCGAGTGAAAGTTGGAAAAACATCACTCAGGTGGGACTCGAACCCATGGGTTCACTCGGGAGGTAACACACTGAGTATACAGTGTTTATACGTCGGTGAAGGGCAAACCTAATTTGATTTACATCACCCTGACTCCATATTATGAATAGTTTATGCGGTACCCGCTGCTATGTACATCAGATTCGAACCAGCCAACTGATCCCGTTAGCTCGGTGGTCGAGTTGTAAGACATCTGCACTAAAAAGCAGGAGGTCGTGGGTTTGAGTCCCACCCGAGTGATTTTTTCCAACTTTCACTCAGGAGGTAACACACTGAGTTTACAGTGTTTATACGTCGGTGAAGGGCAAAACCTAATTTAAGTTACTAAACACCCCGTGAAATTATTCCGTCTGGCTTGCTGTCGTTCAGAAAAAATCAAGAAGTGTAGGTGATTTCCAAGGATCAGTTAATCGACTGATTTTTGGAAATACAGAGAGCTATCGACGAAATTGGTTTCATGATCAAAGGATTGTGCATGGTTTACCACTGTTTTCTCGAAAAGTGTAGTATCCACTGAGCGGAAATTTTAACAGGTCAGGTTTTGAATATTCTTCTTTGGATTTTGAGTGGTGGAATTTATAGAATAGGAGCAAAATGCCCGAAAAGCAAATAATCTTATATGCATTAAAATGCTAAAAGGACGGTGGGTTCCATGTTTATGAGAAATGTAGGTCACCTCCAACAATATCGAAATTCAAAAAAAAAAACGTTTGAAAAGAAACACAGAAATACATACACTTACACCGTGTTTGACCCATTTGGGTAAAACGGTTTATTTTTGAACAATTTCTTCTACAAATAAAATCAAAACTTGATGATATGTAGCATGAAATAACTCAGGCGGATCTTTTTATGTGTACGAGGCACACAAGTGACCCAAAATAAAAGCCTTTTATCAGAGTGTTGCCAACGCCGAAATAAAAAAAGTGAAATTATTGGGAGGAAGAAGTCCAATTTGTTGAAGATCATGGGAAAGCAATTTTAAAGGTATAGTCCATCATTTGTAATTTGTGCATTTTGTTCATTTGAAGCAACAAAAGTGCTCAAAATCTAAAGAAGGATACTGAACAACTAACCTGATGAAGTTTCAGCTCAGCTTCAGCTGTATATTTCGAGAAAAACAACATTTAGGATCTCGATTTCAAATCAAAAGTTGCTGAATCATGTTTTGAATTGGGCCTGAATTCAGCGTCCGAGACACGTTCTCACTGAGCCGATTGCAGCTACGCGATGTCGCGCACCGATCTGACGAATTATAGCAACTGCGCGCGTGAGTGTGCGTCGTGTCAACGCTTGCGCATGCTTCGCTGAAAAAAAACGAACTACTAACGGAAATTTCCAACAGTGCTTCTTAAGACACACCGTTGGAAAGGCCTTCTTTCGTTGATTACTTCAAAATGACAGCTTGCCAGAAAGAATAATTTTACAGGGAGTTTAGTCCCCTTACTATCTTTCAACCAAGTATGTTTTCAACAATAATAACACCAGTTACTTTTGCGATAGCTGCAAATGATGGACTCTGGCTTTAAACTGATTACATTTATCTTGATTTGTATTTCAGGATCGTTGGGAGGATGAGCAGAGTCGTAGGATGATGCATGAAGCTCTGCAGCTAAGACTGAGTCTGGTCAGTAATGCGTGCACCTCTTGTGCTTTTTGAAATCCAAGAAATCTAAGATAGTTTGCAGGGATGGAGTCAAGTCCATCACAAGTCCTCCAGTCCCAATTCAAGCCAAAGCTATTCAAATGAGCTTTCACAAAGGCATTCCTTTATTGTTCATCCACTGTTATTATTTTTATTATACGTGTAATGGTACCATTAAGGAGACACGGTATCGTAATTTCTTCGAACGGTGGGAGACATCTGTCATTAGGGAGACATTTTCATGTCTTCCTAATGTCACAGCCCCCCTTTAGATGCACAATTTTATGGTCGCAATTAGGTTATTTTTTTATTAGGTTTTTTTTACGTGTGTTAGCAACGGAATCCAGTAACAAGGCCAAAAATTGTGCATAAGTTTTCTCCGTTTTCTCAAAATGTAAAGTATCCACCGAGCTGAAACTTTAACAAGTTAGTTGTTATATACCCTTCCTACTATTTTGAGCATTTTTGTGGCTTCAAACAAAAAAAAAGAAAATGGAAAAGAACATTGCATCCTGATGCCACTATTTCATCATATATTATCTCAATGAAGGGTAGTCATTGCAAAAATGTTGAAAAAAAACCATGAATCTGGGACTGAGAAACATTTCCAATTTTGTTAGAAAATACTTTGAAAATGCACACAACTCTCCGTAGACTTTGTACACAACCAAAGAAGTGGTGTCTGGATGCTACATTCTTTCCAAAAAATGTTCAAAAAGCAAATTTGTCCATGTATCTTTAACGGCAAGGACCTTGACACAGTACATAACGCTTGTAAATCTTGTACCACAGGTGGGTAACATGTTTGACACCATCCTACGCAGCCAGCAATGGACCACAGAATTTGCCCTGCTTCTACTGCAGCTAATCACCACAGGAACCGTGGACACACATTCCAACAGGTAACCTATGTTGCCTATTCGTCAAACTAACCCGAATAGCTTCGGCAGCTGAATTTCTCATTTTTCCGGTATTACCTGCAAGTCTTGTAGTGTTCGGTAGTGAAGTCATGGGGGGTGCTGTAGTCCAGTGGTTATGGTGTTCAACTCGTGTGCCGTGGTACATGGGTTCGATTCCTGACCATTGGAACATGGTGCTTGTGCTCTTGAGTAAGGCACTTTACCATTATTGCTTCGTCCTTCAGATGGGACGTAAAGCCGTAGGTCCCGTGTATTGTGTATTGCACGTAAACTGAAAGATGACTTTGAACACGTGCCGACTATTAAATAATGTAATTACACAGATTGTGAGCTTACTACCGGTACCTACAGCAATGGGTGGCTTTCCCCTTCTAGTCCTTGGGGAAATAATAGCCACTTTTCGCTCATTTTCCAACAGCAATATTCGGTACATTTTGTACTAAAAAATCAAGAGCCAAGGACGATGTTCAATATAGCCGAATGTTCAGTATAGCGGTATTCGGTGTAACAACGTTCCACTGTACTACATATCTCTCTCCTCCTTTGCCCCCCCCCCCTCACACAGCGAGCTCTTCACCACAGTCCTGGACATGCTGTCCGTCCTGATCAACAGCACCCTGTCCAGCGACTGCAGCGAAGGGGAGAAAGGCCGAGAGCACCAGACGCTCATCAAGAAGCTCAAGAAGGAGCTCGGGGACAAGCACTCGTACGACATCGACCGTGTCCGGCAGCTCCTGCCGGTACCTAAGAAGACCTGTGACGTGGTGACTGTGGAGCCCATGGGCAGCCTGATTGACACTAAGGGAAACAAGATCGCTGGCTTTGACTCGATTGATAAGAAACAGGTGGGTAGAAAAGACATTAGGGGCCAAACACTGTAAAAGTTGCAGGATTTTGCAGGATTGAGGCAGTGGTCACCCCTCCATGGACCACATTCAAGAAGTAATGGATGATTTTGGAGGGTTGAGGCTGTATGCAATTTTTACATGTAGGCAGTTGGAGGACTTTGCAGGATCGAGGTTGCATCCTAGCAAAAATGCCTAGGGAGTTAGCGTTAAAAATGCTTGAGGAATTCGAGTTTTGATGCTGTACTTCAGCTTCACTTCATTGCTAACCATACCAGTACCCCCATAACCCTTCTGCTATTTAAACAGTCACAGACAGTCAAAATTCCCTTCGACTTCCCCGGCTATACTTTTAACAAAGGTTAGTCACCAGCAGTCAGATCATATGTCAAGCAAGCACTGTGACTAGTCAAACTGGGTCAATAGACAAAGCAGGCAAGTTGTGGTCACAGCTGTTTTACCACTCACCCGTAGTCAAAGCATTGCTGTATGAAGTTACTTAAAACAGTCCCAGCCAGTCAATCCTGCTTTGTGTAGGCTGGGGATTCTTAAAGGGATTATACAACATTTGCAAGCATCAAAAAACAAAACTAACACATTTTTACGAAATACCTTACTAGGATGTTGGTAAATGACAGTGTAAAGCATCCTGTAAAAATATGGCACCTGGTGTGAAATCATTTTCAAGAAAAGTGGTATTTTTGTATAAATTTCCAACGGTGGTCGGCTGACCACCTTTGGAAAAAACCTAACTATTTTTCAAATACTGCTCAAAATTTACCATTTTATTTTTCAGGCCAAATTTGTTTGCTATTATTTACATGTACATTAACGGGTGCAGGCCAGCTAGACTGGTTCCCTTACCTTACAATGTTCCGGCATCTATAAATTGATCAATTTCATCTTTAGTGGAGTCAGGGAACCAGACTACTGGGACATTTGTGTTTTTCTTGGTTTTTCCACCATTTTAGAACACAAAACCTCAAACATGTCGGTGTAACAATATTTGATCTATTATACTAACCCCCTCAAATAGTTCATTTCTGAAAAATTACAGCTAAAGCCAATGATGTACATTCCCTTTAACTGTTGAAACAGTCACTTGTGTGATTTTGACTGAAAGGACTACTTGGCACAGAATGTATGTTCGTATAGGAGGGTTTATATAATGCTAATTTTTTTATACTCCCAAAATTGCCAGGGTCTGCAAGTGGCCTCCAAGCAGAAGATCAACCCCTGGGACACCCTGGAGGCCTACAAGAACCCTGCCCCTCTCTCCTGGTCCTTCTTCCGGGCAGTCCGCATGGAGCGCAAGCCCCTCAAGTACCAGGAGCAGTTCCGCCTGACCCACTACCACACCCACAACCGGGAGAAATCCGACGATTACTACTTCCAGCCGCCCCAGCTGCCCCCGGACGAGGAAGAGCCGCCGCAGCCAATCAGCAGCCAGGAGGCGGAGAAGGTTGCCATGGACTCGTCGGGCAACAGCCTATCAGAGAGCAGCAAAGGGGAGGGGAGTAGCGGGGGCGGGGCCGGGGAGATGACCAGCAGCACCACTACGAGCAAAAAGAGGAAGCGGGCACCGAGGAAGAAGACGCCCACACCGGGCCAGCAAATCATGAGAGAGGTAGGCGTTAGGAAAACTTGTAAGACAGATCTATGTACACTTACATGTAGTATGGGATAGACTCCTGTTAAATCCAGTGGGTAGTTTCCCTGGCTGGTGACATGATATTACTTTTCATGACTTATTACAAGAGCCTCATAGTCTCAACACACTTTTAATATCACATTTTTAACACACTTTTAATATCTCCACATTGTGTCTTTGTCATCATGACCTCTGAAGTGGCTTTAACAACCATTTCTGACTGAATCAAAAATATTGGAAACGTCCCAGTTCAACCCCAGTCAATTGTGGCTAAAAGGGGGAGTGAGGGTTAGGGACGGGCAATGGGGGCCATGGGCACCCTTCCCCCCCCCCCCCCCCCCCCCACCCTCCAAAAAAAAAAGTGTCTCATTCCCTTTCGCTCTGCAGATTTTTTGAAATATTAATAAAAAGAAACTAGAAAATGGGAAAAACAGCCCCCTCCCCCTCCATTTTTTAATTCGAACTGTTTGCATCAATTTTCCATCCTTGGCTAAAGCAGTCCTAACGGTGTTTTTTTTTCAACAGCCGTTTTCTTACAACCAGGGCATGGCAGGTTTTCCTGAGCGTCCATTCATGCAACAGCAGCAGAATTACATGCAAGGCCCGTTCCCCTACCAACAACCACTACCACCAGGTAAAACATACACTCCCTGATCTAAAAAAAACAGAAACAAAAATTGCCACAAATTGGAAGAATGCAAAACTAGACAAGCAGCGACTCAATGTTGAACCCCAAGGTGTCCTGTAAAACCTTGACCTACCAATACTCTAATTTTGCTTTCCTCCGTTACTATTTCTGCTGCTGTTGAGACCATATGTGACATCTAATGAGTAGAAAACAATTCCAGACCAAACTAATGTAAAGCCCCAGTCGCACATTCACGGTTTGGAGCTACGAATATCTACGGTTTACCAAGAATCAATCGATCACGATGAACCGTCGAGATTGGTGGAGAAATCGACTTTCTAAGAATGCACTACGGTTTCAGGACGGATAGCCATGACTGTCCTACAGTTTCTCTACCAATACACCACGGTTTGTCAAGAATATGGACAGATTGGTGAAGAATATCGATGGTTTTACTAAGAAGAATGACGTTAAAGCCACGGTTGTCTGCGATTGGGCAACGGTTCTCCTGCGAATAAAGCATACATGTTTGTAGTACAACCTTAGCAGAATCCTGGCATATCCGGGCATATCCGTTGGACATTCGTAGAGATTTCTACCATGAATGAGCTACGAATCTCCAAGAATATGTACGAATAGCCACGAATAACACTACGAATTAGTACGGTTGTCCTACGGATGTCCCATGGTTGCACTACAGATTGATTTTCATGACGCTTCACCACGGAAGTTTGGAACAGTTTAAAACTTCCGTAGCCCCTCCACGAATACCCAAGGAAGATGACGGATAACCACGGATGTACTAAGGATGAATACGGCACCTCCACGGTTTATCATGAATTTTAAATCGTGGATATTCGTAGGTCCAAACCATGAATGTGTGACTGGGGCTCAACGGCCTTGTACGTGTACATCATGTGGTCGGACGTACGTTGGATTTTATGGAATTGCCCACCTGTGATTGAGTTGACTACAACTCCAGAAAAATAGACCCGAGCGTGATCATGGTGCACAGATATCCCCCCCCCCATCTCTTTCTACCACCGTGAGGGGGGACTTGTCCTTAAATCCATGCACCTTACAGTTCATCTTTTCTGTAATCATGGCAACCCATTTTCTTCCCCCTCCTCTCCCGCAATAGCAGGACCTTCTCGCATGGACCGGCAGATGCCCATCGGCGGCAACTCCAAGGCGGCACTGCGCAACATGCTGGTGGATAGGAAACAGCCGGGGAACCAGGGACACAACCAAGCGTCGGTAAGCATTGCAGGTCAAAGGTCAAACGGTCATATGAGTAGGTCAGCCTTTTCTAAAAAGTGGGATTTGTTTCGAGTTTTGCCTCAGCTCATACTTCGTAGTCATTAAAACCCTTACAATCATGGATCCCGCCAATTTCAATACCATATTTCACAAACCCGAGGCAGATAGGGTTAAGTAGCCTTATACTGACAAAAGCAAACATACAACTTCAAACGTTTTGCTTTGTTCTATATAGGCGTGGACGTCAAATCTTCCTTTTCATTAGCACGTGCGTGTTCATTGCATGGTCGCTATGTATTTACCATTCAGTACTCCAGACTCAAGAACCATTGAGTTTTAAGTAAATTCGTCTGGGAGGTAGATAAGCCAATGTAAAAAAAATTCCCTGATGCCCGCATCCACCTATAGATCAATCCAGTGGTTCGGAGGGAGTCGGAGGGGGTGGGGGTGGGGTTAGAATCCCTCCACCCCCATATGACCAAATAAAAGGTAGGGGAAGAGGGCATACAGCCGCACATCTGATCAATGTGTTGATTGTGCTCTCTGCGCAAGGCCAGCTTTTAGGTGGCACACTTTATGCAGATGTGGTTGAAGCCATGAACATGACCATCCGGCATATTGAAATTGTTTGGGGGGGGGGGGGAATTTGGTTAACACCAAAGTTAAAATGTGCCCAGCATTCTGAGCAAGTCAGTGTACCAGATGTTTTTCATATTTAAATCCCAAAGGCTATAGGTCACCCGCAAATGGCTTATTTCAAAATGGGATTAGTGTATTGCCTTATTGTATAGTCTGCGTGTTTTATTGTCAGTCAGTGACATAACTTAATCAGTGTCTGTCTTACTTTGAGTGCGTTCGATTCCCCCAGCTTACTCGCGCCTGGCTCCTCGCTTGATGACAGACATGCGCAGTGGAGCTAAATAAGCAAACGGTTTCGAGTAAAGTTTCGTGCAAGAGCTGGAAAGTTGAACTTTGGCATGACACAGGCTGCATCCGAATCAACTGTCTAGAACTAGCTCCAGCTCCACGCCCATGAAATTTACGCGGGGACGCGCTGACAATCGTATAACTGTAGCTCTGGAAGCCTGTTTCGGACATGGCCTGAAGGGCCTGCCGGACGTCACGTTGGCAGCCATGTTTATTGCATGGCCTTATGGGATACTTACCCAAGTAACTGGCTCGGCGAGTCGGTTACTTGGGCCAGGCTCGAGTAAGCGCGAGAAGCCACGTGAGAAGTAAATCGAACACTGTCGCGCTTGCATGAGTAAGCGCGGGGAAAGTAATCAAACGCACTCAATATGCCAAACTTTATCTACCAATGTGCACCATACAATCATGCTGTTAGTTCTGAAGCAGGAACTTTCAATACCAGAATTGTTTGCTTTTCTGAGCCATAAGAAAGTCAGCCAACTCGGTCAGTTCACAAATGCCAAAGGGACATCAGAATAATAGGGCTGTGCATCGGAACCTGGTACCCAGTACCCGACCGTTGATGTCAGGAACTGGTTCCAGATTATGGAATGGTGGAACGTTGCTATAACAAACAATGTGGGATCCCCAAAAATTGTTCGTAATAATGATCGTTCGGTATAGCGATTTTCACACGTTAGTGGCGCCCTCTTTTGATCATTGTTATTGTGTAGTTGCATTTACAAACCACGCGCGGATCAGAGTCGCCAAAAGTGTTCATTAATATTTTCAATTCCGTAGCAGAACTTCACCAAGTATGCCCTGGTAGTTACTGAAAGACGACTTCGAACACTGCGACTATTGAATCATGTAGCCTAAATACACAGTTTTTGGGCTTGCATGGGTGGCTTTTTCCAAATATTTGTTGGGGAAATAGTGGCCACTTGTCGCTCTTCTGTTGACATTTCCAACAACAATGTTAGGTACGTTTTGTACACAAAAATTGGGAGCCAAGGCTGATTTTCGGTTTAGCCGAATGTTCGGTATAGCGGTGTTCGGTATAGCGACATTCCACTGTACCCGTAACCAACTTTACATATTACTTAGTAATTTCTCTGACAATGAAACAGAAAGGTTTTGAATGTCATTTGTGGGGAATTTTCAAAATAAAAACCAGGCCACATGGGAAAACAAAACATATTTCACGTTTACGACGCTTTCGAAAGTTGCACTGTACACACTTGAGCTATAAAGCTCACTGTACACACTTGTATCTTGACGCACCAATGTACATGTAGTAGTATTATCGTGCAGACCTTTATAAACAATCTGAACAGTAACTTCCGAGATTTGAATTTTGGGGTTGGGTTTCTTTATCGGGTACCTGAGTACCAGGTTGTTTTTTTAATCGGGTACCCGGTTCCCGTACTACCGTAAGTGCACAACCCTACAGAATAAACCATGCAGTGACTGCAAGCATACACGATTACTTCAAGACGAGTTTCAGAAAGTGCTAGGACCAATTCACGGAAGGTTCTGAGCAAGATAACTTGTTAAAAGTGTAGTCCATCAATTGTAATTTGTGCATTTTGTTCGTTTGAAGCAACAAACGTACTCAAAATCTGAAGAAGGGTGCTGAATAACTAGCCTGATGAAGTTTCAGCTCAGCTTCAGCTGTATATTCAGAGAAAAACAGCATTCTAGGATCTTGATTTTATATCAAAAGTTGCTGAATCCTGTTTTGAATTGGGCCTGAATTAAGCGTCCGAGACACGTTCTCACTGAGCCGATTGCAGCTACCCGATGTCGTGCACTGATCCGACGAATTATACATGTAGCAATCGCGTGCGCATGTGCGTCGTGCCAACGCTTGCACCCGCTTCGCCGAATTAAAAAAAAAACTTCTAACGGAAATTTCCTACGGTGCGTCTTAAGATGCACCGTTGGAAAGGCCTTCTTTCGTTGATTTCTTCAAAATGACAGCTTGCCAGAAAGAATAATTTCACAGGGAGTTTAGTCCCCTTACTATATTTCAACCAAGCACGTTTTTCAACAATAATTATGTCAGGTACTTTTTGGATAGCTGCAAATGATGGACTCTGGCTTTAAGCGCAAAATTTTTTGGCTGCTGCTTGTAGTCGGATCTCAGCTCTTATATTACTACTTCATTGTTATAGCTTCGGTTTGCGGTAACACCATGTGGTTGTGTGTACGGTACTTTCGCTCAGTAGATTTAGTTCCGATAAGAGCTGTCCTGCTAGTTCAAAAAAGGACCTTGTCCTGCTTTTTATGTACTTTCGCTAAGTACATTGGAAGTGGTGCTGTGGGGTGCTGTGGTCCAATAGTTACGGTGTTCGACTCTTGTGCCTTGGTACATGGGTTGGAATCCTGACCATGAGAACATGGTGCTTGTGCTCTTAAGCAAGGCACTTTACCATTATTGCTCCGTCCTTCGGATGGGACGTAAAGCGGTAGGTCCCGTTTGTTGTGTAATGCACGTTAAAGAACCCAGTAGTACTTATCGCTAAGAGAAGGGGTTCGCCCCAGTGTTTCTGGCAGTGGCTGCAATATGCGCTGCAGCACCTTGTAAACCCTTATAAGGTGCTACATAATGGGTATCATATTTCTCATAAACTTCATTTACCTTTCTTTAATAATAGACATAATTTCCAGCACCTTGAGTACCTAATTCTTGGTAGATACGTGCGCTATACAGGGTGAGTCAAAAAGAAGTTGACCGGGATTGGTGATGTTTTTCAAAACAAACAAATGACACTCAAAAGTTCAGTAAAGCACATATTTAACAAGCACTCTCTCCTGCTTATTAGACAAAAAAAAGAACGAAACAAATTGATCATTCCTAAGAGGAGTTATGTCTATTTTAATAAAGGTACTCATTTTGCAAGCTGTCCACGGAATACTTGAACAAACAAATGTAAAGTAAGCATATTCACATTAACATTCCATGGACAGCTACAAACATGAGAGCTTTAAGTAAAACAGGCATAACATCTCTTAGGCCAAAAAAAAAAAGTCTCCGGTTTCTGGTATGGAGCTTGTCCAAAAAGTGGTGCGGCGACGCGGCTTTTTTTTTTTTTTTTACCCGACTTTTTTGATTCAAATGTCGGCTGATGACTGCAAATGGTGCCCGACTAAACTTAGTACAAATATATGGGAGTCCAGAGAGGCCACATAAAGCTTATTCTCGATCATAACCCCATCTAAAAACACGTTGAAATTGCGCAGCAGCAGAATTCCAGTCAAACCAGTGAGTTTGGCGGTTTTGAGACATCATCTTTCATTGAAAAAAAAACTTTTTCATTTTGCCGACGCGCATGGCTACGGCGACGCGCGCGCATACCAGAAACCGGAGACTTTTTTTTTTTGGCCTTAGGAATGATCAATTTGTTTCATTCTTTTTATCAGATAAGCAAAAAAGAATGCTTGTTTAATATGTGCTTCACTGGGGTTTTGTGTGTCATTTGTTTGTTTTGAAAAACATCACCAATCCCGGTCAACTTCTTTTTGACTCTGGTATTATTATTAATATTATGTAGGGTGTATACTCATGTTTCAAAACCTCTGACACTTACATTAACCCTCTTAGTGGGACGTCAATATTCAGAGCAATGTGTCCAAATAGTTGTAGGTGAAGGGATATGAAGTGTTATGACCCTTGCTCTTTCGGTGTATATAATAGGGCGTATCATATTTCTTGAATGTGGTCCTTGGAGGGGTGACCACTGCCTCAATCCTGCAAAATCCTCCGGCAATCACTGTCAATATGTTGAGGCAGAGCCAGTGACATCCTAGAGCAGTGCGGAGGATTTCAAGTACAATCTAGGCCTATGCACGGCTGAGCATAAACAACACAAGGTGCAGCCCAAGACCTTGACACAGTGCATTCTTCGAAATCAGCCACACACTTTTGCCATGTAGCCTCAATCCTGCAAAATCCTCCATTTTGCTAAGAGTATTTGGGAGGATTTGGGCGGGTATTGGGTTAAAGTTCTGTGTTTCATGTCCATGGGCTCCGTGCACGAACAAGAGAGGGCGCTCTTCTACCACATTCAAGAGCCCAGTGCGCGTACTGGTTCGCGCGCGTAAAGCAGAGAGTACGCATGACTAGTTCTTTTCTGAATGTGCACAAAGCCATCACGTCTTTGTGTCAGCGTCAGGCGTCGTCAAGCAGTGCATTCAAATATCTCTCCCAGTGGTCTCCCCTAGCTGTCCCTGTCTTACCGTTGAGGGGGTACTTGTGCACGGAGCCCGTAGCACATCGAGCCCCGTTACAGATGGCTTGAATACGTTGCCATTTTGTGAGGGACTTATATAAGGCCAAAAAAAAAAAATAAGTCGGTCTCTGGTCAGCGCGCGCGTCGATTTTAATCATGCGCGTCAATCTTTTTTTTCCCAAAATGTTCCGCGGTAGCTCCAACAGCGCCCTCTATTGCCGCACCTCCTCAATTTTTTTTACCAAAGAGCACCAAGGAATGGGAAATTGCACCAAGGCAAATGATCGAGAGCACCAAGGCAAATTATGGAGGACACCAATGTACATGAGGACACCAAAAAAAGCAAAATAGTACCCCACCTTGTCTGTACAATCTAAGCTTGTTGAAAAAAAAAAAGCAAAAAAAAAAAAAAAAAGCCGCGTCCCGGCGTCAATTCTGGAACTTTGGTCTGACCAGAGACCGTTTTTTTTTTTTTTGGCCTAACTGTCAAAAAATAAAAACCAGGGAAGGAGGAATCATCTGAGCTTGTCTGACTTTTTTGCCACACACTCTTTGCAGAGAGAGGATGGCCTGAACTTTGGAAGTCCCATTTTGAAGGTAAAACAGTCCAAACGCTATCATTGTCTTGCATTGCTTTTTTTTTTTTTATTAAACTGACTCCCCCCCCTCATTCAGGCTGGCATTAACTCCTCCCCCTGCTGAATGCATGATCTGCTGCTGCATGTAAGGTTTATATGAACATTTTTAATCCCTCTAAAATGGTTTAACAGCTGACGAAAAGTGTCGCCTTCCCTCTGCATTGTTTGTGACAAAAGTTGATCATTCTCTGAGCTGAAAAGAAAATAGATTGTTCTACTTGTCTGTGCATGTGTTGCATGCTGGTCGATTTGACGACTTGGAAGTCGATTTAGATTTCGTCGTTTTAGTTCTGTTTTCGTTTGTTGAATAGCTTGGTGTGAAAAGTCGCTCTGAAGTTGTGATAGTGTGCATGATATGTTTCTACCGGTATACTTAGAAGTTTGGTTGTTGCAGACTTGTTTGCTACATGTAATAATTTTGCAGTCTATTCCATAAGAAATTTTGAAAATGAAAGCTCTCACAACTTTGATGGTGACAGAACAGACAAAATAAGAGTAAATCAGAAAGTAAATAAACAGAGATCCAGATAAGTCTTAAAGGCAACTTTGATAGGAGGAAATGGTATACAAATATTGAGTGGCTCAGCGTGGAATGGGAGGAATATTATCGCAAGGTAAAATCTGGACTTTTCCATTTCAGAGGCAAAGCTGAGTGAACTGGAAAAGTCCAGATTTTACCGAGCGATAACATTCCTCCCATTTCACAATTTAAAGCCACTCACTATTTGTTTTATATAACTGACATATAGATCCTTGTCATTTAATATTTGAACTTTTTATTTCAATACAAAATTGGTGGAAAATGTATTTCTCTCTTCCAAACCACCCCTTCACGAAAAATGTTTGAATCCAACGCTGTAGCGCTGGCTCTTTGGAACAATATGCGCTACGCGCATCGCTGAACGCGCACATCAGCATGCATTTGCACACAAATACCGCGTCATGGAAAAAGAACGATTCTAACTGTTGAAATGTCCCATTCCCATGGGCGAATGGGACTTTTTGAGCCCCGGCGTGAATGGGAGCAATGAAGAATGTCACGTGATGTGAGTTCCACCAATCAAATGACAAGGATCTGTATGTCGGTTATACATTGACTGCTTCGAGTGGTATAGTAGAACTAGCCTCCCGAGGTGATCCATGGAGCATTCTATTTTGTTTATTACCCAAGGCGAAGCCGAGGGAAAATAGAATGCTGTATTGTACAAATTGGGGTATTGTACAAGGCAACTGCCCTGTGACGGATGAATATCTGAACAGTGACTAGCACAATGCCTTCGCCATTGAAGGGTGCCTTCATGATGGAATTGTTAGCATGCCTGGATTGGTCTGTTGATCACAATGAGCGATCAACGAGTCAGCTTCGATGATTATTACGGTACCTCAAAAATTCAGAAATCATCCTGAAACAAAGTCAATAGTATATAATTTGCAGTGCCAAACTTATATTTTTTGCTTAAATTATAAGCATTCTGATAGCTTTTGAATGTAGACTCCGTGTATGAACACTAGATGGCGCTATTTGACCACTTTAAAGATCCCATTGCACAGGATCGGACGCACCATCTGTGAGTGTATGTTCGCGCATGTGTGGCGTGCAGTTCGCGCAACTAATTTTATTCTCTCAAAGCCATAGGGCCTTTGCGTGACTGTCAGGCGCCGTCAACAATGCGAAAAAAATGTCCCTCCCAGTGCAGTGGCATAGCTGGGGGGGGGGGGGGGAGGAGGGGAGCCTGCCCCCCACAAATTCCCAGTGCACCCAAATGCCCGCCCACCAAAAATCTGAAAATTGCCTCTTTCCTAGGAAGTGTTTTTGAAAGTAATTTTTTGGTTTTTTTTTTACTTCCTTTAACTGTACGACTTGATGAAATGTGATGAAAGGAGCCCGTGTGCACAGAGCCCGTAGAAGGAACACATTTTTTGGGAGGGGAGGGAGAGGTTAATTTCTGTGTGATATGCACAGTCAGTAAAGAAATGACTGACTGCCATGCTAGAAAACCAATGTGTTTTTTGGTGTGTTTTTTTATTTTTTATTTTTTTTTACTTTATGCAGCAACCGTACAGCGTACTTCTAACCCTCTTTGCTTTGCATGAGTAAGCCTTTGTAACAAACTCAACAACACTGTACTACAAACAGAATGTTTGATGTACCGTTGTTTAAGACAGTGTCTGCAATACAGTCCCCTATCACATGCAGTTTCTTTTCAAACTCCAAGCTGTTTTCTAGCATATCTATTAGCCTTTTCGGGGTATGGCAGACACAATGGGCTCCGTGCGCCAACGAAAGAGGGCGCCCTTTAACCTAGGTTGACGCAGGTTGACGCGCACTGTTCCTTGTGTGCAGGGATTCAGTTGTACTATGTACACGCAGTGCTAGTGGTGGCGGCGCGTCGCAGCAAAGTTGCAGTCAGGCAAGATGGCGTTGGTCGGTCATCCTCAACTGTACTTTCTTTGCCAGTGAGGGGGTACTTGTGAACGGAGCAGATAGTAGGGCACTGTTTGAATTGGGTAAAGTCGTTTGTATTTACCCAAACCAAACAGCGCCCTCCTTTTATGTCCGCCATACCTCAAATAGGCTAATCCGAGCACACTATCAAGTCTGTCAGGAAGGCCCCCTTCAATGGCGAATGCATTGTGCTAGCTATTGTTCAGATAATCAATCACGGGGCAGTTGCTTTTTCCTATAGTGTGCACAATGGTTTCTCCATTGTAGGGCCCTTGTGAGTATACAGGGTGAGTGAAAAAAAACCCCCGAAACCCAAACGTTGGGACCATTGTTTTAGTGAAGTTCTGCATGTAGCACTTTCAAAATCTAGGATATGAAAGCCCCATTCACAAGCTTTCTTTTAGTACACGAATCATTCAAGTCACTCATGTACTTTTCAAGTTATGGAATTTTGAACACCACCACCGTTTTAAAATTCTGTCCGGATCACAAAAAAGTTCAGTGTTCTTTCAGCAAAACGAAAACAAATCACATAGGGATGTGTGTGAATTGTTTTCGTTTTGCTGCAAGAACGTACACCTTTTTTGTGATCCGTTGACAGAACTTTAAACGGTGGTTGTGTTTGAAATTCCATAACTTGAAAAGTACATAAGTAATTTGAACGATTCTTGTACCAAAAAAAAAGCTTATGAGTTGGGCTTTCATATCCTAGATTTTAAAAGTACTACATGCAGAACTTCAATGAAACAATAGTCCCGACATTTGGGTTTCGTTTTTTTTTTTACTCACCCTGTACAGTGATTCCGTGCCTGGATTTGTATAGATTGGTTTTTACACACAACTCCTTTCTGCCATGCTGAAACTGCTCATGACAAATGCTGTGTTTGTTTTATTTAGGGGGGGGGGGGGGTAGACTGGGACACTATTTAACAATATTTTATGGAATTTATTTTTGCTCCAGCAAGGGATCACTGTTTGCATTACATCTCTGTAAAGTTATCTTAATGTAGATTGTTGAGTAATTTTTTTTTTGTCAAGCTGTGAACAAAATATAGCATAGACTTGTCAACTTCATGCTCCGTGAATCATTATTTCCGCCAAAGGTTCCCTTAATGTGTTCGTGATTGTTTGCTTTCCAGTATGTGTTTTGAGTGAAGCCTTTCTTTATGTATGCTGAATTTGTTAGAAAATTTCACACATTAAAAAAAAACCTAGCATGGTTTTCAAGTTAAGACTACTGCACTAATAAGCAGGAGGTCGTGGGTTCGAATCCCGTCCGAGTAATTAGCTTGTAATTTTTCACAAGCTCTCTGATGACAGTGAGTAATAAGGCCGTGTCTGAAACAGGCTTCCAGACCTAGACCTACAATCCTGGCCAAATCTCGCTGGGCCCCTAACCCCCCGGCTCCCGTTCAATGTTGACTCTCATTGTGCAGTGTGTGCTCCATCAGCTGGAGAGAACAACATTGACCGGGGGAGCGGGGAGTTGGTGACCGTAACAGGCTCAGGAAGTGTCCCAACCATTTTGGCCGGGATTGTGGCTCTAGACAGCTGATTCAGATGCAGCCTAAGATGCGACTGTCAGTGAAGGGTGAACTCCGATTAAAGCAGAAAATGTATTCTTTCAAAAGTTTGCATTTAACATTTTTGGTGGTTTTTGTTTGTTTGTGGAATTTGTGTTTTGTGTAGTATCACCTGATGCAGAAGCGACAGCAGATGGCCCATTTCAAGCAGCAGCAGCAAGCAGCGCGAGCCATGGGGGGCTCCAACGTCTCAGGGGACATGTACATGCCTTACAATAAGGGTCCCCATGAAGGACCCATGCACCACATGCAGCCTGGACAATCTCAGGTAAGCCACAGGAAAAATAAATCTGGAATTTCTGTCTTCTGAGACAGTTGAATGCATCATTATGTTCTCAGCTTATTGCCTTTGTTTTTGTTCTAATTTTTTTCCCATTTTCTTTTTGTTCTATCCCACATCCCAAAGACTTTGTATACGTTTTTTTGACAGGCACTTTAGTCTCTTCGAAAGCTTTTATCTTTAAATCAAACTTGGCACAAGGAAAGAGCTTAGTCAACAAAATTGATGTGAAATGCAATCAGATTGACTTTAAACTTGGTACAGACAAAGACCCCATGGTGACGTTGGTGCTAGACAAGTTACGTCATGATGACGTCATCACTACGTCATCACTGGTCACGTGACTTCAGCTTGAAGTTGCATTTTTCCAAGTTCTATTTCTAGAGAACTAAAATGCCACAGGATTGACTGGCTGTGACTGTTTATGTAGCTTGATACAGCTATGTTTTGACTTTAGGTGATTGATAAGCCAGCTGTGCCTACCCCTTGCCTGTTTTTGTCTGTTGACTGAATTTGACTAGTCACAGTGCCTGCTTGAAATACGATCTGACTGTTGGCGACTAGCCTGTGTGAAAGGCATGGCAGGGGAAGAGGATTGATTTTTGACTGTCTGTGACTGTTCAGACAGCAGGAGGGTTAAGACTGGACGACTTAAGTCTTTTTGATCCATCGTGCCACCTGCAGGTGCCGACCTCAGTGAGTTACAGTGGTTACAGCGGCCAGATAATGCAGCAGGGGCCGCTACCCAACGAGACCATGGTCTCCCCTAACTACAGCCACTACAGCGCCCACGGGGGCCAGCCCGTGGGGCCCGGGGGTATGATGGGACCCGGGATGGGACGGCCACAGCTACAGCAGGGCCAGCAGGGTTACATGAGCCAGCACAGACAGGTGCCGGAAGCTGTCAGGTAAGCTGAGCTCAAAAGACCAGGATTGCAGTACCACAGTCTTAGCTGGCTGGCTTAAAAGGGAATGTACATCATTAGCTTTTGCTGTAATTTTCGGAAATGAACAATTTGAGGGGTTAATATAATAGATCAAATATTGTTACACTGACATTTTGTATTCGAAAAAGCTGGAGAAACCAAGAAAAACAAAAATGTTCAAGTAGTCGGGTTCCCTGACTCCACAAAAGATAACATTTATCAATTTATAGATGCCGGAAAATTGTAAGGTAGGGGAACCAGTCCAGCTGACCTGCTCTTGTTCATGAACATGTAACCAGTAGCAAACAAACTTTGGACTGAAAAAATGTTAAATTTGGAGCAGCAGTTGAAAAATAGTTAGGCCGACCACCATTAGAAATGTATACAAAAATACAATTTTCTTGAAAATGACTTCACACCAGGTGCCATAATTTACAGGATGCTTTAGACTGTCATTTACCAACATCCTAGTAAGGTATTTCATAAAAACTTGGTAGTTTTATTTTTCGATGTTTGCAATTGTTGTATATTCTCTTTAATCATTCCAATTTTAGCTGGCTATCACTCTTAGACGGTCTTGGTTGAGACACCAAGGTCTTTCCTAAGCCTGCTCAGAGTAATGATTCACAACGAACATTCCATGGTAATGGCTGTGGTGCTCACGCGTCATAATACCAGAGAAACTGCACTATTTTTTTTGGTTTGCGTGATTCAAATCATGTGAAATCAAATCTGTCAATTACGGGATTTTATGTGGAGAACATGTTATCTGCAGTACAACTCATTGTCGTTATATTTCTCCAGAAGATTCCTTCAGTCCTGGAAAATCCTCTCTCCAATCAGTATTCTTCTTATCAAACACATATATACAAATATTATTTCAGTACACCGATGAATAAATGAAAAACCCCAAGACCGTTTTAAGCCAGCCCAACCCAGGCTGACTTTTTAAAATTGTCGTAACACTTAGACTGTGTCATTGCAATGGTCTAACTTACAAACCGACTGACAGCCAGAGCTTTAAGACCATCTAAGGCCAAGTTCGCGCAAGGACTATAGTTGACCAATGGTTAACCATAGTCCGACTAACGTTTGCCCGAACTCTGTCTAGTCGACGGTGGTTGACTACGCTAGTCGACTATTTGGAACCAACCTACTGGGGCTGGTTGCATTGTAACGCTAGCAGAGAGCCAGGATCCAGAAGTTTTGGGATGACATTTTGACCAGCGTTTGACTAGAGACGTTCGCACGTTGCTATCAGTGCGCAGGCGTAAGGTACGTCACAAATCAACCACTAGTCGACTAATGGTCCTTGCCCGAACTTGGCCCTAAATGTCCATGTTGGCTTAGGTGTTTACATTTGTCATTGTCTCCCTCATTTCAACAGCAGGCTGCAGCATCAGCTGCAACAGCGAGCCTCCTCCATGCATCACGGCGTGGCACAGGGCAACCTGATACCCCAGAACCAGCCCGGCGCCCAGCACACCGGCGCCCAGCCTTACATGCCGCAGGATCGCCAGCGCCAGGCGCTGCAGCAGCAGCGGCTTGCGGTCCTGAAAACACAACAGCAGCAGCAGCACCAGCAGCAGCAACCGCAGCATCACCAGCAGGATCAGCAGACAGCTAGCCTGGTCAGCAGACTCAAGAGTCAGATGACGCAGGGAGCCCCTGGGAACATGGGGCCTGGCCAGGCTATGCAGCAACAACCCCCACCACAGTATAACCCCTACCAACAACCGTATTGAGTTGAACAATGCTACACGTGGTCGTAGTCGAGTCCAATCACAAGGCAGTTCACAAGTCCAGTCACAACTAGATCACAAGTCCTGTCACAAGTAAATCACAAGACAGTTCACAAGTCCGGTCGCTAGTAAATCACAAGACAGTTCACAAGTCCAGTCACAGGTATATCACAAGTCCAGTCACAAGTAAATCACAAGGCAATTCACAAGTAAATCACAAGTCTTGTCACAAGTAAATCACAAGACAGTTCACAAGTCCGGTCGCAAGTTAATCACAAGAAGGTTCGCAGGTCCAGGCGCAAGTTAATCACAGTTTGCAAATCCAGTTACAAGGCAATTCACTAGCCCAGTCATAAGTCAATGACAGTCATAAGTACCACTGGGCGAGTAACTCCATTACTCGAGCACTCACGAGTAGTTTATGCCACTCGTTGATCCACTCGTGGTTTTTCATCTACTCGAGTACTCGTCCTGGTGTGAGTAGAAGCAGGTACTCAGGAGTAGCAATTTGGGGTTCAGGGTTCACGGCTTAATACGTCCCCTGCAAACAGGGAATCACTCCCTCCACCTCTCTCTCCCTAGGATTCCATTCATCAAACAAACCCAACAAATTCAAGTAAATGACCTGAAACGTCGCACAGTATAACTCAGTGCTGAAGAAGGTGGTGTGACTTGCATGCTATTTGTTAGTTGGTACTTCCTGTCATACTAACGTATATGTCATTTCCCTGCTTTTTATAGAAATTCAGTTAACTACTCACGAGTACTTGACTACTCACGAGTACTTGACTACTCACGAGTACTTGACTACTCACGAGTACTTGACTACTCACGAGTAACTTCTCTGCGAGTACTCGAGTAGAAAAATCCTCTACTCGCCCAGGCCTAGTCATAAGTGAATAGGTGTGCCCTAGGCACCAATTTTGAAACCACCTTCAATGTGAGTTTTCCTCCAAATGATACCATTTAAGACAAAATAATTTCACAGGGGTATTTGATACCAGTCCTATCTTCACTTTGAGCACGGTTTCTGTCATTAAATAAGCCAGTTTTGTATCTCGATGATATAGTCCATGTCAAAGGTCATTCAGGATAAAATCGCTGACGTGATGATACTTGATGTTACGCGGACGCCCATTCTGCTTGTAATTAACACGCGAGCGTCGTGCGTCCGGGTGCGTGTACACGTCTATGCGCATTTATGAGCGTTCGATTATCCTGAATGACCCGTGACCCATATGTTTGTGCTCATGCGCACACTGTGCTCATGCGCACACTGTGCTCATGCGCACGCTGTGCTCCTGCGCAGTTGAAATACCAAACTGGCTTATTGGTAGAGACTTTTCCTGGTAATTCAAAATGATCCAACATGGCTTTAAGATGGGGTGAAATAGTCTGGTACCCATGAAGCAAGGACAGACTGTACATTGACATACATACGTCCAATTTCTTTTTTGCGTCGGAAGGAAGAGGTTTATCTTCAACAATGTCATGGGTAGGGAGCTGAAGACATTATTTGTGCTAACATTTTATAATTGTGCAGAATTTTGGCCAATAATCGGAACGATAAAATTGTCCACTATTCCAGTGTGTGTATATATGCTATTTTAACTGGACAAGTCAGTCCACTATTTAATGTAATAATTCATATTGAAATAATGCGGAAATTTTGGAATTTTGACATTCGTTAAATATTTAAAGCTATTAAGGAAAATACAGTTTAACCTTGAAAAGTGAAATGTTTCCAAAAAGTGCTTTTTAGAAGGGAAGGATGCTGACAATTGAAATCATAGAAAGTTGGAATATTTCCACTGTTTGCTGAAATGGAATATGCTTTTGCGTCATCCTATGTTCTAATTAACTGAGAACGCTAATTAGACTATGAGGTGTATCTCTAAAAAATCAAAAATGTTGCACCACGAAGTGGTGTATCGCAATACGCCGTTTTACACGCTAATTCCCATAGTGCTATGACGTCACCAAGGAACGTCGACATGAAAAGTGTGAATTTAGCGTTTCACAAAACCGACGTATCTCCGTATCTGGCACACAGCCACCATTACGCGCATTGTATGAAATACGATAAACATGATAAAAATCTGTTTCACAAAGTGACGTGTATCTTGGGAACTGAATTTCTCAAAAACTAAGCAACTCAGATGCACACGGATTGCATACAATAAAGTTTAATCTATGATGTACTAGCAAAAACGAAACAGTTTGAATTCTTACACAGGGAGTATATGGAATGAGCCTACAAAATAATGACCGACTTAAAATCGATTTTTCTCAAAACACAAAAAAATGTGATACGTCGGTTCATGGTGCAACCAACGATATTTTGTAAGTTAATCGAACGCACTATTTGATAACTCTGTTTTTCATTCTTGAAGGTGTACTATGCACCGAGTCCATACAGGGCATTTTTATGTATACGTTTTGCAAGAACAGGTGTTTTGTCAACACATTGGAAACAGGTGGTGAAATGTCAACAAAGCATATTTACCACACCACAAAGTGACAGATCAACCAAAATTATCGACCATACCTTAAATATACAGGGTGGCCTAGCCCCGTAAATGTGGCCAATTTACTGGACTACCTCCGTAAATAAAGGCCACACTTCCACCGTGTACAAAAACATGTCGAACTTTGTCAAATTTAGATTTTCACATTTAGGCTTAGTTTGTAGTTTATTTTTGCTTTAGAAGCATACTCACCCTCTTTATAGGCTAATCAGAAAGTGCTGCCTTTTTCAAATGTCTATTTTTCGTGAAATTTCCAGATTCGTTTGCACACGTTTGCGTATCAAAATTTCAACATGAAATTTCACGAAAATTAGACATCTGAAAAAGGCAGCACTTTTTGATTAGCCTATAAAGAGGATGAGTATGCTTCTAAAGCAAAACAAACTAAGCCTAAATGTGAAAAATCAAAATTTGACAAAGTTCGACATGTTTTTGTACATGGTAGAAGTGTGGCCTTTATTCACAAAAGTAGTCCAGTAAACTGGGCACATTTATGGGGCTAAGGGTGGCCGAAAATACCGGAACGGCATACTTGTACTTCCACTGCCTTGAGACTCAAACCAGCTGTGGAGAATCTCTTTAGAAGAAATATGATACCAAGATCTTCCGATTCAGTCCAGTAGTTTTTGCTGCAAAGCCTATTTTGTGAAGCACACATCCTTCATGTGGATATTATTGCCTAATGATTAATCCCTCTACCCAATTTAATCAAATTCGTGTGCGCAGTTTAGTAATTCATTGGGACAAAATGACTCCAGACTCTGTTTCACAAAATAGGCTCTAGAACAAAAACTACTGGACGAATGGGGCGATCTTGGTATCATATTTCTTTTAACAGAATTCCCCATGCATTGGTATAGGTTGTTCGATTCTCTGGGTAGCAGAAGTATGCCTTTCCGGTTTTTGTTGGGCAACCCTGTATAGCCTCAAATACAGAGTCATGACCACAATTTTGTGGTGGAAATATTGTTTATAAATTCCTAAACTTGTTGTCCAGGGTTCCCATTTTTGTTTAACTATATTATTTTGTTTCTGTTAAGTTTCTAACAGAAAATTAACATTGGACACAGTATTGAACTTTTTTTTTTGAAATTAAATTAAAATAGAATTGTATGAAAGGTAGTCCAAACAGAATTGTTGTTTAATTATGAATGTTGTTAACTGCACTGTACAACAATGTATGATCAATGATTTCAAATTTGTAAATCGTGAATGATCAGTGATGAAATATTACCTCTGGAAAGAAAGACTATTAAATTGATGAATATTAACAACTGTAGGAATATTCATATTGTGTATTGATATTTCAATAAAGGTTGTGACATAGGCCTTTTATAAAAGCACTTACTTGTTGCGTTGCTTTCTCTGTATGTTGGGAGATCTTGACAAACATTGTAGTTTGTACAGGAAAACACTGGCCAATGCATATATAGAACTTCAAGACGTACATCAAGTATTTCTGAAGTTATCATGGGGACATTTCTACTGATAATTTCATTTTCATCTCACCTTCAACCTTTTTGCACTAAATTTTTCAGGTTTCTTTCTGGAAATTTCAGCAACATTACATGAATTACTTGGAAATTTTTCCAGATGTGCTGTTACAACTGATAATGTAGTAACCAACTGATAACGTATCACCAATCGATAATGTCACACAAATTGACCGATATTGTATCACTATAAACCGATAATGTAACAAAAAATGACGGATACTGTAGTAAATGTTACTACACTATCAGTCAATTCTTTTAAGTTATCAGTTAGGACTGATAATGTAACAATTGACTGATAGTGTAGTACATTTTACTAGACTATCGGTCAATTGTGTGTTACAGTATCAGTTAGTGATACAATATCGGTCAATTTATGTGACATTATTGGTTGGTGATACATTATCCGTTGGTTACTACATTATCAGTTGTAACACGTGCCTAATGCATTTAGTCTTATATTTCGTTCGATACATTAAATAGGATCCTCGATGACACAAAGTTAATGAACTATGGCCTTGATACTTGCAAATACTTTAGAAAAGTCTATATTTAAAGATAGACTTTTCTGAAGTAATGATGCCGACCTTCCTCCTCAGTTTTATATATTCATGACCCTTACCCTGACCTGTGACCTTTACTCCCAATCATAAAATAGGCTTCATTAAGACATGAATATCAATCTACAAATTTTGAGTTATAATCGCAAAAGTGTTTCTCAAGTTATTGCACGGACAAGAAATTGTTTACTCCGACACCCCCCCTTCCCCCACACCCAAACAGAAGGAAAAGCAGCGAAGTTTTTCCCACCAACTTCTCATCAGGGAACTAAAAAATAAACGTGACAAAACAGTAATGTTCAATTTTTAATTCCCGCATTCCCTTCATTTATCATGCTGTTTCACATGCTTATTCTTTAACTGGATTTATTCAGGAAAGTGCACAACTGAAATTACGTTTTTATTACAATCAGAATACTAAGTAACATTTCAAAACAAAAGAATTAACACTTAAAAACAAATGAATCCAACGTAACTGTAAAATCCCCAGAAATTAGATTGTTAATAACTTTAATCATGCAACATGCGTGCTATTTGTTTTAAATTACAACTGAATAAATACTGACATGCAATTTTTTTTATCTTTAAAAGACTTTGTAAAAACGCAAAATACTTCCACCATTGTCCAAACTTCATCAAATAATCTTGAGAGTTTGGTATATCAAGCTTGAACTACATTTTGAACTTTTTGTGAGGAACACTGCTGGATCATCCAGAATCCACCAGTAAACTAGGCTTGGGCAACTCCAATAATTTTTGTAATCGAATCTGATTCCGTCCAAGAATCAGGATTCTATTTGGAAACGATTCCAATTTTTTCCACTGGCGAAAATAACATTGAATACACCTGTACGTGAATATTGGTTACAAATAGTGGTTAATCGCTAGATTATCTGTAGAAAATGAATAACGGAATAAATGTTTTAAACACTCTGTTTAAGACCGGTTGGAGTCTGGATGCCGATAACTACCAGAGCCGAAGGCAAGGGTAATTATCAGCATCCAGACTCCGACTGGTCGTAAACAGAGTGTATAATACCGACCAAGCACATGTTTTATAAATACCTTTTTCTTTCAAAAAATCAAAACTTTTCTGTCCACAAGTCAGAAATTATATATGTTCAACGATTTCTATCAACAAAATACCCTTCTACTGTAGCTATACAATAATGGAGATTGGCGAACGCGTTGCGCGTACTTCATGATGTGGCTTACAATGCAGGTGTACCCTGTGAAGTGTGAATTTAGGGCTATGAAATACACTGACTCAATGGTAGTATTGTACAAGCCTACTTGAGGATTGTGAACGTTCAAGCCATAAAATGGTGCTGGCACAGGATTTCATGGGAGTCCAAATTTCATGTGACACTGGACATCTGTTTGAGACCAGCCAGCCAGTCTTTATCAACCGTTTAAAACAGGCCATGTGACGGGCTCTCGACCAATAGGAATGGATAAACTGTATTAGGTATTTATGAATTCGCTTTTCATTAAATTAAAATAAAAAACATGCATTTGATTTCACGTCGTCCACGCAATTATGGAGTCGAAGAACATGCACTTTAAGTTTCAATTTTTTCAGAAACGATTCCATCAGTTATGTCATTTATAAACAACTTCTGCATGGACAGGGATTTGATTCCTCAAGATGGCAGACTCACGATTCCAATTTAGAGTTTGGAGTCAATTCTAATCGATTCTGGTGCAGAATCGCCCAAGCCTACAGTAAATTAATTGTAACATTCTTTGTAGATGTATTTGAGCTGTCAATGGGCATTAGACCCAATGTAAAGATCCTCAATATTGCCATATCCTGCAGGATTTTGAAGGATTGAAGGATTGGTGACGGTTTGTGTTAATGCAAATCATATGAAAAATGTCATGGAAATAAAGCAAAACTTCAAAAAACAAATTCCACAAATTTGGCCATCAAAAAAATTCTTGCCATCTAAACAAATAGGTTACTACCATATTAAACCATCCCAATGCAAGCATAGAACTGCTCAAAAAACAAAAAATTCAGTCAGAAATTCTGTGCCTCAAATGGCAATATTTCTTTTCAATGCTGAATTGTATAATTAAACATATTTCATGCCACTATTTTATGACACCAAAAGTCAAAGGCAAACAAAAGCCAAAACAATTCAAAATACGTAAATTCTAGAAATTACTTGGAATTCACAACTTTCAAGAAGCTGAATTCTCCTCCTCACTTGCGACTTACGACCGTCTCTGGTCCTCTTGATACTGAAACGAAACCAAAATTTACATATATTCAGCAAAGATACAGTTTCTTATAAAAGAATCCGGACTCACGCTTGATTCACGCCAACAAAACATTACATTTTTTCTGAAGCTAGGTATTGCACATGGGTAGTGCAGAAACCATGCACGAGTAGTGCGTGAGTAGTGGGAGTATTGTGTGAGTAGCGTGCAAGTATTGTGTGAGTAGCATGTGAGTAGCACATGAGTAGCACATGAGTAGTGCATGAGTAGCGCATGAATAACACCAGTTGTGCAATTTTGCATCGGTGGTGTTGGTTTATTTTTTCATTAAATACAAAAGACGATTATCATGTTGCGGCCATCTTATTTTCTTCCCATTCAAATCAACATAACCAAAGCGAGGCTGGAAGGAAAAATAGTCTGGTTCTTTTTTGCACAAAAAAAAATTAGCAATCAGTACTGCTATTGGATACAGGGAACATGACTAAAATGGTGGGAGCATGATAAAGGTCAATTACCACAGGTGTGCCTGTGAGACAACCGTCTTTTCATGTATGCTGTGGCATTTTTCCTTTATTTGTTTGCCCTCAAATGGAATACTGATGTTGACAGAAATTTTGCTAGCCATAGTACCTCCCTAAGGCCAAAAAAAAATAAGTCTCCGGTTTCTGGTATGGAGCTTGTCCAAAAAGTGGTGCGGCGACGCGGCTTTTTTTTTTTTTTACCTGACTTTTTTGCTTCAAATGTCGGCTGATGACTGCAAATGGTGCCCGACTAAACTTAGTGCAAATATATGGGAGTCCAGAGAGGCCACATAAAGCTTATTCTCGATCATAACCCCATCTAAAAACGCGTAAAAATTGTGCAGTAGCAGGATTCCAGTCAAACCAGTGAGTTTGGCGGTTTTGAGACATCATCTTTCATTGAAAAAAAAACTTTTTCATTTTGCCGACGCGCATGGCTACGGCGACGCGCGCGCATACCAGAAACCGGAGACTTTTTTGGGGGGGCCTAAAGAGGGTTGTATTTTATTAGTTATTTTTATCCTGTTACAATTTGCAGGTTGCAGGAATAGCTTTCACATCTCAGAATAGCTTAATACAATGCCAGTTGAAAATATCACACTGTATTTGCCATGGATTGACCAATCTGGAACGAGGATTCATCAATATGAATCTATCTACAAGTCATACAGGCTTTTGGTGAAGTTTTGATTCAGTGCACAGACACCTTTGAATAGGTAAGTGCTGTCGTGGTAGACCAATGTATACATCGCAAAAGCCTCCAAGCTAATCAGAAATTTCAGGACTCTGTTGTGATATCTTTTGTTTTCCAACAGTACAATAGTTTCAGAATTTGTCCATGACTCTGGAAGCACTGAATTTCAAACCACTACTTCATTGGTTTTACAGACAAAAAATCTAAATTCACAAGAACTTGAGTTAAAAAAATATTCACACATATCTTTGTCACTAATTGAAACAAGAAATTTGACAAAACTCACTGCAAGCAAAGTATGCTATCTCAGCCGTGCACGGCGCATGCTTCCACTTGTAGTCATCCTTTTCGCTGTTGACGTAAATAAATTGAGAACAAAACGGTTTACAGAGGAACCTCTGCAGAGCAAACCTTGCAAATGTGATTGGCATGATGAATAGAGTAGATTGGTTGAAAACTGGAATTTGGCTTCAGGCGGGGAACGTTGCATCAACTTTGATTTTGTGGTTTAAATACTCCAAACCAACCAAACAGTTTTTGTCTGGCATTGTTTTGGGTCATCATGCAATACAATCTACAGCGCGTCCCAAAATACCCCCACATTTTTTGGAGGCTCTAGCGTCGCTGCGGAAACACTTACCGCCATTATTTTTATATCATTTTAAAGCTTGGAATCTTAACTTTATCCCTGATAAGTATTGGTTTGATTTTCAAAAGGGTTTTGAAATGATTTGCGTTCAAATAAAGGCATGGCAAAAACAAACTCACCGATTTCAAGGAAAATCAACCATTTTTTCTAATGTGGAAATGCTTCATCATGTCCATGATGTGACGATCTCGTTTACTTGTACTTTCTGTGTTTCCTTTTCTTTTTGAGCCGCGTCGACTACACTTTACAATACTTAACAATATTGTTCTTCGTTTCAAGTTCAATGTATTTTTAATATAAATCAACTGGTTTCTTTTTGTTTTTGTTATTTCAACAGCTTGTTGATTCGAGTTTGCATCTGATGTACAGAAACAGATAATGCGGTATACCGCATCATCGATTTTCCTTGAAATCGGTTGAGTTTGTTTTTAACGTGCCTTTTTTTCAAACACGAGTAATTTAAAAACTCTTTGAAATATCAAACCAAAACTCGCCAGGGATACAGTTAACATTCCAAGCATTAAAATGGTATAAAAATAATGGTGGTATGTGTTTCCGCGCCGACGCTATTGAGCCTCGCAAAAAAAAAGGTGTGGTTATTTTTGGACACGCTGTAAATGCACCAAATGACATTTTTGCCAGTAGCAGGGCTGTGTCCACTGGGCATATCTCCTCATACTTACTTTGCAAACAGCATGGGGAGAATTAGCACTTACACTTTCCACACAAGCTTTACACGAAACAGCCAGATTTTAAAGGGAATATACATCATTTGCTTTTGCTGTAATTTTCAGAAATGGATGGAATTGGGGGGTTGGAAATATATAGCAAATATAGTTACATTGACTTTTTTGAGGTTTTGGGTTCGAAAATGCTATAAAAACCAAGAAAAACAATCATTTTCCTGTAGTCTGGTTCCCTGACTCCATTTAAGAAGAAACAGAGCAGTTTACATATATTGGGGAATTGTAAGGTCAGGGAACCAGTCTAGCTGGCTTGTACCCGTTCATAGGTGTGTAATCGATTGCAAACAAGTGCGATGGTCAATTGGGGCCAGTATTTGAAAAAAAGCCAGTTTTTTCCAATGCTGATCGACCGATCAGCGTTGGAAATTGATACACACATACCACTTTTCTTGAAAATGACAGTATACCAGGTGCCATGATTTTACAGGATGCTTTACACTGTCATTCACTAACAGTCCAGCAAGGTATTTCAAAATGATTTGGTAGTTTTATTTTTTGATGTTTGCAAATGTTGTATTTTCCCTTTAATAGAGCTATATACTCTCATATACAGGGTGTCCCCCAAAAAAGTTGTGCAAGCAAATATCCTTTAATTTCTCAAAAACTACTTAACATGAGTATTTCATCTTGATGGAGCATATTAATTATACTCTTGTGTATAATCAGTAAAAATGCCATGGGAATCCGTTCATGCAAACCAGAGATCCAAACAAAAGTTTTAATAATGGTCAAGCCACTGCTAGCCGTCTAGAAATCTTTACCTCATGATCAAGCAATCACCATCGCCCTTATCATCAGCCCACCAGGTCCAAGTGACTGGCGTGTCATCGAACCACTTCTTCTCATCATTCGACATACTGCCGATCCAAATATCACCTGCATCCATAAAACATAGGAGTTATTCATGAGCTGACAAAATTAATTCATAGCACTGCAGAGTTGACATCAGGTGTAAGTGCTTCTAGCAGCTTTCCGAGTTAGGGCCTGTAAACTCGGAAAGAATACAGTACTTTTATAGGTATACTCTTATCTAATGTTAATCCTTTTGTCAACAAACTGGCCCCTGTTATCACATACTGCTGCTAATCCCCTGCACTTGTCAATATCAGCTGTGTGACAGCACATGTGGATTTATTACACGAAGTGTTAGGGATTATAAAGCCACTGTTTGGACAAAGGATTAAGATAGATTAGAGGGCTGGCCAGTTTACAGTTAGATTGACTGTTTTCTCTCAGAAGTTTCTAGTGGAGTTACACGCAATGAAGATTTCATCGAAGGTCTTTTCTTCACAACTCTGAATGACTGTTACGACCAAGTCACACGAGGCAACTTTCACAGGCAATTCGGAGGCAACCAAACAGACTACAAGACGATGAACAAATTACATTTTTCAAACAGTTTATGGAACTTCTTTAAAACATTAAATGAAATTAAAATTTGCCTTTCGTTTGGTTCTTGGATATTGCCCAGAACAAGTTGCCTGTGTTTCATGGCCCTAAAGGACTCTGTGCGTGAACAGTAGAGGGCGCTATGTGACCACTTTCAAAAGCTCAAGTGGGAGGAAAACATCGAATGCACATACTGGTTTAAGCAAAGTGCTAAGTACGCACAACCTTTTTTTATTCTGAATGCACACAAACCAGTAGTGTCTTCGTGTGAGCAGCAGGCGCCAACAGCAATGCATTCGAATGTCTCTCCCAGTGGTCTCCCCAAACTGTCCCCTTTATAACTATTGAGGGTGTACTTGTGCACAGAGTCCTTAAGTCAGAATAATTGGTAAGTCTGGTCCTCTTTTTTACCTTCATGGTTGTTCCGGAAGGCTTCAGCAATCATGTCTTGGATCATCTTCTCCGAGATGACAGCCAGTTCCATCCCGCCCTGCCCGCTACAAGCAGCCACAGCGCTGGCCTGGGGTCCATACAAGCTTCCGTAGGACACCGATATCTCCTGTTGGATGTGCTGCCCACTGGAGGAGGACTGCTCGTACGTGTACTCACTGCCAGATGACTGGCTCTGGCCGGAACTCTGGCTCTCGTAAGAGGTCTGATAAGAGGTCTCACTCTGGCCAGATTGTTGGCTTTGACCAGATTGTTGGTTTTGGCCAGATGATTGACCCTGGTAAGATATCTCGCTCTGGTAAGATGTCTGACCCTGGCCAGATGCTTGCTTATTGTTCTTCTTCTTGTTTTTCTTTTCTCCAGTAGACTTCAGATCATCAGAAGCTGGTTTTGACTTGATCTTCTTGGTGGATTTTCTTGTCTTTGCTTTTCCACTGCCTGAACTGGAACCCTTCTGTTTCTTTACTCTAGTAGATGCTAGATCATCAGAAGCTGGTTTTGACTTGATCTTCTTGGTGGATTTTCTTGTCTTTGCTTTTCCACTGCCTGAACTAGAACCCTTCTGTTTCTTTACTCCAGTAGATGCTAGATCATCAGAAGCTGGTTTTGACTTGATCTTCTTGGTGGATTTTCTTGTCTTAGCTTTTCCACTGCCTGAACTGGAACCCTTGTGTTTCTTTACTCTAGTAGATGCTAGATCATCAGAAGCTGGTTTTGACTTGATCTTCTTGGTGGATTTTCTTGTCTTAGCTTTCCCACTGCCTGAACTGGAACCCTTCTGTTTCTTTACTCCAGTAGATGCTAGATCATCAGAAGCTGGTTTTGACTTGATCTTCTTGGTGGATTTTCTTGTCTTAGCTTTCCCACTGCCTGAACTGGAACCCTTCTGTTTCTTTACTCCAGTAGATGCTAGATCATCAGAAGCTGGTTTTGATTTGATCTTCTTGGTGGATTTTCTTGTCTTTGCTTTTCCACTGCCTGAACTGGAACCCTTCTGTTTCTTTACTCCAGTAGATGCTAGATCATCAGAAGCTGGTTTAGACTTGATCTTTTTGGTGGATTTTCTTGTCTTAGCTTTCCCACTGCCTGAACTGGAACCCTTCTGTTTCTTTACTCCAGTAGATGCTAGATCATCAGAAGCTGGTTTGGACTTGATCTTCTTGGTGGATTTTCTTGTCTTGGCTTTTCCACTGCCTGAACTGGAACCCTTCTGTTTCTTTACTCCAGTAGATGCTAGATCATCAGAAGCTGGTTTGGACTTGATCTTCTTGGTGGATTTTCTTGTCTTAGCTTTTCCACTGCCTGAACTAGAACCCTTCTGTTTCTTTACTCTAGTAGATGCTAGATCATCAGAAGCTGGTTTTGACTTGATCTTTTTGGTGGATTTTCTTGTCTTAGCTTTCCCACTGCCTGAACTGGAACCCTTTTGTTTCTTTACTCTAGTAGATGCTAGATCATCAGAAGCTGGTTTTGACTTGATCTTCTTGGTGGATTTTCTTGTCTTAGCTTTTCCACTGCCTGAACTAGAACCCTTCTGTTTCTTTACTCCAGTAGATGCTAGATCATCAGAGGCTGGTTTTGACTTGATCTTCTTGGTGGATTTTCTTGTCTTAGCTTTTCCACTGCCTGAACTGGAACCCTTCTGTTTCTTTACTCCAGTAGATGCTAGATCATCAGAAGCTGGTTTGGACTTAATCTTCTTGGTGGATTTTCTTGTCTTGGCTTTTCCACTGCCTGAACTGGAACCCTTCTGTTTCTTTACTCCAGTAGATGCTAGATCATCAGAAGCTGGTTTTGACTTGATCTTCTTGGTGGATTTTCTTGTCTTAGCTTTTCCACTGCCTGAACTAGAACCCTTCTGTTTCTTTACTCTAGTAGATGCTAGATCATCAGAAGCTGGTTTTGACTTGATCTTTTTGGTGGATTTTCTTGTCTTAGCTTTCCCACTGCCTGAACTGGAACCCTTTTGTTTCTTTACTCTAGTAGATGCTAGATCATCAGAAGCTGGTTTTGACTTGATCTTCTTGGTGGATTTTCTTGTCTTAGCTTTTCCACTGCCTAGACTAGAACCCTTCTGTTTCTTTACTCTAGTAGATGCTAGATCATCAGAAGCTGGTTTTGACTTGATCTTCTTGGTGGATTTTCTTGTCTTAGCTTTCCCACTGCCTGAACTAGAACCCTTCTGTTTCTTTACTCTAGTAGATGCTAGATCATCAGAAGCTGGTTTTGACTTGATCTTCTTGGTGGATTTTCTTGTCTTAGATTTTCCACTGCCTGAACTAGAACCCTTCTGTTTCTTTACTCTAGTAGATGCTAGATCATCAGAAGCTGGTTTTGACTTGATCTTCTTGGTGGATTTTCTTGTCTTAGCTTTTCCACTGCCTGAACTGGAACCCTTCTGTTTCTTTACTCCAGTAGATGCTAGATCATCAGAAGCTGGTTTTGACTTGATCTTCTTTGTGGATTTTCTTGTCTTTGCTTTTCCACTGCCTGAACTAGAACCTTTCTGTTTCTTTACTCCAGTAGATGCTAGATCATCAGAAGCTGGTTTTGACTTGATCTTCTTGGTGGATTTTCTTGTCTTAGCTTTTCCACTGCCTGAACTGGAACCCTTCTGTTTCTTTACTCTAGTAGATGCTAGATCATCAGAAGCTGGTTTTGACTTGATCTTCTTGGTGGATTTTCTTGTCTTAGCTTTTCCACTGCCTGAACTGGAACCCTTCTGTTTCTTTACTCCAGTAGATGCTAGATCATCAGAAGCTGGTTTTGACTTGATCTTCTTAGTGGATTTTCTTGTCTTAGCTTTCCCACTGCCTGAACTGGAACCCTTCTGTTTCTTTACTCCAGTAGATGCTAGATCATCAGAAGCTGGTTTTGACTTGATCTTTTTGGTGGATTTTCTTGTCTTAGCTTTCCCACTGCCTGAACTGGAACCCTTCTGTTTCTTTACTCTAGTAGATGCTAGATCATCAGAAGCTGGTTTGGACTTGATCTTCTTGGTGGATTTTCTTGTCTTAGCTTTTCCACTGCCTGAACTGGAACCCTTCTGTTTCTTTACGCCAGTAGATGCTAGATCATCAGAAGCTGGTTTTGACTTGATCTTCTTGGTGGATTTTCTTGTCTTAGCTTTTCCACTGCCTGAACTGGAACCCTTCTGTTTCTTTACTCCAGTAGATGCTAGATCATCAGAAGCTGGTTTTGACTTGATCTTCTTGGTGGATTTTCTTGTCTTAGCTTTTCCACTGCCTGAACTGGAACCCTTCTGTTTCTTTACTCTAGTAGATGCTAGATCATCAGAAGCTGGTTTTGACTTGATCTTCTTAGTGGATTTTCTTGTCTTTGCTTTTCCATTGCCTGAACTGGAACCCTTCTGTTTCTTTACTCTAGTAGATGCTAGATCATCAGAAGCTGGTTTTGACTTGATCTTTTTAGTGGATTTCCTTGTCTTTGCTTTTCCACTGCCTGAACTAGAACCCTTCTGTTTCTTTACTCTAGTAGATGCTAGATCATCAGAAGCTGGTTTTGACTTGATCTTCTTGGTGGATTTTCTTGTCTTTGCTTTTCCACTGCCTGAACTGGAACCCTTCTGTTTCTTTACTCCAGTAGATGCTAGATCATCAGAAGCTGCTTTTGACTTGATCTTCTTGGTGGATTTTCTTGTCTTAGCTTTTCCACTGCCTGAACTGGAACCCTTCTGTTTCTTTACTCTAGTAGATGCTAGATCATCAGAAGCTGGTTTGGACTTGATCTTCTTGGTGGATTTTCTTGTCTTAGCTTTTCCACTGCCTGAACTGGAACCCTTCTGTTTCTTTACTCTAGTAGATGCTAGATAATCAGAAGCTGGTTTTGACTTGATCTTCTTGGTGGATTTTCTTGTCTTAGCTTTTCCACTGCCTGAACTGGAACCCTTCTGTTTCTTTACTCCAGTAGATGCTAGATCATCAGAAGCTGGTTTGGACTTGATCTTCTTGGTGGATTTTCTTGTCTTAGCTTTTCCACTGCCTGAACTGGAACCCTTCTGTTTCTTTACTCTCTTAGATACTAGATCATCAGAAGCGGGTCTTGATTTGATCTTTTTACTGGACTTGAGTTTCTTCACTTTACTACTTCCTGAACTTGAAGATCTATTTTTGTCCTTGACACGGATACGCTTGCCCTTCAGGTCAGCTTTTGGCCCTGACACATCTGAAACACAAAGGTAAACCATACAATGTTCTAAGTTCATTGAATATTTTCTACATTTTTCAAAATGTTTTTGCTGAACACTATAAAGCTGCATCCTCTCTGAGTGATCCCCTTTGCTAGTTCCCAGGTTTTCAGCATTGCTGACGCTGCTAGCATCATGACTTCCGGCGTGATCCCTGGCTGCATGGCATAAAAAGGTTTAGGGCTTCTGACTAGCGCCCCTTGGGCAAAGACATTGACAAAAGGGGGACCACCAACATAGGGCTGGATAGCTCAGTTGGCAGAGCACCGGAACGGCAATCCGGAGGTCCCAGGTTCAAACCCTGCTCATGTCAATTTCTTTGTCTAATTTTTAAAAACTACCGTAATGCACCTAGTCAGTGTCCCTTTGTGGTTTACTTGAAAATTTGCGATAAAAAGTCACATCCTCTTTGAGTGATCCCCGTCTGCTATTTCCCGGGTTTGCAGCATTGCTAATGTTGCTAGCACTATAACTGTGATCCCTGGCTTCTGACTAGCGTTTCTTGAGCCAAGACACTGATCTGGCCTGGCATACTTTGCTCCAGCCTGACCTGGGCTTATTTGGTCTGGAAAGGCCTGCCAAGCCCAACCTAGCCCTTCCAGAGCAAACAGCCTCATCCAAATCACTAGGTTACAGCTGGAAGTAACACACTTGTCTATGGGAAGTGGCTACAGCGGCTTCCATAGACGCATTTATCATTGTAAGCCACAGCCAAGTTATCCGGACGTGGCCTGTGTCTAGGTGGTTTTACGTTCTTGGTTGAAATTGTTACTCACAGTTAACACAGATGAGAGGAAGAGCCTTCTTGCAGTTGTTGGCTCCCCATGCGTAGCTCCCGCCTTTTTTCCTGTCAGAAACAAGAAATACAAAAAAAACTTAATGTCTCAGGAAAAAAAAGAGGGAGACAAGGGAAGTTTCTGATAGAGAGGAAAAAACATATCTTTTAATGGCCTGTTGTGCCTTGGGATTGCCACTTTGTTGTGTGCATGCCACACTGAACTGACATGAGGACAAGTCGCTAGACAGTCGTGTTTTGTCTGTCGGCACCCCAATATTTACTAGCACGGCCCTGTGTATCGCGTTTTTCGTTTGCTGGCCTCGGCATGTCTAACGACTTGACTACTATGATTTCGGATGGATATTCACAAGTACCCCACAATTGTGACCAAGGGAGAAATACTGCAGACCCTTAAATGCCATAACCTGCCCAAAGAAAGACTTTTTGCTCATTCATATGACAAAGAGTCATGGGTTCTCTGTGCCAAACGCATGTACTGAAATTTATATCCTTGTGGAGACATTTCTTTGTTCCCGTGTAGTAAAGTTTTCGAGTTTGAAAGTGTAGTTTCAAAATGCTCTTATTATAACGAAAATTAATTTCCTTGGCTGAAATTTGGACTTAATATCCCTTTTCTAAAACTCTTCCATTTGCGACAAATCAACCTACATTGGAAATTCCTAGTTTTTGAGTAAAATCCATATATCTATTTTGTGAAAACCTTGTGGAGACGTATTCATATATAGAAACTGCCCTGTGGAGACGTATACAATCTTTTGTTCCCTATTGTGTGCATGTCTCCAGAGGGCACGGTGTATCAGATCTACTCCCTGCATGTAGTGTGTCCAACACACAGGAGCACATGAGTGAACACACAGTATTGCCTGCATGCACAAGCAAATAACAACACTCAGTTTGCGACATCGACAACACCGCTGCAGGATAAGTTACTAAATGGAGGTATAAAGTACCAAAGTATGACGTCATTTTGAACCGGGAAGTGTAGTGCAAACGAACGGAGTACGTGCACATGTTGGTTCACGGTCTGAATCACACGCTAATGTCTTTTACACACATAATTGTGCATGTGATGTATTCACTTTGGTACTCTATTTGGGTACCATTTTTAAATTTCACGATAAGGAATTGAAATATTGAGAAGAACTCACAGCTTGAGAACAGCGCATGTATGGTCCTCATCCTGCGGAGGCTCATCGTCCAGCCAGTTAGTGAAGGGCAGAACCACTCCGTTGGAGTCCTGCCAGGTACCGTCAGGCTGGAGTCTGCCATCAAGGTAAAAGTCTCCTGAACATGAAAGAGAGGAAATGGAGGCATATGGTCAAAGATGAAAATGTAGACAGCGGGTCAGAATTAAGTCAAGTCTTTGATAAGAGTTTGTAGGGTCTTGCAGAAAGTCTGCTGACAGGCTACAGATAGATAGGCAACTGTTGATAACTCTTGGTATCTCAGCCATTCTCTGCAAACTGTGTAAAAACTTTGTAGACTATGCCTTGACCTTGCAACTTGAAGAAAAAAAAATGCATAACCTTTGCCAACATTTCGCACACTCCATCAAGTTTGTGACTATAGATTAATTCACGGACATTCTCATTCACGCAGAGGGCAATTAAATTAGAAAAACATACACTATGTGTCCACTCAGGTCTGTTCGTCTCAAGCACAGATAAATTGGATATATTCAGTGGAAAATAACAATTAAGAAGAGCCCAAGGAGACAACAAACAGGACAGACTACAAAAGGATAGATCTGCAACTTTCACAAGTCACCTCCTAACAATCGCACAAAATGTCCCCTCACCGAGTTTGTTTTGCCCAAACAGCCCGCTGACGATCTGAGCCTCCTGTTCCTGGTCCCCGAATCGCAGCAAGTGACCGCCTCCATTGGCTGGGTACTTCCTCTGGCAGTAACTCGCCCCGGTGCGCCAGGTGAACCTCCCCTTAGGGAAGGACAGGTCGGCGCGGAGGGCCGTCATGCGCTCAAAGTCCCGCTGGGGAAGACTGGGCTTGACTTTTGGCTTGGTGTCTGAAGGAGAAAGAGGTTGTAGAATGGAGACTAGTACGAACACGGACTCACCATGGCGGGCCATGCAACGTCTGATACCAGCCCGCATGTTGATTGTCACGTTGACCTACCAGTATGACGTAAGGATCAACCTAATCAAATATCTACACCTGTACCAATTGGATGGTAAGATCAGCGTTACGTGCGAGTGTACAGGAGGCCAATCAAACTACAGCGTGAGTAAAAAAAAAACGAAACCAAAATATCGGGACCATTTTTGTAGTGAAGCTCTTCTTGTAGCACTTTCAAAATCTAGGATATGAAAGCCCAATTCCTAAGCTTCCGTTTAGTACAAGAATCATTCAAATCACTCATGTACTTTTTAAGTTACGGAGTTTTAAACACAGCCGCCGATTTAAGGTTCTGTCCACGGATCACAAAAAAAGTTCAGTGTTCTCTCAGCAACACGAAAATAAATCACATAAAAAAAGGATGTGTGTGAATAGTTTTTGTTTTGCTGAAAGAACACAAACCTTTTGCGTGATCCGTGGACAGAACTATATAACGGTGGTTGCGTTTAAAACGTCCTAACTTGAAAAGGACATTTGGGTTTCGTTTTTTGTTACTCACCCTGTATAGGGAGGCGGTACAGCCAAGACGCATAGCAACCAATATGATATTGGAAGCAAGAGGACATTGCCTGCCCTCATGTACATGTGTGTTGTGAGATCAGGTCAAGCTCTAGTCTAAATAAAGACTTAACCTTATATCCAACATGTACATATATATGAGGACAGTTAACGCCCTCAATGTTTCTGAAATTGTATTGGTTACATTGCGCTTAGACAACATTGCCTTAATACCTGTAGTATGATTTCTCAAGTGTGCATAATCATATTCGTACCAGTATATGTGCTATATTTAATGGTAATGTACAACTTTTGCAAACATTCTAAATTGAAAATACCAAAATATTATGAAATATCCTACTTGACTGTAAGTAAATAATACGATCAAGCACCTGGTGAAATCGGTGCATCTAGTATGCTGTCATTTTCAAGAAAAATGACGTTAACATCATTTCCTTGCAATGGTTAGGGCCTAACCATCGCAAGAACAAAACAAAACATTTTTTTTTTCAAATACTGCTCCCAGCTGACCAAATTTAGTTCAGTTTGCAATTGAATAAAAATCCATAAATGAGATTTACTTTCCCAAGTGACAAACTGGAATCATACCACAAGAGGCTGCAAGTCAAAATATTTTTATGAACAATTTGGAAGCTGGAAGAATCTATATCTATATCTATTCAGATATACCAAACTTATTGGAATAGTAAATATGTAGATGTCAAACTTTGATCAATCAAATTACACTGGGCTATTGATAAATTATACTAAAACTACTGAAAAAGTACCTTTTGGCTATTAACTAATCTGCTAAGGCATGACTTACTGAATTGACATATGAAACCATCCAGGGTGTGATCACAGGCCTCATCATGCCATTTAAATCCATGCTCAGTGCTGTCAAAAGTATTTAAAAAAAATTCGAATTCATTAGTAATTATCTATTAGTATCACAGAAGTGTTTTGAAATAAGCACCACAGGAAACAAATAAGGTGGAAAATAAGAAATTTAGTAGTGAAATCATATTAATGGAATAAACATGTGCTTGGCCGGTTTTAAACAAGTTTATTTAAGACCGGCTAGGGGAATGGACGCTGATAATGGTCAAAGCCGAAGGAGAGGGACGTTATTAGCGACAACGCCCCAAGCCGGTATTGTTAAACGGACTTGTTTAATACAGGCCAAGCACATATTTATTCCCATTCATAAATACCTTTTTGGTCAAAAAGTCAAAACAGGGCAAAAAGTATAAATTTCCAATGATTTGGTTTAACAATTTTATTTAATGTTTTTTAAACACCCCCTTAGCTATGTTATGGTATTTGCCTCTCGCATTACCTGGCTAAGGCTAGAAATAACACACGGGTCTAGGGGAAGTGGCTGCAGCCGCTTCCATAGGTGCATGTGTAATCACCAGCCGTAGCCAAGTAATACGGACACGGCTTTACTATCTGGAGCAATACAGTCTAGGTCCCTACCTTATGAATGCACAATTCTCAGCTGTGCCGCCACTAGGCTCCTGCTGATTACCAACCGAGAACCAATTGGTGTAGTCGAGAGCTTCGCCGTTACTATCGACGTACTTCCCTTCAGTGATGACATCGCTGGCATCAAACCAGAAATTGCCTGTTTTAAAAGAAAATCATGTTAAAGTTGAGAAAAAGAAAGTGACTGGAGCAAAGTTTGAACCCGCGACCTGCAGACTGCTGTACTGGAACTCTACCAACTGGACTATACAGCCCTATGGTGGCGGTTCCATACTCAGAAGCCATAAACCCGTATAGGCCAAACCCTGCTACAGCTGAATTCTTTTTTCAACTTTAAAACTATTGCAGCGGCGCACGGCCGCATGGTGGCGTATTCACCAAGCTGGAATTTAGGGTGGAGCCACTTGCAGCACGCGCGCTATCTCAGTACCTGGGGATCCAGGCACGACAGTGCACGCGCGCGTATCTTAGTCGTACGATGGGCCGAAATAAAGCAGAAATTGCGTTCGCGCTCTTTTAGGCAGTTCTGATCTGAAGCTTGTTAGAGAAAGACGTTCGACATTGAACACCGTCACAGAAACAACCGTTGTTAAATAAAACGATTATATAATGTGAGTACCTGTATTGATTTAGCGGAACATTGAATAGAATCAGAAGAGACAGGAAGAGAAGTTATCCACCCTAGTGTCCGTGTCACATTTAATTTATTCGTTGTATCGTGATGTTTGTCTTGTTTCTACTTACGTTAATTTGAGCCTAATCGTCCCAAAGAAAATCGCCCTTAGACCGCGAGGACTCGTTACACTATTTATAATGTAAGTCAGTTACCTGTTCTGGTTAGTGATACAAAATAGTAGACTGAAACAGCTATACTTTTACCAACATGTATTATTTTTTTGCCAAGCTTGATAATAATAATAATAATAATAGCGGGGTCTTATATAGCGTTTTTAACTAAGATCAAAGCGCTTTTCATTACTATTACCCCTGATCATTGGGCCAATGAAACAGTCCAAGTACCATCTCAACTCTGTGGGGAGTATACAGCTCGATGCTGCCTGTTAGGCGCAAGCAAGCTAATTCAATCCCAGTTACCATCTCTGCCCTCACAGGTACCTATTTACTCCTGGGTGGAAAGAAGCAATAATGGACAAAGTGCCTTGCCCAAGGACACACGCACCATAGCCGCTGGCTGGACACGAACCCACTCGAACCTGCAGAATTACCCGCAGACCACAAATTCAATGCTCCAGACCACGAGGCCACGGCACTCCACTAGCAACATGTACTTTTTTGGCCAAAGCCTGATGTTTTGTGCACAAAATATACAACCATATTCTCCAACCAAACCAATACAAAGTTACTGCCAACATTTTTTTTTATCATTCCTCATCTTACCGATCAAGCTCTTGCCACTCTTTCCTCGGCTCAACATCTTGATGATGTAGTCCATGGTCTCCTGGTCGCTGATCCGAGCCAGGTGACCCGACCCGCCTCCCGCCTTCCGGCAATACTGGGCAGCCTCCGCCCACGTGGAGGCATACAGGTCGCCCCGGAAGAACTGGTAGTAGACCGTGACTGGTTTGAGTTGGGGAGTCGGGACCATGTCTCTTTGGGGTTCCTGGGGGACTATTAGACGCTCATCGCCATCTGTCATTTGGAAATCAAAATGGCAAAAATTGATACTTGAACATTAGTTGTTGGTTGATTTCATGCACTGGGGAGATGAAAATTCCTATGGACTCAATGCGTGAGTATACAAATATTGACTGGCTCAGAGTGAAATGGGAGGAATATTATCGCAAGGTAAAATCTGGACTTTTCCATTTCACGAGGCAAAGCCGAGTGAACTGGGAATGTCCAGACTTTACCGAGAGATAATATTCCTCCCATTTCACAATTTAAAGGCACTTAATATTTGTTTGATATAACTGACATATAGATCATTGTCATTTGATATATTTGAACTTTTATGGTAGAAAATGTACTTCTCCCTTCTAAACCACCCCTTCATGAAAATATTTGAACCCAACTCTGTAGCGCTGGCTCTTTGGAACAACACGCGCTACGCTGAACACTCACACCAGCATGCATTTGAACACAAATACCGCGTCATGGAACAAGAACAATCCTAAATGTTAAATAGTATTTCCCATTCCCCATGGGCGAGTGGGACTTTTTGAGCCCCGGCGTGAATGGGAGCAAGAACGAATTGGCCACGTGATGTGAGTTCCACCAATCAAATGACAAGGATCTGTATGTCAGTTATATAATAATAGATGGCGCTTTGTAATGACCTTCAACAGCCCGATGCATCACGCATGCAGCGCATGCGTGTGCCGGTTTCCATGCATTTTATACACTCAAGCTGTGCTGAGATGTAGAGCAAAGAGCTACTCTAATAGCTTTTCCCCCGTTCTGTATCTCTTTGGAACTCCTTGCCTAGTGGCTGTTTCCCTCCATTGTATGATCTAGCTTGTTTTAAGAGGAATGACAATTCATACCTCCAGCTTTTCTCATTATTCTTTTTCTTTTCATCATATTTTCCTTCTTTCTAGCCCTTTGCCATAGAGCTATATTAAATTACTAGAGCACTAACTCCTAATTCTTGCGCAAGGAGATGCTTTGAAGCTGCTCTTGGCACAGACATTTTGAATTTATGTGCGTGTTTGTAGAACACAATCCAAAAAGATGGATGGAATTTTAAAAACGTACTCTACATGCAACGCACAAGTGGAAGATACGCAAACAACTTAAGCGCGTCATGACGGTTCAAAAAACGTCACGGCGAAAAGCATCTGCACCGGAGGGACGCGCACACGTTGCGCTGATTGCGCAGAGCAAAATGAAACGCTCATTAGCTGATCGTGCATTTCGGTTTTGGGCCTATCGGCTTTGATGACGCACCTGTATGGAATACAAACGCAGATATGCAAATAGCCGTACAAAAGCCGTACAAAATTTCGAGTTTTCCATAGGTTTGTGTACAAACATGGATGCGCCCATCAGGCATTACTTTGTACATCGAGTTAGTGCTCTAATAATTTAATAAAGCTCTATGCACTTTGCCAAGAGTGGCTTTTATAGCCTTGCTTGTATTGGGACAATAAGCCATTTGCAAGTTAAATTTGAATAAAATCTGGAACGCAATGTTTAAGTTTGCATTCTTCCAACCAAAGAGACTGTTACTATATCACGTGATTCAGGGCAAGCCTTATGCTAGCAACCATCAGCTCCGGCATGATCTGGTGTCTTTGTGCCATTCTCACCCATTGCGAACAATGTATTGGTGCTGAACGTCTCTTACGTAACTATGCAAGAGCTTGCCCCGAATCATGTGATTAGCAACAGTGTCTTTGGTCTGGAGAATTCACAGTTAAAATGTGCCAAGCATTCTGAGCAAGTCAGTGTACCAGTTGTTTTCCAAATGTAAATCCCAAAGGGTAAAGGTTACTCGCAAATGGCATATTTTCCATTGTTTTTGTTATTAACTTGTTGCTCAATTACTGATTTCTGAGAGGAGAAACTTATTGAGTTGTTGATGGTACATCTGCAGCACATTTCTCCAAATTACCTGCTTGACAGATGAAATTCTTCTTGTCACTGCAACTGCTGAATTTCCAACTCCAACCATCTTCATTTCTGAAAGCCACAGACAAATTAACAAGGGGATAATAGTGTGATGAAGCAGAACAAGCATGTGGTTAATTAGGGGACTGGTGGCTGATAATGTCCCGAGCCAAAGGCAATACAGTGGAATGCCGCTATCTGCTCCATTCACAAGTACCCCCTCACCGGCAAAGAAAGTACAGTTGGGGGTGACCGAACGACACCATCTTGCCTGACTGCAATATTTTGTCGCGAAGCGCAGCCACTGCATACCCCGTGTACATAGTACAAATCCCCTGGTATACGTGCGTCACACACAAGGAATGGTGCGCGCGCCTCAACCAGCGAAATGTATGTGTCCAGCCCATGGGGCGTCGTTGCTAGGTAAAAGGGCGCCCTCTTTTGTTGGCGCACTGAGCCCATAGCGGTGTTCCACTGTATTTGTACAATATGCCAAGTGATTATGGATCACACTCATAGTCTTGGTAGCAGCAAAGTAGGCAATTACGCAAATATGGGATATGACAATCAGGAATATCCCTCAGAGTGAATGTGACTTTTTATCACAAATAGTAAAATAAACCACAAGATTAGGCAAGCATATCCCATTCATTGGCATTACGGGGTAATCCTATACGATAGCACTGCCCAGCTCTATTCACAGGTCTACAAGAAGTCTTAGGCCATATCCAAAACGGGCCTCCAGAGCTACCGCTACGTCTATTGTCAGCGCGTCCCCGCGTATTTTTAATGGGCCCAGACCTAGACCTAGCTCTAGACAGCTGACTCGGATGCAGCCTAACTCACAAGTGAGTCAGTCAGTCAGTCAGCGAGAAAGGTGCAAAGAGACCACTAGCCTAGCCCTCTTAGGACTAGCGATTAAGACTAGATTGAGAAGAAAAAAAAGACTGAGAATGAAATATCCAGTATTCCGTTTTGGTCAAGCGGGCACTAGAGAAGCCGTACGTAAACTTACGAGAAATAAACGCATCCTTGTCTACGCCTGGAGCGGCCATTCTGCACCTGGAACTTGTTGAAAGTCACCTCTTGCCTGTTGCTCTTCATGCATTTCCCTCCTGAACGCGGGACTTCAGCATCCAGCCAGAATTCATCTAGAAAATGATTGGAAGAAACACTTGGCTAAACTAATTTCACATTATATTAATATCGGCTAATATCTATTGCATGGAGTATGCTCCATTACCTGGTGGTATTTTTATTTTGGCACAGGACACATAATAGACCTTATTCATGAGGAAGCAATTTTTTATCATGTCCCCTGAATTTTCTTTACACATACACGATTTTGTCTTACGATATCGCGACTTATCACACTAAAGTTGTGCGACTTATCGCGCTTATTTCAAAAATAAAATAGTGCAACGTATAGCGTTATCGTTTCGGTTTGCGGTAACACCATGTGGTAATAACTACTGCTTAGAAGATATTAGTTCTGACAAGTTCATTTAGAACTTACAGCAGGACTGTTCTTAACAGAACAAAAAACTGCTTAGCAAAGTTGATAATAAGCAGGACAAGTTCTTTTCAGAACTAATATCTTCTAAGCAGTAGTTATTACCACATGGTGTTACCGCAAACCGAAACGAAACCGATACCCCACCATGCAAAGCCTCAAATCTTATAACGTATAGCGTATTTGTTTGTTTCAACATGTGTGTGTGCGACATTGCTGTGCAAAATAGTCCTTGTGACAAAATCACATAATCACATATGTGTAAATAGGCCTTGTAAACTGTTGAATGGGATGGTGCCAGACTATTTATGCATTCCAAGCCTCACTTTCAATTTTTTTTTCAAATGTGGCTGAAAACATTAGCTTGTAATTAACTCTTTCGCTATTGCGAGCCGCTGACAGCGGCACGCAAAAATTGTACATGTCGTACGGCAAGCCGCTGGCAGCGGCTCGGTGACGTCGCTGTGAATAAACAGGGTATCCCCATGACGTGTGCCTTATCTACATAATTTATATCGTATAACCTCTGACCCTAGTTTGAGCCGCTGCCAACGGCTCTCCGTCTCGCCGGGGTCTGCTGCAGGTTATTGTGAGCAGTTTGTTTACAGAGAGACATTTCAAGATGGCGGCGTCTACATCGACACACGGCGGAATTTCCAGCGGTTTATTACGTCCAAACGTGGAAAAATCAGTAAATTAAATTCCGTAGCGAAATAGTTAATCACAAGTTTTAAATAATTCATCAGAGCAGAGTGGTCTTGATTTGTAATTAACTTTATCTTATTACTTTCATTTCTATTCGCAAGTTCCAAAAACAAAGATGTTACCTCGCTTTCAATTTAATATGGCCGACTCATGAATAAAGCCCACAGCAATGGCACTGTCAAACCTCAATCTTTGCCACCCTGGAGAGGCAACTTGTGCATGGAATCCTTAGTGCAGATATTTGTTCACACTGTTGCTAAATATCAATCATCGTAAATAATATGTGAGGCACTCTTGCAAAATGCGATGGAACTTGGCACAGGTGTAGTGGACAAAAATGCTAAAACAGAATGGGGTTGATTTGTTTCCAATTTTCCAATTTATTATTTGCAATCTTTGATATGTCTACAACTCACATAAAAAAAAATAGTATAAACATTGTGGAATAAAAGTGTTTTTAGAGAAATGCAATTGGCATCTTTCATTTTCACAACTTCAAAACTGTCGGAACTTTAAAGGCCTTTTTTTTCTTCAGTATTTTACTTTTTTGGCATATCGATAAATGCAAATTTTAAACAGCCATAACTTGTCGACGGAATGTCCAATTGAAGTGCAACAAACAGTATTGCAAGGAGAATTTTATTCTCTTTCCTGATATCTTCAAACATTCATTTTCACCTCTACCTAATTCTGTCTCATTTCGCCAGAACACCCCACATATTTCAAGATGACCCCTGACCTTGCAATTTGTTGGTCTCCAGGAAATTGACCACAAGGTTCTGTTCCTCCTGGCTCTCGATGCGCAGCAGGTGAGCCCCCCGGCTGTTGCAGTACTTCTTGGCATCGCCCCAAGAGTAGCCACCCACCATCCTGACAATCTGGAAGCTCTGCTTCTTGGCGCCGGTGACTTCTTGGGGCTTCTGGGGGTCGTCGGCTGCGGGAGGTTCTTGTTGGGAGGTTGCTGGGTGTGAGAAGAATGCATGGGATAATGTTAGAAGCAAGCATAGGTTAATTAATTGGACACAAGTGGCATTTTCTCTGACTGGGTTAATTCTAGGGCACAGCCATAGAGTGTCACTGGAACACCCAAGGATCATCACCCTGGTTTTTTTTTTTTTTAATTTAAATATAATACAGCAACTGATTTTCAAAGTTGTTCGTTGGGAAAAATATAAGCTTTCTAAAGGTGAATTGATCATTGGCTCCTGTAGTGCACATAGCAAAGTATTTTCAGTTCACATAAAACTTTAAAATACCTGCTAAAGACAATGTCAGCATTAGAGCAATACACACACGAACTGAGAAGGCCTTGAATTGGTCTATCGCAGTAGAATCGCGTCAACGCAGCTTGTGAAATATCGTCCAATTACATGACATACAAATGGACGCGGAGCGCACAAAATCTGAGACAAACACAACTTTGTTCACAAAATTCCATAGGGGTGTCTAAGGGGAGTGGCTAACTCGCAAACGGCGATAGGTCAGTTGGGGTTACTCAACGGTAATTCTTCAACTGCATGGTTAGAAAGAGCAGTCAGCAAAAAGATTCCATACTGTGTTTTTTGTTATATACCACCATATTGCATACAAACTACTCACGTTGCTGCTGGCAAATGTAAGAACGCTTCTCTTTACATTCTTCAGGACTCCATGAAAAACTCTGTCCGCTACAAATGAAAAGAAAAGAGAAATTCTGTTATGTTTGTCACATGCAGGCCTAATATGCATGGGCACATAGTGGCATGACATGGTTATGGACTGCCAATATGAAGAAACAGTAGCACAGCAAGAAATTGCTCATCGGCAATTTTTCACTCGGTGGCAGGCCATAAGCCGTTTCGAGGATACCGCCATCTTGCTTGCAAATCGTGATTACGCAATGGCTCGGGGGGCACACGTGACCCACACTGAAAATCCGTAACGTAATAGGCTTGGGGAGGTCAGACCTGTTCTGAAAAATCTCTCTTTTTTCCATTCGAAAAAAGAGAGATTTTTCAAAGTGAAAAGCACACAATTTCGGATACAGAGTTTTAAAAACTGATAAATGGGACACTGAGCTTTTCATGGGTGAGAAATGTTTTTTTTTAAATTTCACATGCAACGTCACCAAACTTGAAAAGAGAAAATTTATTGCAAAAAAAAGTAGTCACGTGACCACGCGAAACGGCTTATAGAAGATTCGAGGGGTAGGGGCCCGGGTGGGGGCTGGACATTGTTCGACTACTGGGGGAGCTGTTCTCAATACACACGTACAATGTGTACACTGAATATATCCGCTAAACTGCATTATAGATCACTTCCGAGCAGTTTCTACTGTTAACTTTTAATAACATGATATAGCGGAAATTACTGTCCAAATGAAACGGGATTGTTCAAAAATTTGGCAGCCCTGTCTGATTAAATTTCCTACCCAGCGATGGCGCAGGATTGCCCTTCTATTTCCAAGGGGAGGCCATTGTTGTAGGCCATTGGCATTCCAGCGCTGCACAGCCAGGCGTTAGTCTCAGGGAAGGCAACATTGTAGGTGACATCCAGCCAAGTTCTTTCTACAAATTAAAACCGACATTTGGAAAAAAGCGTTAAATTCAGGATTTGGGAATTGTATACAATATAACACAACCACATTTGCCAAACAGAATCACAGAGTCAATGACAAACTGCAAGTTATGCAGTCAAAAGTGTAATTAAAAGGTACTCAAATGAACTGTGAAAAGTGCAAAGACTCAAAGTACTACACAATTGATACCCCTGTTCGTCAGGCTATGAAACCAGTTTTCTGCATCACCTTGATGATCAGTTCAATTTGGTCTCTACCCTCACAGGAACAGTGGAACGCCGCTATACCGAGCACCGCTATACCGAACATCATCCTTGGCTCCCGATTTTAATGTACAAAACGTACCCAACATTGTTGTTGAAAAAAGTCAACAAATTAAACCAAAAAAAATCTACTGATTGTACACGTATTAAACACTATTTGGGCCACTTTTAATTCCCGAACATCAAACGACCCATAGTTACATCGTGTTTGAATGTTGAACAGCGATAGATGGCTATTATTTCCCAAAGGAATAGAAGGAAAAACCACCCGTTGCTAAAGTATCGTGACGACTTCTCGTGGCCGCAGGATGTGGAAAATTACACTTCACTATTGGTCAAAATAAGAGGGTACCGGCGGTTCAAAATCGCTATACCGAACGATCGTTATTACGAACACTTTCTGTGGATCCAACGATGTTCGTTATAATAGCGGCGTTCCACTGTACCCACTTATATGCCTGGCTGGAGAGAGGCAATTGTAGTAAGGTGTCTTGCCCAAGAACACAAGCACCATGTTCCCAATCAGCATTCGAAGACATGTACCATGGCACATATAAGCCGATCACAGTAACAATTGCACTACAGCACTCCATACCACAACTGTACACTAATGTTGTGCAAACCCAACCCGAAACTGAAACCGACCTGACCCAAAACCAACTTCGGGTCGGGTCGGGTCGCGTCGGGTTAGTTTGTCCATCTTTTCAGTCAGGTTGGTTTCAGTTTTGCATTTTGCAATTTTCAGGTCGGTTTGCGTCGGTTAAGCCATTTTGGAAAAGCCCCATTTAAACCAAAATAAACTGAAAAAAAAATCTAAAACAGTTCCGAAATTCACACAGTGCAATATTTATTGGCGATTCACTGTAAGTGCCCAGTACGACCAAATGTGGTTTGCGGCCTATCACGCACGGTCTATAACACATAGACCACCAGTAGGTCACGTTGTGAGTACCGTACGGTATGATTCAATTACTGAGAGATGACGATTTGGGCAAGTTCATGCACAAAAAGCGGACACAGTTACCCAAGCCATATATTCAGGTTTTTCGGGTCAGTTCAGTTTCAGGTCGGCTTGGGTCAGTTTTCCTTGAACTTTTGTCGGATCGGGTTTTAGAGAGTTCAAATCAGTTTCGGTTCGGATTCGGTTTATATTTACAGCGTTTCGGGTCAATTTGGTTTGGTCAACCCGACCCGATGAACGACATTATTGTACACATGGAAGTACTCTGCTTTCATATTTTCACAAAATGTCGTAAAGCAAATATAATTCTTCAGTAATACTGCTCAACTAATGTGAGTTTGTATTGATGTGCCAACATACCTTTGGTTTTCATGGATTTCTTCAGGTAGTTCTGCACTGCAGGGTCAGGGATCTGCACCAGGCCGGCCCCGCGCTCCCGGCAGGCCGCCTGTGCCTCGACCCAGGCCAGTCTGCCGCTGAACAACCGATAGCTGAAGAGCCTGATGCTGGCAAAGCGGGCTCTCAAAGGCTTCTTGGCTGGTTCTCTCTCTGTTTGAAGTACAAAAAATATAGAAGACAGTTTGAGATTGTAAGACACGTAGGGTCATCTTTATTTAGCCCTGAAGTAAAACCTACCGAATTATTATCCAAAAGTTTACTTGGATTCAAGAATGTACTGGTACTAAACACCTCGTGAAATTATTCTGTGTTGTGAATTTTGACCCAAACAATGAACTTAGGGACATGTTTTTGCATTCATATTGATTTCTTTAGGATCCAAGCTTTCAGAATAAATTTGTATTAAAACTTAACAAACTTTAAAATGTCTCAGGCACAATGGCCAAAAAGTCAGACTTATAGTTACTTGCGTAAATAAAACCAAAAAAAGAGACATACAGCAGGGATGTTGTCGAGTCCATCACAAGTCCATCACAAGTCCACCACAAGTCCATCACAAGTTCAGTCACAGGTAAATCACAAGTCCAGTCACAAGTCCAGTCACAAGTACAATCACAAGTCCAGTCACAAGTCCAATCACAAGTCCAGTCACAAGTCCAGTCACAAGTCCAGTCACAAGTCCAGTCACAAGTCCAGTCACAAGTCCAGTCACAAGTCCAGTCACAAGTCCAGTCACAAGTCCAGTCACAAGTCCAGTCACAAGTCCAGTCACAAGTACAATCACAAGTCCAGTCACAAGTCCAGTCACAAGTCCAGTCACAAGTCCAGTCACAAGTCCAGTCACAAGTCCAGTCACAAGTCCAGTCACAAGTCCAGTCACAAGTCCAGTCACAAGTCCAGTCACAAGTAAATCTCAAGTCCAGTCACAAGTCCAGTCACAAGTCCAGTCACAAGTCCAATCACAAGTCCAATCACAAGTCCAGTCACAAGTCCAGTCACAAGTCCAGTCACAAGTCCAGTCACAAGTCCAGTCACAAGTCCAGTCACAAGTCCAGTCACAAGTAAATCTCAAGTCCAGTCACAACAGTCACAAGTAAATCTCAAGTCCAGTCACAAGTCCAGTCACAAATAAATCACAAGTCCAGTCACAAGTAACAGTGAATGAACAATAACAACGGAAAACAAAGCTCATTTGAAAAGCTGCTGATTTGAATTGGGACTGGAGGACTTGTGATGGACTTGACTACATAATACATCCCTGGTATAAAGTGTGTGTGATTCCAAACAGGGGTTCTGAAACCAATTTCCAAGTTGCATTTTGTCCTACACCAAATAGTTCAGAATGCTTCCAAAAAGTAAAGATCATGTAATGTCGGTTTACAAATGTTGTGGTCACGTGCCAACTTTTTAGCAAACTGTTGCCTACCTACACAGCCCCTCTTTCAGTTTTACAAAGAATTCCTGAGAAAGAGAAAATTTGGAGTTTACTGTGAATTCACTCACCATACTGACAAATGTAGTGCTTTGCGTCTTCACAGTCAGCATGGTCCCAGTGGTAGTTCTCAGCGTACCTGCACATCAAACCAAATCGTAATTAATGTTAAAGCTACAGTCCATCATTTGTAATTTGTGCATTTTGTTCGTTTGAAGCAACAAAAGAGTTCAAAATCTAATGAAGGATACTGAGCAACTAACCTGATGAAGTTTCAGCTAAGCTTCAGCTGTACATTCCGAGAAAAACAGCATTCTAAGATCTCAATTTCAAATCCAAAGTTACTGAATCATGTTTTGAATTGTTTTGAATTGCAGCTATACGTGACGTCGCGCACTGCTCCGACGAATTATAACAACCGCGCGCGCGTGTGCGTCGTTCCAATACTTGTGCGCGCTGCGCTGAATAACAAAACGAACTACTAATTTAAATTTTCCTACGGTGCTTCTTAAGAATCACCGTTGGAAATGCCTTCTTTCGTTGATTACTTCAAAATGACAGCTTCCCAGAAAGAATAATTTCACAGGGAGTTTAGTCCCCTTACTATCTTTCAACCAAGTTTGTTTTTCAACAATAATTACGCCAGTTACTTTTCGGATGGCTGCAAATGATGGACTATACCTTTAGTGGGAATAAAATTAACGGGAACACGTTACAAACTCCAAGGCTTTAACACCCTCCTGTGACGTCACACTTTTGTTTTTTTCTTGCCATTATTTTGCATGAAAGTGCTGCGCTATTAGGCATCTTACGAATGGCGTGCTGTGCGCATATTTTTTTTCCGTAGGTGGGTGAAGCCATGCACTTATGAATAATTCAGTAATCACGGCAAGATATTCAGGTTTTAGTTCTGCTATTTCTCCTTCAAAAAACAGAAAACAATCGATGAAGCTGGAGCAGAAACAAAAATTGGCAAATTGGACATAGCAGGATTTGAACCAGGTATCTTTTCACCGCTTGTTCATCTCGTTAGCCACCAGGCTACTGTGGCAGCTCAACGACCGCCATTCTTTTAAAAGTTTTAACCAATTCGCGTTGGAGGATGTGATAACACACTGGCTAAAGCCACTCCCCATACACAAGTGTGTAAAGGGCCTGTCACATTATATGCGATCTCATAGGAGACCTTACGGCGACCAAAAATATTTCATAAATTTAACAATCGCAGCGAGGATGCAAGAAAATGACAACTTTCTGTCTCAAAGAAGCTCAAGCTACGCTCATACTGTGCTCTTCCCACGCTTATGATGCGCTCAACTCGCTCTCTATGCGCCCCTGTCAAGCTCAATTACTCGATCTAGTCGCTGCCGCTGCGCTGTCACTGTGCTCACACTACGCTCTGCTCGCTGTTGATACGTCCTAGTAGCATTCGTCGCGCTCTCTATTTGACCAAAATACGCTCATGCGACGTCACTTGCGCTGTATAAATACCAAGACAAAACGGTCAATACACAGCCCAGTTTCAAAATGATGCTACAAGTTCATCGCAGTCGAGTTACTTTCTCATGGAGACTACATCGACTGTCTTGCGCCTAGGCTACCTCAATGCCACTTCAATGTCGCATGATTCACGCTCGCACAGCGCCCGAGTGGCGTCATTACGGCGCCCTGGCCAGAGCGCAGAGGTGTTGCGATTGTTTTGAGCATGTTCAAAGACCTTGGCGCTCATCGGAGACCATTAAGACCCCCTGGCGCCCATCTGGCGACCTATGTAGTTGTCGCTGCGATCTAGTAGTTGTTGTTGAGCCCCAGCTATTTTTCAAGGACGCAGTGAGAGCGCATAAAAGATCGCAGTCAGTGTGACAGGGCCTTTACTGATGACCGTTACCAATTAATTCTGACGTGGCTTCAGTCACAATTTATTTGCCGTGGCCTAGAAACACAAAGTAAAGAGAAATCCACATAAAAACCACAAGTCTGAAAAATACTGAACATACATTAGGAATCCGCAGTCCTTGTTCTCGTCACTGTCAGGCTTCTTTCCACTCAGCCAATCAGCATACGGCAGAGGTCCAACCGAGGTTGACCATTGGTCCTCTGTGGTAGCATCTGAAGCATCGATCCACCAATCACCTTGAAAGAAACAACCACAGAAATGTCAGCTTCGTTAGATACACATTTTGCAGGACACTATTTTAGTCCGACTGGTCTACTTCACAAGTGTTGATAGGGCACACAAACCCTTTATGTGCTTTGGTCAATATAACAAATGACTAAACTCAGAGATTATCAAAGCAGAAAGTTGTTTAATGGCTAGTCTCAGATTCAATATCTGATACAATCTGATATCTAACAATCTTTCAGAAAGTCAGGCGCTCATCGAAGAATTAATTTTTTGTTGTTCTAGAACTAAACATTTAGTCCTGAACAGAGAGTGCTCACACAGAAATGTTTCAAGTCTCTTTTTTTTTTACCTTTCACTAATAATATTTTAATAAACTGAAAATTGTCTCTCCCTAAGCTTGCAATATGGGTTCCGTGCACAAGTACCCCATCAACGGCCAGAAAAGGAGAGTTGGGGGTGACCTAGACTGGATCCCGATCCATCCACTGCGTATTTTGAATGTATCCAAAGTTATTGGAGGCGGGGATTAGTCTCAGAGACCATCGCAAGTTGAATTCGAACATATTTGCGCGCCGACGACACCTAACGCTCACGCAAAGACGCAGTGACCATAGCTTTTGCACATTCACGATGTCGTGCGTATTTTGTGCGCGAACCAGTACAGTACAGTATGCGCACGCTGTGTTTCTCGTCCACGGCGCTCTCAAAAGAGGTAAAATCGCGCCCTCTTTTGTTGGTGCACGGAGCCCACATTACACGCATGCTCAAAGAAAAGGTAAGAAGAAAAATAAGTAGCATTATTAAGAGAAATGTGATAAAGCCTGCAACGTTCCAACAGCTGCTAAGGCTTAGGTATGCAGTTGCTATTGTTTAGGTGCTTAAAATTAATGTAACGCAAGACTTATTTTTGAAAAAGAATCCAAATCGATAACAGCTTTTAGGAGAGGACTCCAAATAAAGAGGAAAAAGGTGCTGGATAGATGGTTCAACATGAAGATGAAGATGAAGTTTTCACAAGAAATTATCGTTCTTGTTTTCGCGAAGTCTTACCACACTAGTCGAACTGTTCCACAAAACCTTACCTTCAATTTTGATGGATTCAATGTGATCAACGATAGCCTCCTGGACTCTAGGAGCAAAAACACGGACCAGGGAGCCACCGTTGGCCTTGCAGGATGCCTTAGCTTTGGACCAGGATGCCTGGATCTCATGGAAGGAGTAGTAGAGCCTCATGGTCCGTCTCTCGCGAAGTTGTGTGTACTTCCCTAATTGACAAGAAGACAGGAGTTCAACCAACCATGTGGTTGTGAGCCACTGAATACATCATGCATATTCATGAGCTTGTGGTACTTGTTTCATTGGTCAATTCAACATCAGTTAGACCAACAATGTTTGGTTGTCAGTCACTGCATAAGCTCATGCATACTCATGAGGTAGTGGTGCTTATTTCATTGGTCAATTCACCATTGGTTCGACCAACAATGTGTGGTTTTGGGTCAGTGCATAAACTCATGCATATTTGGCTTATTTAATGTACTCATTCAACACAACCTCTGGCCTTAAGCCTGCTGCCCACCTTTCAGAGTTTACCAGTTCACCCGACCATCAACCCATCGCAAATATCGAGGTGCGTGCTGAAAATAACGGACCGATCTGACTGTACACAAGGCGATTGGATGACATTTAAACATTGGATTTTTTTTTCCGGATCCGATGTCAAAGGAAAAGGTGTGCGGTCAGCAGCCCGATTTCACCGAACGCAATATTTATGTAAACCAATCAGATTCACTAAAGAAGTCACATGATTCAAAATTGTTGGCTGCCATTTTGTCATTGTGTGACAGATCATCACGTGTTGGATTATAGGATAGAATTGGGCATGTGTGCTGGTTAACATTGCAGTCTCCACAACAAGGACAAAAAAAATACTGGTGATCCGGTGAAATCGTAATAGTGTGCGGAGAGCTTTAGGCTTGTTTAGTACTCTACTACCTTTAACATCAAGATGACTTCACTACAATGCTGAGCAAAGCCCTGTTTACAAAGGTTTTATACTTTCAAACAGCTTTTAAAGTGAAAATACAACATTTGCAAACATCTAAAAATAAAACTACCAAATCATTTTGAAACACCTTGCTGGACTGTTAGTGAATGACAGTGTAAAGCATCCTGTAAAATCATGGCACCTGGTATACTGTCATTTTCAAGAAGAGTGGTATTTTTGTATCAATTTCCAACGCTGGTCGGCCGACTAGCGTTGGAAAATCTGGCTTTTTTTCAAATACTGGCCCCAATTGACCATCGCACTTGTTTGCAATCGATTACACACCTATGAATGGGTACAAGCCAGCTAGACTGGTTCCCTGACCTTACAATTCCCCAATGTATGTAAACTGCTCTGTTTCTTCTTATATGGAGTCAGGGAACCAGACTACAGAAAAATGATTGTTTTTCTTGGTTTCTATAGCATTTTCGAACCCAAAACCTCAAAAAAGTCAGTGTAACTATATTTGCTATATATTTCCAACCCCCAATTCCATCCATTTCTGAAAATTACAGCAAAAGCAAATGATGTATATTCCCTTTAAAACTGACAATTTTTTTTTGGATAATGAGAGTACACACCTAGCCGTCGGCTGCCGTAGAAGAAAAGCTTGGCTCCTATTGCCTTCTCCCATTCCACTGGCTGGAACTTGACATACTTGGCCCTAATGGGGCTGGGGAGGTCAAAGGTCGTCATCCGGTCCGGACTGGCATCCTTGGGAACCTCAAATTCCTAGGTTGGTCATGAATTAATTAATTTAATTGCATATTCCTAAGGCCCCCCAAAAAAGTCTCCGGTTTCTGGTATGCGCGCGCGGCGCCGTAGCCATGCGCGTCGGCAAAATGAAAAAGGTTTTTTTTCAATGAAAGATGATGTCTCAAAACCGCCAAACTCATTGGTTTGACAGGAATCCTGCTGCTGCACAATTTTGACGTGTTTTTAGATCGGGTTATGGTCGAGAATAAGCTTTATGTGGCCTCTCTGGACTCCCATATATTTGCACTAAGTTTAGTCGGGCATCATTTGCAGTCATCAGCCGACATTTGAAGCAAAAAAATCAGGTAAAAAAAAAAAAGCCGCGTCGCCGCACCACTTTTTGGGCAAGCTCCATACCAGAAACCGGAGACTTTTTTTTTTTGGCCTAATCTGGTAAGTTAAACAAATTGACATTTGAACAATTGCATGGTGGGCTTTCCTTATACCAATACCATGGTGTTATCAAACAATCTACATATGCTAAAAAAGGCAGAATTGGAATGGATCAAGGAAATATTATATGCCTGTTGTTCAGGGGTAATTTACGATACCATAGGATATGGTAGTGACTGCAATTTTCAAATTTCCCAGACTCTTTATCTCTAGTATGTAAGGTTACTTGTGTCACGTGACTAGTGGCCCATGTTCTTGTGTGTAACATGATTCTCCTCACAAAGTGTCTTATACCCCCCCCCCCAAAAAAAATGTTTCACTCAAAGGGATTCTTAGAAGAATATTTTTCAACATTCTGAATTACAATTAGAATAACAACATCAGACAGAATTCTGATTTGAAAATTGTCTTTGAGAAGACTTTGGTTGTATGGCCGCTGCCTGAGGTGCCTGTACATGCCTTTGGCTCGACTGTGTTGTAGCTGCATCCTTTCAAATTTATAGCTTCTGCTGACAATAAGCCCCCAAAAATTACATTTAAGTAAGTTGGCCATAATTCAAACACTCTAAACTTACATCCTCATCGTCATCGTACATGTACACTGTCCAGTCTTCGTCCTCTTTGGTCTTGTACAGCAGCCGGAACTTCTTGACCCAAGCCGAGTAGTTCTCCAGCTTGATGCCCTTCAGCTTCAGACGCCGAATCCGCACCAAATCCTGGAAGACCACCGTCAGGAACTGATCGGCGGAGGCCAAGGGGGACAGCCAGCCCTGGGGGCTGCCAGGACTGAAGTCCTTGGCCGAGGCGCTGGCGTAGTAGGAGTCGATAAAGTCCACCAAGTTGTAGGCAAGGCCTGGAATAAAACAGTGGAATTAATCGACCTGATTCACAAGGAAGCCATTTTCGATCATGCTCCCTGAATCTATTTTATAAATTGTAAACTGTCGAAAGGGATGGTGCCAGACTATTTTATGATTGGAGTGCGTTCCAAGCCTCACTTTCAAATGTTTTCTTTAGACATGGCTTAAAACATGAGGGTATGTTAAATCACAAATTGTAAATTTATTCGTCACAGCAGACTGGTATTAATTTGTAATGGGCTTTTATTTCATTGCTTCCATATCCCCTCGCAAGTTCCAAAAATGAAGAATTTACCTGGCTTTCAATTCAACATGGCCGACTCGTGAATAAAGTCTATTATCGCAATGAGAATTTTCACAGTAATTCGCGAAATTTGTCAAGGGGCTATAATCAGACAGATCTGTTCAGCCCCACACCATGATGGTTTTAGCCAAACCAGCTGCGAAATCATTACCATAATCATCACAGTTTTTACGAAGAGGCAGATTTCCTATTCCCTCAGTGCACTTTATAATTTGTCTCTAAGTGAAAACTGGGAAGAAATGTCCCGATAAGTATTAAGATGCATGCACTTTAATACATTTCGACACATGCGGCTGGAAAATGCAGAGTGTCTTTAAGGAAAATGTATGTGCTGCACATGTTTGAATCTGGCAGGACTTATGGCCAAATCTTAAAACAGTCCATTTACTACACGCATTGCTGTGTGCCCAATAGAATACTTTTGTGATTCAAAATAATCTTGCACTCATTGCAATATGCATTTAATACCCTCAAGTGCATGTGATATAAAAAAAAAACTTGCCTCATACACAAGAGTGTATATAGCAAATAAGCAATTAGGTTTGTTTGCAACTTTGTATATAGGCTTGCCCTCATCTTGAAGCAATCTGTCCCCTTTACAGCAAGCTTCCATTGCCAAGAGCCTACTGTAAGCTTGCATCAACCGGCAAGGTTGCTGCAAGCTTGCATGTAAGCTTGCATAAGTTTGCATGTAAGCTTGCATAAGCTTGCATGTAAGCTTGCATAAGCTTGCACGTAAGCTTGAATAAGCTTGCACGTAAGATTGCACAAGCTTGCACGTAAGCTTGCACAAGCTTGCACGTAAGCTTGCACAAGCTTGCACGTAAGCTTGCACGTAAGCTTGCACGTAAGCTTGCACGTAAGCTTGCACGTAAGCTTGCACAAGCTGGCACGTAAGCTTGCACAAGCTGGCACGTAAGCTTGCACAAGCTTGCACGTAAGCTTGCACAAGCTTGCACGTAAGCTTGCACGTAAGCTTGCACAAGCTTGCACGTAAGCTTGCACAAGCTTGCACGTAAGCTTGCACAAGCTTGCACGTAAGCTTGCACAAGCTTGCATGTAAACTTGCACAAGCTTGCATGTAAGCTTGCATGTAAGCTTGCATGTAAGCTTGCATAAGCTTGCCTGCAAGCTTTCCCCATTGTACACATTTGAAACCGTGTAAGCTTGTCTGCAAGGTTGCAGCACTCTTTGCCTGCATGGTTGCAGCAACATAATTGGAACCGTGCAAGCTTGCCTGCAAACTCTCCACAAGGTTGCTGCAAGGCTGCCTGCAAGCTTTCGGCAAGCTTGCTGCAAACCTTTCCTGCAAGCTTTCTGCACACTTGCCTGCAAGCTTGCCCTAATGTACAAATTTGAAACCATGCAAGCTTGCTGCAAGCTTGTCTGCAAGGTTGCAGCACTCTTTGCCTGCATGGTTGCAGCAACATAATTGGAACTGTGCAAGCTTGCCTGCAAACTCTCTGCAAGGTTGCTGCAAGGCTGCCTGCAAGCTTTCGGCAAGCTTGCTGCAAACCTTTCCTGCAAGCTTTCTGCACACTTGCCTGCAAGTTTGCCCTAATGTACAACTTTGAAACCATGCAAGCTTGCTGCAAGCTTGTCTGCAAGGTTGCTGCACTCTTGCTGGCATGGTTGCAGCAACATAATTGGAACTGTGCAAGCTTGCCTGCAAACTCTCCGCAAGGTTGCTGCAAACCTTTCCTGCAAACTTTCTGCACACTTGCCTGCAAGCTTGCCCTAATTTTATACAAATTTGGAACCATGCAAGCTGCAAGCTTGCATGAATATCAGTAAGGGTGTACCACAAAAGTGCTTATTCATCACCTTGTCATGTTATACATCATATTTTCAAGAGCTTTGTACACAGTAAGAAAGACTTAAATTACCTAATTGTAAACAATCATAACAAGAACATAATAGTGTTCCTCTGTGATACAAGGGACTGCTTTTATCGACAAATAATTTATTTAATTAGGCCTGTGCCTGAAGATAATTTAAGTAAGAAGAAAGTTAAGATTTTTACCAGTCTCTTCATCTTCCACTTCACTGGAAGTTACCGTTGGGACCCCTTGATCTGATGCTATGCGTTTCTTACTCTGGGAACCTAGCACTCGGAAATTCAGACCTGGACGGATTGAAAAGCAAGTCTATTACGTCAAATATATTCATCAGGGATGGGTATTGATGCAATCTGCATTCTTAATAATGCAGTCTTCCACTTTTAAACCTATTAAATGGAAAGGATGTACTTGACTTGCTCCTATCTTAAAGGGAATGTACATCATTGGCTTTTGCTGTAATTTTTAGAAATGAACTATTTGAGGGTTAGTATAATAGATCAAATATTGTTACACTGACATTTTTGAAGTTTTGTGTTCGAAAATGCTGGAAAAAAACAAAAAACCCAAAAATGCTCAAGTAGTCTGGTTCCCTGACTCCAGTAAAGATAAAATGGATCAATTTATAGATGCTGGAAAATTGTAAGGTAAGGGAACCAGTCTAGCTGGCCTGCACCCGTTCATGAACATGTAACCAATAGCAAACAACATTGTGACTGAAAAAAAATTGTAAATTGGGAGCAGCAGTTGTAAAATAGTTTGGTTTTTCCAACGGTGGTCGGCTGACCACCGTTGGAAATGTATACAAAAATACAATTTTCTTGAAAATGACTTCACACCAGGTGCCATAATTTTACAGGATGCTTTAGACCGTCATTTACCAACATCTTAGTAAGGTTTTTCGTAAAAACTTGGTAGTTTTGTTTTTCCATGTTTGCAAATGTTGTATATTCCCTTTAAGTAGAGTTTGTAGCAACCTGTTGAATTTTTAAATCAGTGGCTATTATCTTTTGAGAAAACACAGCAAACATATGCAGTTTTGAGGGTCTTGCAAATAGATTCTGCTGCAAGCGCATGTAAATGTAAAAAAAAAAATGTGCCATGCAGGCACTCTATTTTGAACCCACGTTCGATGTCAGTTTTCTTCTGAAAGGTGCCATTTTAATGTGGAATAACTCTGCAAGGTATTTGATACTAGTACTGTCTTCCGTTCCGTCATTTGTCATTGACCTTACAAGGGATTTCAATTGCGATGTGGCTTGTGACTAATGTGTGACCGACTCGACTACAAGTGTGCTTTCTTACCTTTGTATCTGTACCCTAAGAATCTGAACTTGCCGGCGATGGCCTGGTGCCATTTGATGGGAATTATCTTGATATAGCGAGCCACGATGGGCACACTGTTCCTAATCCTAGCTAATGCAGAGTCGCCATAGTTAACTTCAATGATCTAGTAAAAATTTTAAAAAAAATAAAAATCAAGATATTAGACTCGTTTCTTGGTACAATTTGCTAGGAAAAGGTAGAATTATGCAACTATTTCCATATTGAGAAAAATACTTTCAAGGATCTGAAATTCCCATCTGAACTTGAGTGTTTAATTGTTGAAGTACACTTGGTTTTTTTGGGGGTACAAATGCAAACAGTTGTTTCATATCAATGTCAATTCATACTCCTGTAAAACCTAAATTAAGGCAAATTTGTGCCATCATGACAACTTAACGCTGTAAATTTGAACAAGTTAAACACATCCAACTCACACATTTTGGCCACAAAAGTTTCATGATGTCAAATTTGCTTTATGTTTGTATGAAGTATATGAACATAACATGATCAATTGCAAATTCAGATTTGAAGGTTTGCATGGTGAAAATTGCAATAAAATAAAGGTTCATGGTAGCACCATGTGACAAATCTCTTTTGTGAGTTTGTGAGGCTCTGAAAAGAGTTTCCCTCGCTTCTTTTCAGAACATCACAAACTCACCAAAATCACTCATTCGCTCATGGAGTGAATTTGAAGGGCCATCGGAATGGACACGCAACATATATATATGAAAAGGGACGTGTCTATCAATAGGAACGATTTTTGTGTCCGTAAAAATGAAAGGCATGAACGCAGCGCAAATGCAACATGTGCATAACGGACAAAAAAAGTGTTACGGACAACTGGAGAAAATGTGTTTCCTACCCCATCCTTATCGGCTGGATCCAGTGTGTAAGGCAGCCATGTATCCTTGTCATTACTGTACTCCATCTTCAGGGCTTTGATCCATCCACCTCGACTACCCATGATGACCTTCTCTATATCCACACAGTACAGCTCAACGTTCTGTCCAAAGTCCGCTATCAGGTACTGTCTGCTGTCGGACTTCCTGGCCACCCATCCGTACTTGCTGCCCGGCGTGAACCTACGGACGACCGAGGACGTCTTGTACTTCACCTTATCAGATATGTCCATTGGTGCTGTTGAGGAGAGAATTGTGAGACGAAACAGCAGTCATTTTGAGTCCTTACTTGCAAATCAATGCAATGTAACACATGATGCTTAAGGAAAGACTCCTAGATTTTACAACCCAGTTACAGGGGAGCCATCTGATACATTTTCAAGCAAGGGGAACAGTGTTCTATTGTCTTTAAGCAAGACAACTGCATTCCCTCTACCCATGAAGCAGCAAATCTCTGCCTGTGAGGGCAGGCCATTGCGAAAGACAAATGTGATGCGATCAAGCTACATGTACATGAGTCGTTTGTCAGGAATTTTCATTTGGAGATTCAGGCCAAAATAGGGCCACTTCATCACATTCCTTCATCACATCTCTTGGTGTTCCGACCTCTATAATTTTTTAACTAAAGATGGTGTCAGCATGCGGTTTTCACAGCAGCAATGCTGAGATTGTGCTCTTTGGAAATCTGTAATAATTTTTTTTTTTACCAGGGTCGACAAACGACTCATGTAGCTTGATCGCATCACAAATATGTATATTCATTACAAGACTTGTATTTAAGTCACCAAACATCGAGCCCAAGCCCGAGTACGAGTCACGTTTAAGTACTATATTTAGCATATTTGCCCCCCTCTAGAAAAAAATACTGGTGATGCCCATGTCAATATTCCATCTTGGCAGAGATAAAAAATTATTTAGTCGGTCCCACACTGTACTAACCTCTAAACTTATAAACAAAATTGGGGAAAATTAACACAAGTGAATGTGGTTGAGCAAAACAAAGAAAACATGGTTGCTTTTTGGAGGACTTGGAAAAGATTACCAACTTTGCCTAATTTGGTAATTTTGACTTCTTTGGTAAAACCAACGTTCCAGAATTTCACTCTACTTTCTCCTCAAAATTCAGTTGTATATGTTACACTACTCACCAGCAGAGGGCCTCCCGTTGAAGGTGAAGCGGCCAGCAATTGCGTTCTTCCATTTGATTGGCTGGAACTTGATCAGGGATCCCAAAATCGGCGGATCAAACAGGAAGGTGGCGCGCTTGTCTGGATCCGTGACAACGTTGTCAAATTCCTGAATTTTCAAACAAGAAATGCAGTCAGAGGCTTCAGTGGGCAGAAAATTGGATGAGAGTGGATGTTAAGAGAAAATATGGGGGGAGGGAGTAACAATCGAGCATTTCAAAAGAACGCTAAAACTGGCAGCTTCGAAGGTGCCAGCTTGCGATACAATTTGAAAATGGCAACAGCTACTTCTTGAGTTAGATTTGTAAAGATCAGTCCCTGATTGAACTACTACATCATCAGCTTTCATTCAGAAGGCATCGTGTAGGTGCAGTGGTACTTTCCTCCTCTTAGACCAGTGTGACCAGCAGTTTGAATCCTGCATGGGCTGACATGCGGATTGGGTTTTCAGTCCCTACCTGATTCCGTGGGTTTACTTCTTCATGTCTTTCTAGCTCTGTAGGTCTCCTCAGGCCTACATGTTACAGTGCCACAAGGGCTTTCGAGGAATTCTTGGTTTCATTACCAGAAATAAACAACAATGTTTAAAAATGTTTGTAAGCACACAGACAAGTTGTATTACAATTAAAGTGAAAGTCCATCATTTGCACCTATCCAAAAACTGACGAAATTACTGTTGAAAATCATACTGGTTCTAAAGATAGTAATGGGACTAAACTCTCTGCATGGACGTCACCAGGATTTTTTTCTAAAGGAGGCAAACACATTTCCCCCCCAAATCCCTATAATTTCCAGTGTTTTCCCGTTTTGGAATTTTTTCAAGGGTGGGCAGGGACATTTGCAAATGATGAAATCTACCTTTAAAAGAAGCCTTCTTTTAAAAAATACGTACACTCGTGCCATCAAACTGCACATAAGGCGTCCAATCCGCATCCGGTGATCGCTTGTACAGCAGCCTGAACTTAGTGATCCAGGCCATGTATCCGGGGACGTTGACTCCCCGCAGAATCAGCTCATCCACGCGCACAAACCGATTGAAGTTGAAGATGACGTACTGGTTGCGGTCGGACAGGGCTGCGATCCAGCCGGTCTTGGAGCCCGGGCCGTGCTCGGGGTCGGCTGATGACCCCTCGTAGGTCACGATTGCGTTAATATCTAAGTTGAGAGTGAAATGGATATATTTTTATCAATACAGTTTGGGCAATTCCACGGTTACTCACGTTACATTTTTGATGTACTTTTGAGTCTCCTTGGGCTGTAATTACCTTACTGAAAAGGTTTAACAACTGTTATCCCCATGGCAGATAGAGTAGACCTAGACCTACCTAAGCACCAAAGATGACATCCAGAAAAATGTGTTATGTATGATAAACAAGACGCACAAAATCGGTTACTCACGTAACATTTTCTTAACGTGAGTAACCGATTTTGTGCGTCTTGTTTATCATACATAACACATTTTTCTGGATGTCATCTTTGGTGCTTAGGTAGGTCTAGGTCACGTAACATTTTCGTAATGTGAGTAACCGATTTTGTGCGTCTTGTTTATCATACATAACACATTTTTCTGGATGTCATCTTTGGTGCTTAGGTAGGTCTAGGTCTACTCTATCTACCATGGGGATAACAGTTATTAAATCTTTTCAGTGAGGTAATTACAGCCCAAGGAAACTCAAAAATACATCAAAAATGTAACGTGAGTAACTGTGGAATTGCCCATTTGGTAACAATAATGCAATCTGAGGCTTATGTTACACACTATACAATGTCTCAAAGTGTATCACCATTATTATCCCTGTTCACTTTTATGCAGTAGTTCAATTTTCATTCTGTATTCTTCCGTCAAAGGTACACATTTATTGTCATTGCTATAAGTGACACAGTTGAAGTAAAGTGCCTTTCCCAAGAACACAAACACCATGATCACTATAGGTTCAAAGTCACATAGTCAAACGCTGTAGCTACTGAACCATGGGGCTCTACCATATATTAATTAAAACAATCAAACAACACAAGCAACCCGAACAAACAAACATTTCAATGCAATTTACATGAAACATTCACTTTCACTTTCAATAAGAACTCACGTTTGTTATTGCAGAGCACAATTTGATAAATCAGCCAACAAAAAAATAAGTTTGTAGATAAATGTGATCAGCACTTCTACAAGTAGAGCAATTTTTGCCCTTCACTGACGTATAAACACTGTGTACTCAGTGTGCAATCTCCTGAGTGAAAGTTAGAAACATCACTCGGGAGGGACTCGAACCCACGACCTCCTGCTTTCTAGTGCAGACGTCTTACCACTCGACCACAGAGCTTGCAGGATCGGTTGCCTGGTTCAAACCTGATGTAGCAGCAAGTACCCCGATGAAACTATTCTTACGATGGAAGGGTCGGTGAAGGTGAAGCGGTAATACGTCGGTGAAGAGCAAAACCTAATATTGATTTACATCACCCCGACGCAAATTCTATCTTATGAATAGAGCAACTTGTTGTGTGACAAGGAAAAGGACGTTAACAGCCCAGGCACGCAAAAAGCGCTTTTGGAGATAATCGAGTTGAAAGTTTTTGTGCTGCCATTTCTAGATTAAAAATCTCATTAGGTTGAAATTTTGATTGATGACATTCGTTAATAATTAAAATAATAATGTGCATTTTTATGTCAAAATATTACTTACTTGTGAAGTTATTTCAATCTGTATGCTAACGATCCAAGCCTTAAACGTATGCTAAAGCGGCATGTTAAATCCTTACGCAATTTTGCCGGGAACCAAAATGGCTTTGCGTTCCCACTTGAGTGCGACGTTAGCGTGCTTCAAACATTTTTTGTTACATTAGAATTACACACTTACGACATTTTGCCGGGCACAAATAATGAAAAACCTCCTTCCGTCTTTTGTTTACTGTTAATTACGTCAGAACGACGTAGCCCCTTGAGACAACATGTATAACAAATGAAAAATATTTCCAAGCTCTATCGATTATCTGAAAATCTGAATTAGACCTTTTGACCCATTTTTCGCCCTTACGACCTTCTTCCAGGCACCCAACGAACTGTTTTTGAACCATCAACATATGTACAAAGTCAAAGTATTATTTCCAACTATAAATCTGGACAAACTTTGAGTTTTTTTTTAACCTGGTGCCGGTGTGGTGGATGGTTCAGCAAGCAGCACGGGTTGTGTCTTATCAATCACAGCGCCCTCTGGGATTCTAGGCGGAGACTTCTTAACAGGCTTCTTAGCTGTTTGATGAACATTTTGAAGAAAACAAGAAAAAGGAAGTCAGCTCACTTACTAAACACCAGAGGAAATTTGCAACAACTAAAAAAATGTACTGTAGAGATTCTGTCTAAACATTTTATCTTCAAGTAACATTTTGAAGAAAACAAGAAAAAGGAAGTCAGCTCACTTACTAAACACAAGAGGATATTTGCAACAGCTAAAAAAATGTATTGCAGAGAGATTCTGTCTTAAACATTTTATCTTCAAGTAAACTTGAAACTTCCATCCTGATTGGTAGAACCATGGCAACAAGCCGTGCTACATATAACCATGAAGCACGGCCACGGTCCATACCGTACTTTGCGTATTGCACTCTTCTTAACAAGATGCGCGCGCCATTCCATATAACACCCACTTGTAATAAGATAACTGCTGAAACATTTATGTACGCGTGCATGTTCCATCTTTACTGTAAGTTTGCTTAAAGATAAATTTGTTCTCCAACTCGCACTCCTGGAAAAACAGAAAATGTAGTGCCTCAGGCGCACTGCATTATTCCTGTGTTCAGCTCACGCTCACAGGATAACAGTATCTGCACCCTTAAACCTTCAAAACTGGTTTTTATCATATATATGCTAACTGTTACGAACACATTACTTTAAATATTTTTCAAAGTTTTCAAAGGTTTCTCAAAAATGTTTCATATAAATTTCTTCAATTTATGTCAATAATTTAAAAAGCTAAGAAGTTGGACTCTTGATTTGGCCATATTGAAGTTATCTTTCAAATTACACTTTCATTGTAGATACAGATACAATTCATTGTAGATACAGAAATACACCCTTAAGCATTTTTGCGCAACCATATGCAATCGGAGAGAGTGCTGAATTTGTATTTGTTCCTTCTCAAAAAGAGAGGAAAAGTTGGACTCTTGTTGATTTGGCCATATTGAAGTTACCTTTCAAACTACACTTTTCCTCTCTTTTTGAGAAGGAACAAATAAAAATTCAGCACACTCTCCGATTGCATATAGTTACACAAAAATGCTATGTATTTCCGTATCTTGCTCTTAAATTTAAATTTGTATCTGATGAGATGACAATTAATGTTTGTAGTGTCTGTCCTCGAGACCAGTTGAGTGTTTTCAAATACTCACTGAAGGCACAGATGAAACTCATTCTGTCATTGCAGTTGCCATCGTGCCACTCAAAGTCATCCGAGTAGCTACAAGAAAAAAAACAAAGCATGCAATTTGGGCGATTCACAATGCAGAGCGCCACCAACAATTTGCAACGGGGAGTTCATTTTTCCCAGTGCACTGAGGGAGATGGTCGACAAATTCGCAGCGCGGGACATTTGAAATTGTTCGTTTTTTCCCGTCAGTAGTTTCGTAAGTGTATGATTCGAGTATAATGTTTGCCCTTTTGTTTTCTTTGTATCAATATGGTGATTTTTGGTAAGGCAGCTAGAACGCTAAGCCCCAATCTATAACAAATTAGCTCAAGTGTATACTGACACTCATTCAAATGGCCCATATTTTGTCGACCATAAACTTGAAAAGTTGACTCTCCATGGCAAACTCTTGGTGGCGCACTGCATTGTGAATCGCCCGAATAGAATAATCACATATGACTAGAACTGGAATGTCTATGAAGATCAAATTCAGAATAAAAAAAGTTTGGATTAATGGTATAGTATATTTATTTCTTTTTGCTTGCCACACCCCCATTATAAAATGTGTCCCGCGGTCAAAAGAGAAAGTTTGTATAACATGTTTTCATTTACTACAAAAAGTCCCAATATATCCCTCTCCTTTTGGGACTATTCCCCTACTTTTTAAAAAGATGCTCCGCCCACAAAAAGCACCAATGTGCCGGGGAAAAAATGCCTCCAAAACCATCTTCTAGGGTTGAAAAAATGGCATCATTGGGTCTGTTTATAGTATTTCACTAGTAATCCCTAAAATTCAGATCGCAACCGAAATTACATTATGGAAGATGATTTTTGTACCATATGCCAACAGTGAAAATCCACAAAACGAGTTCACAGAATGTTCATAAATAATAAATAAAATACAAAAAAAATTAAAAATGCGAAGCCGGAAAGTAAGGATAGACAGGTGAGGTTTCTGTCCAGTTTTTAAAGAAGAATCATGAAGTTTCGGCAAATCGCCAGCTGCACGTGTTTGATTTAAACAAGGCAGTTCTCGAACCGCACATCTCGCCTGCTTTTGCGATTACATGTATCTTTAAAGAGTGACCTTTGACTTTGGTGTGTAACCTCACATCATTATCATGAGAAGGTTCCCAGTTGCATCTAGGACCCAAGTTTGGTTCCAGTTGAACTTCAACTTTGGAAACGAGAACAATTTACATGTTCATCCTATTTTACAACATGACCTGAGAGGACCTTTTGACCTTGGTATGTGACCTTTGACATCATTATCATGTGAAGGTTCCCAGTTGCATCTAGGACCCAAGTTTGGTTCCAATTGGACTTCAACATTGGAAATGAGACCAATTTACATGTTCATCCTATTTTACAACATGACCTCAGATGGCCTTTTGACCTTGGTATGTGACCTTTGACATCATTACTATATCAAGGTTCTCATGTTGCATCTATGATTCAAGTTTGGTTCCAAGTGGGCATCAATTTTTGAAATGAGGCCAATGTTACAAAACTTTAACCAAAATACCACATGCTACAAACGTACAGACACAGTGATTGCATTTAGTCTCTTTTCCTGAACAAAGTCCAGGCAAGACAAAAACCTCACAATTGAAAAGGTAACACGAAAGAATTGCTTTGATTACCTCATGTAGACACAGTTTTCCACATTGCCTCCGTCGGGCTGCTTCTCCACACCGTCTATCTCAAACCAGTTGGCATACCCCAAGGGCGAATCGTCAGAGTAGACAAACTTTCCCTCCGACATCAGGTCATTTACGTCCAACCAGAAATTGGCTATTTGAAAAAAAGGGATCAACAGAAAATAAACCGCCGTGTCTTGCGAGCCCACAACAATCGTGCACCTTAATATTATGTATGCCTTAATATCCTTCTTGGCCAAATAAAACCAAAGGCTGCATCACAAACATGGACTGGCACTCATAGGTCATGCCATACCAAGAAGCATTAGAAGCAACGTACAGTAAAAATGTAAAAAGTCCATTTGGAGCAATTCGGCTCATCAGGTCAGTGTCTTTCTAGTTTCCATGGCATGAAACAAATAAAACATTATTGTTATGGATGGGAAACCAGTCTATCGCAGGTTACTCCCCGGCTAATGCTGGTACCCATAACTACAAGGTAGAAAGAGGCAAGAAGGCGTAAAGCGGCTTGCCCAAGGACACAACATACAGCCAGCAGCAGAATTCGAACCCTTACCCAATGTTCAACTAACCACTTGAGACACAATCCTCTTGAAGGAGCAACTCCTATATGTTGACCCAAATGAAATATGATTTCAGACAGGAAGGCACTATAATTGATTTTCCATTGTAAAGTGGAATCCGGCGACCAGAATTAGAAGCTTTTACTGCGAGCGGCTCGTGAAATGGGTGCGGATCTTTCAATGTGGTGAAGAGTTTAACTTTTGTCAAGCATCAACAATTTATCTGCAATCTTTGGAATACTTTAATCAGCACCCGATTTCAATAAACGATGCGACGCGTCACAACTCGAGTTACGACGTGTAGCACATCGCAACTCGCGATGCGTCGTATAATCCATTTCACGAATCTTGCAATGTGTTGAACGCGTCGTAAGTTTCTTCACAACGGCCTAAAACACATCGCAAGTTACGACGTGTCTAGTGGTCATCGCAAAAAAAGAAGAGTCATTTTCTTAGCCAATTTTATGCCTTAAACATCACATAAACGAGATTATAATACCGAGGCAATGTGTGTAACGTTATAAATAGAAAATTCATTGAATAATTATGAAATAGCCTGGAATATTGCAGTTAAAATTTCAAAGTAGCTATAGTCCACTGAAAGATTAATTTCCTTTAAAAATGCATCACACGGCCGCCATTTTATTTGAAGTTTTAACAAATTTTGGGCTGAGATCCGACGACTCTTTATTGAATATCAGACGACTATTTACTGTACGCTGACTAATGACATAAAACAGTCACCAAGTTGTGCTACAAATACACCTAAGAGCGTTGCACTTACGACGTGTTTTGTGAAATGGATCGCAGGATGTGTCGCAGCTGCGACGCATCGTAGAGATACGACGCGTCGCATAGCTGCGATGCATTGTAAGTTATAAAGAGTTTAGTGAAATCGGGTGCTGGCGCAGCATACTCACCAGCAGAGCCCTTGATGGCCTTGACCACCTCATTAAACATCTGCTGGTCAGCTATCCTCAGCAGGTGACCACTACCGTCCCCTTCCTTGGAGCAGTATTCCGCAGCCTCCTGCCAGGTGTACATGTAGCCGGTGTAGTACTGCAGGAACGTCATAGGGAGTTGCATCTGGGTGTCGTCACGAGATGGTTTGGCTGGTGAAAGACAGTCAGAAAGCAGAACATTACTAAGCAGAACATAATCAAGCCCAGTCTAATGTGGCTTTCGGGAACCGGGGATTCCTGGGTTGGCATTCATGAGCACCCTACTGAGATAATAGCTTCTCAATCAGTTAACGACCATAAATATGTTCGCACATACAACGGCAGTGTATGGTTTGTCCTTGATCATACCATGGAGCCTTTTTTATAGCTCCATGATCATACAGTCAGGCTATCCCCAATGTATGTGCGTCGTTGTCCAGAGCCATCTGCCTCCCATCATAAATATGTTGGCACATAGGCGGGAGTGCATGGTTTGTCCTTGATCATACCACAGGGCCTTTTTTATAGCTCCATGATCATACAGTCAGGCTATCCCCAATGTTTGTGCGTCGTCCTTGTCCAGAGCCATCTGCCTCCCATCAGAATCTGAGTGACGAGTGACGAACCAGTTAAGTGCTGGAGAGCTACCTACATCTAAGAAAGCCACATTAGACTGGGCTCGGTCCAGCAATGAGCCAATAAAGGAATCATGCACCACAGCTCTACCATATTAGCTAGTCTATGCTATGATATGTGAGCAGATTCGCTGATCAAGCAAGACAACCACCTCTTGACCTCTAGATTTTGACCAATGAGCGGCTTTCAATATCGGGTCTTCGGTCATTCACATATTGCGCGTCATAAAACAATGGATAAAAAAACGGTGTTACGCGATATCCGCCCGGCTGTTCTTGTATTGCAAAGCACTGCATTCAAATTGACCAACCAAACCATTTAGTCCTGATTTGGGAAAGAAATGGTGTCACGGTTTAGTGAAGTCGACTCCAATTGGCTGGTGCACGGCTTGCATATATCTGCATGTTTAGACATATCAGACGTTATACAGGAGACTAATGGCTCCGTGGATAACGGGTAATACTCAGACCACTACCACATGAGGTACATGTAGAAATTTGACCTTCATATTTTCCAAAACCTTCAAGATATCATAACCATGACCAAAAATGCTTTATAAACTTTCAGACTTTTTTAGAAAATGGAAAAAATAACACTTTGGGACAGAGATTGTCCGTGCCCATGAACTCCGTCTATCTACAGTGTATTTCGACAGAGTCCAGGAAATAAATATCTCAAAACCGCAGGAAACATTTGCGGAGGAATTTTTTAACACTAACAGGCGTGAATTTCCTAAAACTGGCCATATAGGTTGTTTGACATATGATTTAACACCCTACAATCTTTATTTTTCCACAACTTGATCAATTCACCCCAATACTTTTAGGAATGTAGCCCCATAAGCCGATCAATAAAGCATTTCATTCCTAAAACATAGTTTGTCATTTCATGTGTTTTCAGCACTAGCGTCACCTTTAATTATGAAAATCGTGCAAATAAACTTATGGTTAATGCACCTGATAATGTCTGGTAGGCATGGGTGACTAGACACTGGAACCAAATAGATATGGGGTCCAAAGAAGGTACACTCAACCGAAAAAGAAAGTTCCCCCTTCCAAAACGTTTTTGTCTAACTCAAAAACTAATGAGGACCTCTTGCTCAAATAACGACTAATCAGTACAGAAATTCCTTAGCAATCCATTCTCCAGCCATGCTCTTTATTTGGCCCAAAACAGTGATAATGTGTACAAATTGATGCAATATATGACAAATGATCCGAAAAAACTTGCACTTTTGTATACGTGCAAGTTGTGGTTCACACCCACCTTAAACGAACACAAAAGTGCAACTTTTTTTCAGTACCATTTGTCATAAATTGCATAATTTGGCACATATTATCACCGTTTATGGCCAAACAAAGAGTATGGTTGGATTGCTAAGGGATTTCTGTACTGATCAGTCATAATTTGAGCAAGATGTGCCCAGTAGTTTTTGAGTTAGACAAAAAGGTATAAAGGGGGAACTTTCTTTTTTGGTTGAGTGTATCATTTTATGGAATACGCATACCTGGTTTAGTTGGTTTACCGTTCTGCGTTGCCCGTGCACAGATGGATTGTCTTTGTGCATTGCAGTCACCGTCCTCCCACTTCCATTCCTCCCCTCTGGAAAGAAATACGCCACAAGGTGCGTCAGTTATGAATTTTTTTATTTGGAAAATTCCCCACAAAATAGGTGATTCAAAACCTTTATTTTCATTGACTGAAATGATACTAAGTAATTTGTAATCCATGGTTACGGGTACCTGATCCCTTATTATCAGGAACTGGTTCCTGACATCAACGATGGGGTACTCGGTACCCGGTTTTGGTGCATATCCTAGACATTGTAAGCTCATCCTGGGTTGCGCACTTATTAACGGAAAGTATGCTGACTTATTTTAGAGTCTTGCGTGGGTGTCCTCAACACTGCATTCTAATGTCTCTCCCAGTGATCACCCCAAACTCTCCTTTTCTTATTGTTGAGAGGGAACTTGTGCACAAAGCCAACCAGTTTAAACCTCTCTTACACCCATCTAATACTGGCATTCCAGAGTCGCATCAAATCAAGTTGTGCCGGAGATATGAATTAAATACATGAGAAGCTTGATGTTTGAAACAGTTACGAGCAACGCATAGAGCTATATTGAATTACTAGAGCGCTAACCCCTCATTCTTACACACGGAGATGCTTTGAAGCCGCTCTGGGTGCAGACATTTTGAATTTATGTGCGTGTTTGTAAAACACAATGAAATTAGATGGATTAAATATTAAAAGCGTACTCTAAATGCAACGCGCAAGTAGAACATACGCAAACAACTTCAGAGCGTCATGACGGTTCAAAAAACATCACGGCAAAAAGCATCTGCTTTTGCACGAGTTGCCCTGTTTGCGTAGAGCAAAGTGAAACACTCATTTGGTGATCGTGCGTTTCGGTTTTGGGCGTATCGGCTTTGGTAACGCACCGGTATGGAATACAAACGCATATGCAAATACACGTACAAAATACGTACAAAATTTTGAGATTCCCATAGGTTTGTGCACAAACATGGATGCGCCAAGCAGGTATCAGTTTGTACATGAGTCAGCGCTCTAGTAATTTAATATAGCTCTATGGACCAAATACATCAAAAGATCATCTGTCACAGTCGCTGGAACAACTCTGAAGTCTAGCAATGGTTGATCAAAACACGAAATCTATATTTTATCAACCAAAGCTAAGTATAGGTTCATTTAAAAAAATATATATATTTCCCTTTCATGTTAGAGTTATGTTGCTGAAGGACACAGCCATATGTTAAACAAGCTTCAAGCTACCTTTTAATGAGATATGCACATCCGCCAACGGGGAACCCCTTTGCAAAATTGGAATGGTCCACCTTCTGATTGTTGGAGTTTATGTATTGCATCTTTTTCTTGTCAAAGTGGGCGTCGATCCAGAAAGTGTCTTCTGTTCAAGTGGGCGGGGTTTATATGAGGGCATTGGGCAGGATTACAGGGGACAAGGAAAGGTGTTCATACAAAGTAGGATGTCCAAGTTAGAAAACAATATGTATTAGAAATGGTGTGTTATGCAAAATTGAATGGGTATTAAAATGGGTGGAGGCCGGGGTGTCAAATAGGTGCAGAAGATAGGAAGGAGAGATGATATTAGAATTGTTAGTAACAACTAAAAGGTAAAATGCAGCCTTTTGTAATGTTTACAGATGTAATTCATGTAATAAGTTTTCATGCAATTCTTGTTCTAAATCCAACAAAAATACTTTCAAAGCTTAAATTTAGAATGCTGAAAATGACACTTAAAGGGAAGATACAACATTTGCAAACATCAAAAAACAAAATGATCAAATTATCACGAAATATCTTACTGGATTGTAGGGAATGACAGTCTAAAGCATCCCGTAAAGTTTTGGCTCCTGGTGTGCTGACATTTTCAAGAAAAACTGTATTTTTCAAACGCTGGTCGGCCGACCAGCGTTGGAGAAAACTGGCTTTTTTTCAAAAAGTGCTTCTAATTTTTCAAATTTAGTTTGTCTGCATTTTCTTTGCAATTGATTACACACCTGTGGAGACTACAAGCCTGCTAGACTGATTCTCTGATCTTACAATTCCCCAAAGTCTATAAATTGCTCCATTTTATCTTAAGTGGGGTCAGGGAACCAGACTACAAGAATATGATTGGTTTTCTTGGTTTTTCCAGCATCTACGAACCCAAAACTTGAAACAAGTCAGTGTAACAATATTTGCTATAACATACTATAAAGTTCAGTTCATGAGTCACAGTACTTTTTTGAGGAAATAGCAAAAACTCATGTTTTTTATGCAGGAAAAGAATTTAATTGCATCACCATCATAATTCAGTTACAAAACCTTAATTCCACCATACTCTTTAGTAATACATGTATGTGACTTACATGTAACTCGCAAATTGTACAAAATGAGTTTACAATTGCTGTGGCGAGCCCTATACATTTAAGCTTTCATTTTGTATAATATGGACATCCATGGCACAATGTATGTGGTATATGTTTACCACAAACTGTGACAAGACACGTCCCTTAACTCTTTCGCTACGGAATTTAGTTTACCGATTTTGTCCCGTTTGGACGTAATAAATCGCTGGAAATTCCGCTGTGTGTCGATGTGGACGCCGCCATCTTTAAATGTATCTCCGTAAACAAACTGCTCACAATAACCTGCAGCAGTCCCCGAAGAGACAGAGAGCCGCTGGCAGCGGCTCAAACTAGGGTCAGAGGTTATACGATATAAATTATGTAGATAAGGCACACGTCATGGGGATACCCTGTTTATTCACGGCGATGTCACTGAGCCGCTGCCAGCGGCTTTCCGTACGACTTGTACAATTTTTGTGTGCCGCTGTCAGCGGCTCGCCGTAGCGAAAGAGTTAATTGACTTCTTACAAGAGTGCGATTGACTTGTGATAGTGTTGTGATCGATTTGTAATTGACTTGTAATTTGATTCACGATTGACTAGTGATTGACTTATGATAGACTTTTTGGTTGACTTATGGTTGACTTATGATTGACTTATGATTGATTTATGATTGACTTGTTATTGACTTGTGATTGACTTGTGATGGACTCATGATTGACTAGTGATTGACTTCTGATAGACTTTTGGTTGACTTATGATTGACTTATGATTGACTTATGATTGACTTATGATTGATTTTGGTTGACTTATGATTGACTTGTGATTGACTTGTAATTGACTTCTGATAAGACTTTGGATGGCTTATGCTTGACTGATGATTGATTTGTGATTGACTTGTGATTAACCTCATCACAACTCTGGACCCAACAAATACCCAAAGCACATGATCCTTCTACCTGGCTTTGTTGTCATACTGTCCAGAGTATCTTCAATCAAGCCCTGGAATACAGCATCGGGGATTCGCAGAAGATGGCCGCCCCACTTCTCACAAGAGCGCTTGGCTTTTCGCCATGTTTTCAGGTCTTTCTTCACATCCAGGGTGACCTGGTAGGAGGACGCATCACGAGCCGGCTGACCGACGGCCTTGCCCTCTTTGTCAGGGACTAAATCAACAGAAGACAAAATAAGTCATTTGAAGGGAAGATACAACATTTGCAAATGTCAAAAATGAAATGATCAAATTATCACGAAATGCTCTACTGGATTGTTAGGAACGACAGTCTAAAGCATCCTGTAAAATCGTGGCACCTGGTGTGCTGACATTTTCAAGAAACATTGTATTTTTCCAACGCTGGTCGGCTGACCAGTGTTGGAAAAAACTGGCTTTTTAAAAAACTGCTCCTTAATATTCATATTTAGTTATTCCGCATTTACTTTACACACCTGTGACGGGGTACAAGCCTGCTAGACTGATTCTCTGACATTACAATTCCCTAAAGTCTATAAACTGCTCTGCTTCATCTTAAGTGGGGTCAGGGAACCAGACTACAAGAACATGGAATTTTGGAATTTTCCAGCATCTACCAGCCCAAAACGTAAAACAAGTCAGATGAACAATATTTACTATAACATACCAATCTTCCAAATCCAATTATTTCTGAAAATTGGAGCAAAAGCAAATGTTGTACAAAATATAAAAAATGAGGAAATATTCAATATATCCCAAGGCAGAGTTCTAGAAGGAAAGAGTAAGCGATAAATAACTTTAAGGAAGTTTGAGTCATGAGAGCCGATTTGCAGGAAATTATTTTGAAAAAAAAAACGCTCACAATTGTTCTGTCCGAATTTTACAACATGAGACATGTTTGAAGCTGGCGCAAAACAATTTGCAACTGGAGTGAGTTTTAATCATACAAATCACAAAGGCTAGAAGGCCTTCCACACAGGCCTACATGTAAATATGAAAGATTCTGCTAAGATTGAACATAAGACCCCCTAACCTAATATACATTTAAAAGAAAAAAACAAGACAAAAGGAAATGTGGATCATACAGGGACCTATTTTTTCCCCAACCTACAAAAAAATCATGCATGTGGATGACTACATTACTTACAAAGCTTAAGATATTTTCAGGAAAAGGAACAATTAGTAATGACAATCCTGTAAAACTGCATTTTGTAGCAAAAGGTTTTACTTTTAAAAATACTTTTTACAAATAATAATAAAACTTCTACTCACATATCTCACAGATGAAGCCTTTTTTCTCCCGACAACTTCCGGAGGTCCACTGGAACTTGGGCTCTGACTCAGTGCTGCATGAAGAAATGTATACAGACAGTACATATTTAGTTGTGAAATGTAATTGTGACCATCCTCACAAAGGCAGTCACTTGGACCAATTTTTGAGAATGTGGAACGTGGGCTCATTGGAAAAGACATTGAACAAGCTTTCCAGTGATGTATAGAATAAGAAAATTGGACAGGATCTGTTGGAGTTATAGGTATTTTTGGTTTCCCATTTTAGGGCCTTAAAAACCCTAACCCCCTAGGCCCTTGTTGCTTACAACCATCCTCAATCCTCCAAAATCCTCCAAAATTTTGGATCTAAATTTTTCAAAATTGTCAGACAGTCCTGCCTCCTCATCCCAAAACTTTGCACCCGTGTTTAAATGAAGGATAACCAACGCCAAATCCTTCAAAATCATCAGACAGTCCTGCCTCAAAATACATTCATCCTCAATCCTCCAAAATCCTCTTGTGCTTCAATCACCATTCATCCTCAATCCTCCAAAATCCTCATGTGCTTCAATCACCATTCATCCTCAATCCTCCAGAATCCTCATTTGATTCAATCACCATTCATCCTCAATCCTCTAGAATCCTCCAAAACCGCCATGAGGATTTTGGAGGAGTGAGGTGGGTTAGGGTTAATTAATTAATAATGGATATAAAAAAAAATTGTGAAATCTGTCATTAACTTTTCGTAAATGAACTTTAAATTAGTATTCAAGTGGAAATTGCTGCGTGACAATTTTGGAATACCGATTGCACTGTGCTTGCATGCAGGGGAGCATGCGAATTGAATTACCCGCGCTTTGTTCGGGCACTGTGCAGTCGATAGGGGCAAATTACGGGCATGTGTGGTTACGCTTAGCAATTTCTCCTCGCGTTATCTTTAAATTTGCATTTTTCAAACTGCATCATTTTTCAAAAACCGTTGTCACTTTTGACGATTTACAGTCTTTGGTAGCAAGGGTATCAAAATGTAGCGTATGAAATTCCCCAAAGGTCTATATAAATGACGTCATCATAAGATGATCAGATTCAAAATCATGACCTCTCCGATGAGTGTGGACTCTCTGTTTTTGCTGGTTTACTAAAAAAAAACTTATCTCCCAGCCCTTCTTTGCTGTTAGCTCCATCATTGGAGCCTTATCCGCTCCGTTCACAAGTACCCCCTCACCGGCAAAGAAAGTACAGTTGGGGGTGACGGACTGACGCCATCTTGCCTGACTGCAATTTTGCCGTGACGCGCGGCCGTACCACTGCGTGTACATAGTACCAATCCCCTGGTGCATGTGCATCACACACAAGGAACGATGCGCGTCAACCAGCTAAATGTCCCACTCATGGGAGGTCATTGCTTGGTAAAAGGGCGCCCTCTTTCGTTGGTGCACGGAGTCCATACTTTAAATCCAGTCTTCTGTTTTGAGTCTCAAACAGGACCTACCCAAAGTGAGCACACTGTTTCCCCCTCTGGTTCATTTCCTCAGGCAGGCCGTTGTTGTAGTCCAGCTTGGCTCCGTTGGAGTACACCCAATCGTCGATCTTCTTGTGCTTGACACGGTACGAGGCATCTATCCAGAACTGTCCTGCAATATTCAAGATATTCACGTTCAAGAATGGTCCAAAATAATACAGGGTGAGTAAAAAAAAACGAAACCCAAATGTCGGGACCATTGTTTTATTGATGTTCTGCATGTAGCACTTTCAAAATCTAGGACATGAAAGCCTAATTCATAAGCTTGCTTTTAGTACAAGAATCATTCAAATCGCACATGTATTTTTAAAGTTACGAAAATTTTAAACACAACCACCGTTTGAAAGTTCTGTCCACGGATCACATAAAAGGTGTGCGCCTTTCAGCAAAACGAAAACGATTCACGCACATCCCTATGTGATTTGTTTTCGTTTTGCTGAAAGAACACTTACTTTATTTGTGATCCGTGGACAGAACCTTAAAACGGTGGTTGTGTTTAAAATTATGTAACTTGAAAAGTTCATGAGTGATTTGAATGATTCTTTTAGAACTAATTTTTTAGAAATGAGAGATTTAATGGATTTTGTAAAATCCTTTCACCAATATTTTGTGAAGCACTTACTCTGAGCTGAATAAAGCATGAAGCTTTTATTTTGCGATTTCAATTTTTTGTTCAGTCATCGTTACCACTACTGTCTTATAAAACTGACGACTACTAATTTGTGTTACCTTTAATTGGAAAGATGATATTTAAGAGCAATTCCAGCATTATAAAAGTAAGTTTATTGTCAGTGAGAGAGAGCCAATTAACCATGACATCTAATTAATGATTCTGAGAAATGATCCAAAACTCCTAGTCTGCAATCTCCTTGATTACCGTTACTATAGACAATGGACTTGTACAGTGGAACGCCGCTATAGCGAACATCGTGGGATCCAAAGAAAGTGTTCGTAATAACGATCATTCGGTATAGCGATTTTGAACCACCGGTACCCTCTTCTGACCAATAGTGAAGTCACTGAACTGGCATTTCTCACATCCTGCGGCCGAACAAGGAGTTGTCACAAACGTTTAGCAACGGGTGGTTTTCCCTTTTATTCCTTGGGGAAATAATAGCCATCAATCGCTCTTCAACATTCAAACACGATGTAACCATGGGTGGTTTGATGTTCAGGAATTAAAAGTGACCCAACAGTGTTTAATACGTGTACAACCGGTAGGTTTTTTGTTAATCTATTGACTTTTTTAACAACAATGTTTGCTACGTTTTGTATATTAAAACCGGGAGCCAAGGATGATGTTTTCGGTATAGCCGAATGTTCGGTATAGCGGCGTTCGGTATAGCGGCAGTCCACTGTATTAGATATTCACTGAGGTCTTAACAGATCTGTCACAGACATTTTTACATAATACTGAAATTGCCCGCAACCAATAATCCGGGTCAACAATTCCGTGCTCGCACATACAATTTGCAGAATTAGAATGAACTGATCACGATGGTGAGTTACCCACAATGCTTTGTGTTTCCTTCACAATGTTCCGAGAAAAGAATAAGCCAACGCCGATAACCATGGATATGGCATTCAGTATAGGCCTAAGTGAACTGTATACTGACACACCATCCCCTTTCGGTTGATGAAAGTATCCTTGTTGAAAGTCACAAACCGTTAACATTGTCGTTCTTGCTGAAGAATTCCTCCAGGAAGCGTTGCCTCTCCTCGTTGTGGATGCGCACCAGGGCACCCTTGGATGCCTTGCAGGCATCGAAAGCCTCCTCCCAGGTGAAAAGGGTGGAGTAGAAGTTGAAGATGGGCGTGACTTCCACGTCAAGGTTCTTCTCGGGGGATTGTCCGGGCTTGGGTTTCTTGTCTGAAACAAATATTACATTGATGTCATAACCTCTGACCCCATCAGGACCAAAGTATTTTCAAGACAAGGGAGGGGAAGGCTTGATTACAAAGGTGAACAAGGAAATTGACTGGTGCATGAGTTGAACTCCCGTTTGCTATTTCCAAGGTTTGCAGCATTGCTAATGTTGCTAGCACCGTGACTTTGGCTTCTGACTAAAGCCCCTTGAACAAAGAAACTGACAAAATGGGTAATGGTCAATATAGGGTTGGATGAAGATAGTTCCCAGGGTGTTGAACAGTATGCTCCCACCACTCAAGGGCGGATCCAGGGGGGGGGGGCAAAGGGGGCCATGGCCCCCCCCCCCCAAAACGAAACCAATTTTTTTTTTTTTTATGTGACATCGCAATAAAGGCAGGCAATGAGTACACCACCATCTTTTCCTCCAAAAAAACATTGGTTAAAGTGGTCAGAAATTGCCTCAGATCGCACCACAGAGCATCTAGAATCCCAAAAAAAATTTTGCCCCCCCCAAAAAAATTGCGTTCTGGATCCGCCCTTGCCACCACTACCCGCTCTCTCACCCTGGTGTTGGATCATTTGCATAATGCATATCCAAAATGTTTGGATACTCATGCAAATGAGGAATAGTCTGGTGCCTGCCTGTGCTTTACCTCAGCATTTGTTTTGGTATGTGGTGTCTGGGGTAAAAACAGAATCAATCCGTCGCTGCGTGAGTTACAGCAACACAAAGTTTTTTCCAAATTTAAAACTTATCCAGCCAATATGAGTATCATATTTCATATTAGTATGAGCAAATTGGGAAAGAAAGGATTATTTTTGAGAAGGTGTGGACGTACTAATTACAATGAACATGAAAACACGTACTACACGTTGGAAATAACAACATTCAGTACACGATATAAATCCATTACCTGCTAACTGCGCTATCGAATAAGGATAAAGGAAGCAAGTTCCCATCCCTGGGCGGGCTTACTATTGGAAACGAGGTTCAAAATAAAGTAAGCCCTGGGCACGAGGTTGGAACTGGATATAGCTTCGTTGGTTGAGCTCAAGAACGGCAATCTGGAGGCTGCATGTTCAAACCCTGCTTCAGTCATTTTTTGTTCAATTTTGAAATTATTAGAATGTGCTTAATCAGTTTCCCTTTGTCGTTTATTTGTACATTTCTGATAAAAAGCTGTATCCTCTCTGACTGATCCTCATTTGCTATATCCTAAGCTTGCAGCATTGCTGTTGTTAGCATCATGACTTTGGGCGTAGTCCCTGGCTTCATGGCACATACAGGCTTCTGACTAATCCCCTTGAACAAAGACACTGACAAAATGGTGAACTGCCAACATAGGGCTGGATAGCTCAGTTGGTAGAGCACAGGAACGGCAATCCGGTGGCCACAGGTTCAAACCCTGCTCAAGTCAATTTTAATGTTCAACTTTAAAGTTATGTCAGTTTTCATTTGTTGCTTATTTGAAAAATGACTTTGATATTCTTCAGCCAATTTTCCAAAACGTTTCCTTAATTGTTGGTTGGTCAGTTCTTTTTAGTACTGTTTGCTCATTTTTCAACAGTATATTGGGTAAACACGTGTTTTTTTTTTCAATTTTAGTTTTCCACAAGTACATGTACAGTGGGTCCCAAGACACCAAAAAAACTTTTTTTCAATACTCTTAACCTCGCTGCAGGACACATATCGCCATATCGCCATTATTTTTGTATCATTTTAAAGCTTGGAATCCTAACTTTATCCCTGGTGAGTATTGTTTTGATATTTATAATAGTTTTAAAATTATTCATGTTCCAAAAAAGGCATGTTGAAAACAAATTCAACTGATTTCAAGGGAACCGATGATGCGGTACATCAGATGCAAAATCGAGTCACACTTTGAGCGCGCTTTTTGAATAGGAAATTCGTTACGGTGTAGTTTACGTGGATCAAAAAGAATAGGAAACACAGAAAGTAAAAGGCACCAAGATATTCATGATGAACCATTTCCACAATTATAGGAAAAAATGCGCATGATTGATTTTCCTTGAAATCCGTTCAGCTTGTTTTTGATATGCGAACACGAATCATTTCAAAACCCTTGGAAAATCAAACTAATACTTACAATGGAAAAAAATAAGATTTCAAGCTTTACAATGATATAAAAATAATGGTGGTACATGTTCCTGCAGCGATGTAAGCGCTTCGCAAAGAAATGTTGCGGGTATTTTGGAACGCGCTGTAGCATTAGTATTCACTGTAAATTTGGAAAACAGTCTTACCATACTGACAGACGAAACTCTTCTTGGCATTGCAGTTTTCATCATTCCACAGATAGTCCTCAGTGTGTCTGCAATGAAGCAACAATGTGAACATAATAAGGGAATAAATGTTTGCTTCGGAGGTGTTCAACATTCTGTTTAAGACTGCTTGGAGTCTGGATGCTGCTAATTACGTGATCTGAAGGCGAGGGTGTTCGTCAGCATCCAGACTCCAACCGGTCTTTAAACCGACTGATTAATACCGACCAGCCACATATTTATTTCCATTCATAAATACCTTTTCTGTCAAAAAAATCAAAACTCTACAGTCCAAAAGTCACTGAACGCAAGCCAAATGTTATAAATTTTCAACAATTTCGATCAACAAAACACCCCTCTAGCTATATAATGGTTAGGCCCTCTGATAAACAACTCCTTTCGTGGCAATTGACGTGCGTGTCGCGTGTAGTGCATGATGTGGTGCACAGCAAAGATGTTCCTGTGTAGTGCGAATTTAGGACTATGAAATACTGACAAACTGGTAGTATTGCGCATGCCTACGTGAGGATTGTGAACGTTCAACCGACAAAACAGGGCCGGCATCGGATTTCATACTAGTCCAAATTTCATGTGACACTGGAAAAGTGTTTAAGACCAGCCAGCCATATCTCTATCAACTGTTTCAAACCGGCCACGTGACGGGCTCTCGATCAATAGAAATGGGTAAACTGTCTTATAGATATTCATTAATGTGTGCTTCTCATGCATTTTGTTCATTTCCAATAATAACACAAATCAAAATCCTACGAAGAATGTTCAAAACCTAACCAGTTGAAGTTTCAGTGGATATTGCGCTTCTCGAGAAAACAGTGAAAAACCCATGCACAACTTTTTGATCACGAAACACTATTTTGTCCATAGCACTCTTTCTTTCCATAAAATCAGTCAATTGACTGGTCCTCGGAAATCACCTACATTTCTTGATTTCTTCTAAATGACAGCAAGCCAGACGGAATAATTTCAGGGGTGTTTAGTACCAGTACGATAATTAATTCAAGTAAGCATTTTGATAATGATTCGGGTAGATTACTTTTGGTAAAAATGAAAATGATCCCATACGCCTCAAAAAGGAATATCACTAAACATTTAGTCTGTCAGCACTACTTTGGGAGCTGATTCATATTTTGACACATTTTGGGTTTTTTCATTTTCTTTTCCTTGTTTTTTTCCTTTGTGAATTTCTTTTATCTTTTTTTTTTAAATTCCCCATTCTTTTTTGTTGTTGGTCTTTTTGTTATTTTTAATTTTTTTTTGCCTTTGTGATGCCCACACCTGATTGTACAGCAGATACCATTTACAACAATATCGTTTATTAAATACATGTATCAGGCTTCCAGTGGTAAAAATAAATCTGCGAATTGTATGCTTTCATAAAAAGTACCCGGATGACTGCAATATTATGTCAGTAAAAATACCCTGACGGGTACAATATTATTTTTGATACTGTCTTCATCAAGCATTTTAACAAATTTACCAATCAACAGCATAGAAACTCACATTTGTTAACCAGTCAACAGAGCGTAGCGTACAGTTCGCTCGTACCCCCCGCCCTGCAAAATGGACGCTGGGATACTCTGATGAATTCACGCTCTGATTGGTTGGATTTTGCGTGACCTGTGACCTGCGCGTCATCAAGGTCATGACTCTGCAAGGTTTGAAACGGCCGTTAAGTCTAATTCATTACTCTTTTATTTCAGTTTAGAGGTGTTTTTTTCTCGTTGAAAAGCGTAATAATGTAGGAAATTCTGTAAATAATGTAGGAAATTCTGTAAAACTTATCTGTGTTGTAAATTTACAATTCCCGTCACTCGCACAGGCTCTGTTTCGAATCATGAACGGTCGGATTGCATTATGCGACGCTCAAAATTTTGTGCACATGGTCCGCAATGAAACAGAAATCTCATCCGGTATGGAATGTGCGCAATTCTATGGCGAGTTTTCGGATAGCATTTGCGCACATTGTCTAACTGCGGTCTTGAACAGCTGCAGCCAGATGCTTTATACATAGGTCATAGGCCACTTCCTTCACAAGATTCTGTGAAGCTCATCAGAGTATCCCAGCGTCCTGTTTGCAGGGCGGGGGGTACGAGCGAAAGCGTACAGTGTCATTGCACGCAGACGCAGTGTGCAGAGTACGCGCACTGTGATCAACAACCACATGGAGCGGCATGAAGCAAGGAATATTCGATAAAATTTGAGAAATAAAGACAGTAACCCGAAATTTTTTTTCTTGTGGATAAGTCAGCCTGATATAGATAAAAATGATAATATTGGATGGCTTTTTTTCCTTCAAGATATTCAAGAATATATTGCACTCGCTATATAACTATATTTCTTTCCTGTTTGACGAGCGCAATATTGTGTTTTTTTCCCTTGGATCATTTACACAGAGATATCAGACAACACTCCAGGCAAAATTTTCTAAGCCACCTGGTTTTCTGTAAAGAAGCCATGTTGTCATGGAAACCATGAGCCAAAGTGCCATCAGCTAAAGGCTATTTAACAATGTTAAACCTTGTCAAGCATTAAAATGCTAAATGAGCCATTGCTGGAATCCTTGAAGCATTTTACTATCCACTTTAGTGACAGAAGGTTTTAAAAGCCATGATAAATTCTTAAAGACCACTCCTACGTTTGAGATGCATTAGTTGTCAAGGGAACAATATATCATGTTGATATGGAGAGACCTTTCAGTACAATGCCATTTATTAATTATGAATCCAAAGGACCAAAATATTAAGTCCTTGATCTACATGTAGGGACCTACAGTATACTCAGGAGAGGTTTTTCAAATAGTGTGAGAATGCAAGCATTGAAAGGGTGGACCTCAGGCGAGACCGCGTAGATTATCCAAAACAAAATGGAAGTGCTGGGTGTTCTGATTCTCATGGCTGGGTTTGAAGCCAGTGCAGCAACAATCTGCTCGGCTGGATGGTACCGATATGGCAATGCCTGCTACTTTGTGACAAAAGAAAAACTGGCCTGGCCTAGGGCAAATGATACCTGTGCTGCTTCTCATGCAAGCCTTGCAGTTCCCAACTCATTGGAAGAACAGACATTTATAAGGGAATTACTCCAACGGGAGTTTCATCCTTATGGTCCTGTGGATGGAGCCTGGATTGGCTGCAATGACATCGACAAGGAAGGTGATTGGCAGAACTGTCCTCTGAGAGGTGATGGGACCAACGCGTACCAGAACTGGGGGGAAGGAAAGCCTGACAATCGGCACAGCGGAGCTGATTGTGCATTGATGGGCAATTGGGGGAATGGCAAATGGGGGAACCAGTTATGCATCAATCTCAAATATGCAACATGTGAGCTTGCTATCATCGACTACGACCCTCTGTTCTGCCTTCAGATCGGCTCCAATGGTCGCATCACCTCCCCGTGCCTCACTGATAATCACATCTTGATGGAGTTACAGGCTCAGGGTCTGGTGTCTTGTGGCAAGGCCTGCCTCTCTCATCCCAAATGTAGCTCCTTCAATCTGAAGGACCAAGGCCAGGGCAAGATGGTGTGCCAGCTGAATGACCTTGCCCTTCAAAATGCAGCTGATGAAGATGTGGTGGAAATTGAGAACTGCTACGGCCTGAATCTGTAGAAACTGTTTGCATGAGGGAAAATCTGTTGATGCAATGCTCTGCCGTACAGTGAATGTGGCTGACATTTCAAAGATGAATACAAAAGGCAGTCGTAGATTACATTTTCATCACTGAGAGTGAATGACTATTTTGTGGGAGACTTGTTATGAACTGCTAAGATTTTAGAAGGATTTACAATATAATATCAGGAACACTCGCGATATAGTCTACAAGTACAAAATATATTTATTAGTGAATGTAGTGACTGGTATAAAAACATTAACAGTACTTTTTGCCTAGTAATTTCAACTGTTTTTGTTGTTTAGATGATAAGCTTTTGATTGGCTGAAATATATTGATTCAAATTTGGCAGAACCCTGCAGAAGAAAATAACTATTTCAGATTCATTTGTTGCAATAATTCTACCTATTTAATTAATGCACTAAATGCATTTACAATTGTCTGTAAATAGTTAACTTTTCCAGTTTATAGGGGAAAGCAAATATGTGGTTATTATTTTGTTTGTAATATAATTCTAAAACACCAAATGACATCACAGGGAAATCATTTTTTTTTTGATATAGAGTTACACATGCGCATTATCAAATATTAAATGTGTTAAGAATCGGGTGGGTTAAAAAACTTCAAAATCAGTTTCCAAAAAAGAAGAAGTATTATTTAGCATGCAGACTCACATAGCCATGTTCCATCAGATTCTCAGTTCTCTAGATACTCAAATTGTTTTTACACTGATAGGATGTGACATATTATGGAAAATATGACATCAGGGTTTGAGGTACTGTTTTAGCATAGGGTCTTTGTCTACTCCAAGTTTCATTAAGATATAAAAGAATGGGGAAGTGACAATATACATAAAACAGTGTACAATGTCTGTTGGGGAAACCAATGGGCATTTTAACTTCAGTGTGAAGAAAAGCTTCTATAATCACAAAGATCAACTGTGAAAATTATCGGCTATTTTTAGGTGCTGGTGACAAAAGACTGTCGAAATATGCAATATTGCCAATGGTGTAATCAACTGCCAATTAGACAACAGCCAAAGCGGCGTTGTCAGGGAAACTAACTGGTAGCAATCCCTGACTTTGATTGCTTTGTGCATTCAAATGAGAAGGGTAAGCCTCTTTCATTTCGCGTTCTGAAACCGTCAGTTGATGTTATTTCCATGCGAAACATGTTGTGGTTCTACACTCAAAATTCAGTTGCAATTACTGGCAGAAAAGCTGAGCAATACTGAGGCTATCCTAAAAAACTATATATCCGTACACCTGAACATTCCTAATCATCAGAAACAGCATGGATGTGTTGAGTGTACTGCTTCTTATGGCTGGATTTGAGGCCAGTGTGGCGACTGTTTGCCCAGTGGGCTGGCACCGATATGGAAAGGCTTGCTATTTTGTGATTAAGGAACTAAATACTTGGTACAAAGCAAAAAGCATCTGTGCTGCTTCTCATGCAAGCCTTGCAGTTCCCAACTCAATGGAAGAACAGACATTTATATGGGAATTACTCCAGCAGGAGTTTCATCCTGATGGTCTAGGTAATGGAGCCTGGATCAGCTGCAATGACATCGACCGGGAAGGTGTTTGGCAGAATTGTCCTCTGAGAGGTGATGAGACCAACGCGTACCAGAACTGGGATGAAGGAAACCCTAGCAATCAGTATAGCGGAGCTGATTGTGCATTGATTGGTGACAGGGCAGGTGGTGTATGGTGGAATCAGCGCTGTAAAAATCCCAGATATGCAACATGTGAGCTTGCTATCTACGACCCTCTATTCTGCCTTCAGATCGGATCCGATGGTCACATCATCACCTCCCCGTGCCTCTCTGATAATCACGTCTTGATGGAGTTACAGGCTCAGGGTCTGGTGTCTTGTGGCAAGGCCTGCCTCTCTCATCCCAAATGTAGCTCCTTCAATCTGAAGGACCAAGGCCAAGGCAAGATGGTGTGCAAGCTGAATGACCTCGCCCTTCAAAATGCAGCTGCTGAAGATGTGGTGGAAATTGAGAACTGCTACGGCCTAGATCTGTAGAAACTGGTTGCATGAAGTAAACTGATACCAAAACAGTCCATCAGACTGCTCTTATGTACAGGTAGATGTGGCTGACATTTTTAAGGTTAGCACAAAGGGCAGTGGTGGCTTACATTTACATGGCTGAGAGTGAATAACCTTTTTTGTGGAATAATTTTTGTGAACTGCTAAGACTTTGGAACGGATTACAAAATCAGGAACACCCACAATAGTCTGTAAGTACACAATATTTATTAGTGTTTGCTGTGATTGTCATACAAATATAAATGGTTATTTTTGCACTGTAATTTGAACTGTTTGTGGTAGAAATATTTAGGAAATATTGTGTGGTAAATATAAACATGTCCTCATTTTTTGGTATATTAAAAAAAAAATGGCATAAGAGGACACTAACTTTGTGAACGGCAACTGTTTCAAAATTGTGTGTTGGGATCACTACGAGGAGAACATAATGATCACTCAAATTTATTGCACTTTTGGATGTTATCTCTTAACAAGGAATCTGGAAAAGAAATAGTCAATATGGTTTAATGTTGTTGCACTAATGATACCTATGAAAAGTAGGTTTTTATTACACCGAAAGTGTAATCTTTGTTTCCCATGTAGTAGAAAGAAAATGTTTGATAATTTGGTGTATACTCAAGAGTCAAGACAAATCTAACCAAACTCTGATAATTGCCCATACAGCAGGACTTCAACATCATCATTTTCCATTTTTTTTATATAGGATGTCTGACAAATGATGATGTTTTGAGAACAACTTTTCTGTCCAAAGATGTCTCTTTACTGAATTATAGTCTTGACAGTAGCTGCAAGAGCAGACATTATCAGAAACATTACGGAAGTGTTCTGCTCTCATAATTGAATTTGAAACCAGAATATCCCCACTTCATTACCTGTTCTTTACTGCATACTGCAGGCATTAGACCTATTCAAAAAAATAGAGTCGTCTCCAAATACGAATGTCCTCCAATTAGCTACGACTACAAAATGCGGGGGACGTTTTGTTCTCAGCACGTGCTCCCCACCTTGGAAGAAAACACATCTTCACTAACAATTCCACCCTGGTCCAACAAAGCGTGTCCCTGAATTATCACCACACAGCCATCAGGCAATTGATTCAATTCCACATCTTGCACGGACTGTTATAAAGCCACCAATTATTCAGACTACGTTTGACATGAAGTGACCACAGAAAACAACACGTACATGTATTTTTATCAAATTACTTGCTAAATTTTACCTTTTGATTGGGCTTGCTTTTTGCTTTTGTCAAATACTTAACGCCTCACTATATTTCATGTCCTTATAAAGGGAGTCTTACTAGTTGCAAGTACCATTTGAAATTGGGATGTGAATTAATGTTTACAACACTAGAGACGATAAGTGACACTGGATCAATCATAAAGAAGAGACTACCAGTTTATTATATCTATCCCATAAAGACATCAGGCAGATACATCATGGAAGTATTTGGCATACTGCTTCTCTTCATTGGGAGTGTAGCCAGCATTGCAACGATCTGTCCTGTTGGTTGGCAGCGATATGGAAAGGCTTGCTATTTTGTGATCAAAGAACTAAAGAATTGGAGCAAAGCAAAAAGTATCTGTGCTGCTTCTCATTCAAGCCTTGCAGTTCCCAACTCGTCGGAGGAACAGACATTTATATGGGAATTACTCCAGCAGGAGTTTTATCCTGATGGTCCTGTGGATGGAGCCTGGATTGGCTGTGATGACATCGAGAAGGAAGGTGATTGGCAGAATTGTCCTTCGACAGGTGATGAGACCAACGTGTACCAGAACTGGAGGGAAGAGCAGCCTGACAGTTGGAATGCTGCATCTGATTGTGCATTGATGGTCAATTCAGCGGGTGGCAAATGGGATGACCAGTCTTGCACTAATCCCAGATATGCAACGTGTGAGCTTGCTATCATCAACTACGACCCTCTATTCTGCCTTCAGATCGGCTCTGATGGTCGCATCACCTCCCCGTGCCTCACTGATAATCACATCTTGATGGAGTTACAGGCTCAGGGTCTGGTGTCTTGTGGCAAGGCCTGCCTCTCTCATCCCAAATGTAGCTCCTTCAATCTGAAGGACCAAGGCCAGGGCAAGATGGTGTGCCAGCTGAATGACCTCGCCCTTCAAAATGCAGGGGCTGAAGATGTGGTGGAAATTCAGAACTGCTACGGCCTGGATCTGTAGAAACTGGTTGCATGAAGCAAACTGATACAAAAAATATCCTTTAGAATGCTCTCATGAGCAGGTACCGGTACATGGGCCAACATTTTCAATGCAAGTACATGTGCAAAGCGCAGTGGTGGCTTACATTTTCGCAGCTGATAGTGAATGACTATTTTGCAGAGATTTGTTGTGAACCGCTTAGATGTTGCAAGGATTTACAATTTTGGAAACACTTGTACTAGTCTGTTGTACAAAATTTGTCTTAGGGAGTGTTGTGACTGTTTAAAGTAATTTGCATAGTATATATATTAATGGTACTTTTTGCACTGTAATTAGAACTGTTTGTGGTAGAAATATTTAGGAAATATTGTGTGGTAAATAGAAACATGTCCTCATTTTTAGGTATATTTTTAAAAAGAAATGGCATAAGAGGCACACTAACAGTTGTGGATGGCAACTGTTTCAAAATTGTGTGTTGGGATCACTGCGAGAACATAAGGATCACTCAAATTTATTGCACTTTTTAATGTTACCTTTTAACAAAGAATCTGGAAAAGAAAAAGTCAATATGGTTTAATGTTGTTGCACTAATGATACCTATGAAAAGTAGGTTTTTATTACACCGAAAGTGTAATCTTTGTTCCCAATGCACTAGAAAAAAAATGTTTTAAAAATTGGGGGGATGCTCACGAGTTATGACAAATCTAACCAAACTCTGATAATTGCCCATACAGCAGGACTTCAACATCATCGTTTTCCAATTTTTTTATATAGGATGTCTGACAAATGATGATGTTTTGAGAACAACTTTTCTGTCCAAAGATGTCTCCTTACTGAATTATAGTCTTGACAATAGCTGCAAGAGAAGACATTATCAGAAGCATAACGGCAGTGTTCTGCTCTCATAATTGAATTTGAAACCAGAATATCCCCACTTCATTACCTGTTCTTTACGTGTTGTAATGCATACTGCAAGCATTAGACCTATTCAAAAAAATAGAGTCGTCTCCAAATACGAATGGCCTCCAATTAGCTACCACTACAAAATGCCGGGGACGTTTTGTTCTCAGCACGTGCTCCCCACCTTGGAAGAAAACACATCTTCACTAACATTTCCACCCTGGTCCAACAAAGCGTGTCCCTGAATTATCACCACACAGCCATCAGGCAATTGATTCAATTGCACATCTTGCACGGACTGTTATAAAGCCACCAATTATTCAGACTACGTTTGACGTGAAGTGACCACAGAAAACAACACGTACATATATTTTTATCAGATTACTTGCTAAATTTTACCTTTTGATTGGGCTTGTTTTTGCTTAAATTGTCAAATACTTAACGCCTCACTATATTTCATGTTCTTATAAAGGGAGGCTTACTAGTTGCAAGTACCATTTGAAATTGGGATGTGAATTGATGTTTACCACACTAGAGATGATAAGCGACACTGAATCAATCAAAAGAAGAGACTACCAGTTTATTATATCTATCCCATAAAGACACCAGGCAGATACATCATGGAAGTACATGTATTTGGCATACTGCTTCTCTTCATTGGGAGTGTAGCCAGCATTGCAACGATCTGTCCTGTTGGTTGGCAGCGATATGGAAAGGCTTGCTATTTTGTGATCAAGGAACGAAAGAGTTGGCACAAAGCAAAAAGTATCTGTGCTGCTTCTCATGCAAGCCTTGCAGTTCCCAATTCATCGGAGGAACAGACATTTATATGGGAATTACTCCAGCAGGAGTTTCATCCTGATGGTCCTGTGGATGGAGCCTGGATTGGCTGCGAAGACATCGAGAAGGAAGGTGATTGGCAGAATTGTCCTCTGACAGGTGATGAGACCAACGCGTACCAGAACTGGAGGGAAGGGCAGCCTGACAGTTGGAATGCTGCATCTGATTGTGCATTGATAATCAATTCAGCGGGTGGCAAATGGGATGACCAGTCTTGCACTAATCCCAGGTATGCAACATGTGAGCTTGCTATCATCGACTACGACCCTCTATTCTGCCTTCAGATCGGCTCTGATGGTCGCATCACCTCCCCGTGCCTCACTGATAATCACATCTTGATGGAGTTACAGGCTCAGGGTCTGGTGTCTTGTGGCAAGGCCTGCCTCTCTCATCCCAAATGTAGCTCCTTCAATCTGAAGGACCAAGGCCAGGGCAAGATGGTGTGCCAGCTGAATGACCTCGCCCTTCAAAATGCAGCGGCTGAAGATGTGGTGGAAATTCAGAACTGCTACGGCCTGGATCTGTAGAAACTGGTTGCATGAAGCAAACTGATACAAAAAATATCCTTTAGAATGCTCTCATGAGCAGGTACATGGGCCAACATTTTCAATGCAAGTACATGTGCAAAGCGCAGTGGTGGCTTACATTTTCACAGCTGATAGTGAATGACTATTTTGCAGAGATTTGTTGTGAACCGCTTAGATGTTGCAAGGATTTACAATTTTGGAAACACTTGTACTAGTCTGTTAGTACAAAATTTGTCTTGGTGAGTGTTGTGACTGTTTAAAGTAATTTGCATAGTATATATATTAATGGTACTTTTTGCACTGTAATTAGAATTGTTTGTGGTAGAAATATTTAGGAAATATTGTGTGGTAAATAGAAACATGTCCTCATTTTTAGGTATATATTTTTTAAAAGAAATGGCATAAGAGGACACACTAACAGTTGTGAATGGCAACTGTTTCAAAATTGTGTGTTGGGATCACTGCGAGAACATAATGATCACTCAAATTTATTGCACTTTTTAATGTTACCTTTTAACAAGGAATCTGGAAAAGAAATAGTCAATATGGTTTAATGTTGTTGCACTAATGATACCTATGAAAAGTAGGTTTTTATTACACCGAAAGTGTAATCTTTGTTCCCAATGCATTTTCATCGCTGAGAGTGAATGACTATTTTGTGGGAGGCTTGTTATGAACTGATAAGATTTTAGAAGGATTTACAATATAACATCACGAACACTCGCGATATAGTCTATAAGTACAAACTATATTTATTAGTGAATGTAGTGACTGGTATTAAAACGTTAACAGTACTTTTTGCCTAGTAATTTCAACTATTTGTGTTGTTTAGCTGATAAGCTTTTGATTGGCTGAAATATATGGGTTCAAATTATAAGCCCAAAGGTAGCCATATTTTGCATACAACCTTTGATTTTTTTCATATTGCAAAAAAGGGCAAAAAAGTGCACATCAACAATTGCAATTGGCAACAGTTTTAACAGTGTTGTGTGTTGTGTGATCAAGAAGACAAAAATGTAGTAGGCAGTCATATTTTACACTGAATGTGTAGCTGTTTGAATGGCAGAACCCTGCAGAAGAAAATAACTATTTCAGATTCATTTGTTGCAATAATTCTACCTACATTGTATTTAATTAATGCACTAAATGCATTTACAATTGTCTGTAAATAGTGGAAAGCAAATATGTGGTTATTATTTTTTTGTAATATAATTCTAAAACACCAAATGACATCACAGGGAAATCATTTTTTTTTTTGATATAGAGTTACACATGCGCATTATCAAATATTAAATGTGTTAAGAATCGAGTGGGTTTAAAAACTTCAAAATCTGTTTCCAAAAAAGTATTATTTAGCATGCAGACTCACATCTAGCCACGTACCATCAGATTCTCAGTTCTCTAGATACTCAAATTGTTTTTACACTGATAGGATGTGACATATTATGGAAAATATGACATCAGGGTTTGAGGTACTGTTTTAGCATAGGGTCTTTGTCTACACCAAGTTTCATTAAGATATAAAAGAATGGGGAAGTGACAATATACATAAAATAGTGTACAATGTCTGTTGGGGAAACTAATGGGCATTTTCACTTCAGTGTGAAGAAAAGCTTCTATAATCACAAAGATCAACTGTGAAAATTATCGGCTATTTTTAGGTGCTGGTGACAAAAGACTGTTGAAATATGCAATATTCCCAATGGTGTAATCAACTGCCAAATAGACAACAGCCAAAGCGGCGTTGTCAGGGAAACTAACTGGTAGCAATCCCTGACTTTGATTGCTTTGTGCATTCAAATGAGAAGGGTAAGCCTCTTTCATTTCGCGCTCTTAAACCGTCAGTTGATGTTATTTCCATGCGAAACATGTTGTGGTTCTACACTCAAAATTCAGTTGCAATTACTGGCAGAAAAGCTGAGCAATACTGAGGCTTTCCTAAAAAACTATATATCCGTACACCTGAACATTCCTAATCATCAGAAACAGCATGGATGTGTTGAGTGTACTGCTTCTTATGGCTGGATATGAGGCCAGTGTGGCGACTGTTTGCCCAGTGGGCTGGCACCGATATGGAAAGGCTTGCTATTTTGCGATCAAGGAACTAAATACTTGGTACAAAGCAAAAAGCATCTGTGCTGCTTCTCATGCAAGCCTTGCAGTTCCCAACTCAATGGAAGAACAGACATTTATATGGGAATTACTCCAGCAGGAGTTTCATCCTGATGGTCTAGGTAATGGAGCCTGGATCGGCTGCAATGACATCGACCGGGAAGGTGTTTGGCAGAATTGTCCTCTGAGAGGTGATGAGACCAACGCGTACCAGAACTGGGATGAAGGAAACCCTAGCAATCAGTATAGCGGAGCTGATTGTGCATTGATTGGTGACAGGGCAGGTGGTGTATGGTGGAATCAGCGCTGTAAAAATCCCAGATATGCAACATGTGAGCTTGCTATCTACGACCCTCTATTCTGCCTTCAGATCGGATCCGATGGTCGCATCATCACCTCCCCGTGCCTCTCTGATCATCACGTCTTGATGGAGTTACAGGCTCAGGGTCTGGTGTCTTGTGGCAAGGCCTGCCTCTCTCATCCCAAATGTAGCTCCTTCAATCTGAAGGACCAAGGCCAGGGCAAGATAGTGTGCCAGCTGAATGACCTCGCCCTTCAAAATGCAGCTGATGAAGATGTGGTGGAAATTGAGAACTGCTACGGCCTGGATCTGTAGAAACTGTTTGCATGAGGGAAAATCTGTTGATGCAATGCTCTGCCGTACAGTGAATGTGGCTGACGTTTCAAAGATGAGTGCAAAAGGCAGTCGTAGCTTACTTATCGCTGAGAGTAGAATGACTATTTTGTGGGAGGCTTGTTATGAACTGATAAGATTTTAGAAGGATTTACAATATAATATCATGAACACTCGCGATATAGTCTATAAGTACAAAATATTTTTATTAGTGAATGTAGTGACTGGTATAAAAACATTAACAGTACTTTTTGCCTAGTAATTTCAACTGTTTTTGTTGTTTAGATGATAAGCTTTTGATTGGCTGAAATATATTGATTCAAATTTTAAGTCCAAAAGTAGCCATATTTTGCATACAACCTTTGGTTTTTTCATAATGCAAAAAAGGGCAAAAAAAGTGTACATCAACAATAAGCCATTTCGGAGTTACAAAAATGTACTACTGCACGTGCGCACATCAGATTCAACGATTTAGTGTCGGAAGATAAACAAAGCAGATAAATGCACTCAAGTCTATGGGGGACGTGGTAATCGAATCCACATTTTGCAATTTTGTTCTAGTAAAACAGAAGATGTAAATTTTTGTTCGCACAAAAGTTGGAGCACACGAAACAACGTAAACCATGGCGCCGTTGAAAACAATCAACATTTTGCATCTACTTCAAAATAAGAACTTTTCTTTGATTTTGTTGGTACCCCGCTATGATTTTGCATGCGTGTGGCGAACTGTTTATCCCCCGACCCTTATCGTTGTTATGGGATGTGCGCATGCACAGTAGTACATTTTTGTAACTCTGAAATGGCTTATTGCAATTGGCAACAGGTTTAACAGTGTTGTGTGTTGTGTGATCAACAAAACAAAAATGTTGTAGGCAGTCATATTTTACACTGAATGTGTAGCTGTTTGAATGGCAGAACCCTGCAGAAGAAAATAACTATTTCAGATTCATTTGTTGCAATAATTCTACCTACATTGTATTTAATTAATGCACTAAATGCATTTACAATTGTCTGTAAATAGTGGAAAGCAAATATGTGGTTATTATTTTTTTGTAATATAATTCTAAAACACCAAATGACATCACAGGGAAATCATTTTTTTTTTTGATATAGAGTTACACATGCGCATTATCAAATATTAAATGTGTTAAGAATCGGGTGGGTTAAAAAACTTCAAAATCAGTTTCCAAAAAAGAAGAAGTATTATTTAGCATGCAGACTCACATAGCCATGTTCCATCAGATTCTCAGTTCTCTAGATACTCAAATTTTTTTTACACTGATAGGATGTGACATATTATGGAAAATATGACATCAGGGTTTGAGGTACTGTTTTAGCATAGGGTCTTTGTCTACACCAAGTTTCATTAAGATATAAAAGAATGGGGAAGTGACAATATACATAAAACAGTGTACAATGTCTGTTGGGGAAACCAATGGGCATTTTAACTTCAGTGTGAATAAAAGCTTCTATAATCACAAAGATCAACTATAAAAATTATCGGCTATTGTTAGGTGCTGGTGACAAAAGACTGTCGAAATATGCAATATTCCCAATGGTGTAATCAACTGCCAATTAGACAACAGCCAAAGCGGCGTTGTCAGGGAAACTAACTGGTAGCAATCCCTGACTTTGATTGCTTTGTGCATTCAAATGAGAAGGGTAAGCCTCTTTCATTTCGCGCTCTTAAACCGTCAGTTGATGTTATTTCCATGCGAAACATGTTGTGGTTCTACACTCAAAATTCAGTTGCAATTACTGGCAGAAAAGCTGAGCAATACTGAGGCTATCCTAAAAAACTATATATCCGTACACCTGAACATTCCTAATCATCAGAAACAGCATGGATGTGTTGAGTGTACTGCTTCTTATGGCTGGATTTGAGGCCAGTGTGGCGACTGTTTGCCCAATGGGCTGGCACCGATATGGAAAGGCTTGCTATTTCGTGATCAAGGAACTAAATACTTGGTACAAAGCAAAAAGCATCTGTGCTGCTTCTCATGCAAGCCTTGCAGTTCCCAACTCATTGGAAGAACAGACGTTTATATTGGAATTACTCCAGCTGGAGTTTAATCCTGATGGTCCAGGGAATGGAGCCTGGATTGGCTGCAATGACATCGACAAGGAAGGTGATTGGCAGAATTGCCCTCTGAGAGGTAATGATACCAACGCTTACCAGAACTGGAGTGAAGGAAAGCCTGACAATCGGCACTTTGCAGCTGATTGTGCAATGATGGGCGATTGGAGGAAAGGCGAATGGGGTGACCAGTTCTGCACCAATCTTAGATATGCAACATGTGAGCTTGCTATCATCGACTACGACCCTCTATTCTGCCTTCAGATCGGCTCTGATGGTCGCATCATCTCCCCGTGCCTCACTGATAATCACGTCTTGATGGAGTTACAGGCTCAGGGTCTGGTGTCTTGTGGCAAGGCCTGCCTCTCTCATCCCAAATGTAGCTCCTTCAATCTGAAGGACCAAGGCCAGGGCAAGATGGTGTGCAAGCTGAATGACCTCGCCCTTCAAAATGCAGCTAAGGAAGATGTGGTGGAAATTGAGAACTGCTACGGCCTGGATCTGTAGAAACTGGTTGCATGAAGTAAACTGATACCAAAACAGTCCATCAAACTGCTCTTATGTACAGGTAGATGTGGCTGACATTTTTAAGGTTAACACAAAGGGCAGTGGTGGCTTACATTTACATGGCTGATAGTGAATAACCTTTTTTGTGGAATAATTTGTGCGAACTGCTAAGACTTTGGAAGGGATTACAATATCAGGAACGCCCACAAAAGTCTGTAAGTACACAATATTTATTAGTGTTTGCTGTGATTGGCATGAAAATATTAATGG